CAGGTTGGGCGAACTCCCATGAACCCTTGAGTATCCGATGGAGAGTATAGAGCTGGTCCAGTGTTCCGCGACCGGGACGAAAACCACACTGCTCCTCCTGAATCCGAGATTCGATCATCGGCCGTAGCCTCCTCTCCAGTACCTTGGAGTAAACCTTACTAGGGAGGCTGAAGAGTGTGATCCCACGATAATTGGAACACACCCTCCGGTCCCCCTTCTTGTAGAGAGGGACCACCACCCCGGTCTGCCACTCCATTGGCACCACCCCCGATCGCCACGCGATGTTGCAGAGACGTGTCAGCCAAGACAGTCCTACAACATCCAGAGACTTTAGATAGTCAGGACGGATCTCATCCACTCCCGGCGCCTTGCCACCATGGAGGCTGTCAACCACCTTGGTGACCTCTGCCAGGGAGATGGAAGTATCCGCCCCAACATCCTCAGCCTCTGCCTCCAGGGCGGAGGGCGTGACGGGGGGATTGAGGAGAACCTCGAAGTATTCCTTCCACCGCCCGACAATATCCCCAGTTGAGGTCAGCAGCCCTCCACCCGCACCGTACACAGTGTTGGCAAAGAACTGCTTCCCCTTCCTGAGGCGCCGGACGGTTTGCCAGAATCTCTTCGAGGCCGACCGATAGTCATGCTCCATGGACTCTCCAAACTCCTCCCAGTCCCGGGTTTTTGCCTCTGCAACAGCCCGGGCCGCGGCGCGCTTGGCCTGCCGATACTGGACAGCTGCCTCAGGAGTCCCATGAACCATCATTGCTCGATAGGACTCCTTCTTCAGCCTGACGGCATCCCTTACTGCCGGTGTCCACCACCGGGTTCGGGGATTGCCGCCGGGACCAGCACCAGAGACCCTGCGACCACAGCTACGAGCCGCCTCATCGGCGATAGAGGAAGAGAACATGGTCCACTTGGACTCCATGTCCCCCTCCTCCGCCGGGACCTGGGAGAAGCTCTCCCGGAGGTGTGTGTTGAAAGTCCGTCTGACAGGGGGCTCAGCGAGACGTTCCCAGCAAACCCTCACTACACGCTTGGGCCTGCCAGGTCTGACCGGCTTCCTCCCCTGCCAGCGGATCCAACTCACGACCAGGTGATGATCAGTTGACAGCTCCGCCCCTCTCTTTACCCGAGTGTCCGAGACACGCGGTCGAAGGTCAGATGATACGACAACAAAGTCAATCATCGACCTCTGGCCTAGGGTGTCCTGGTACCACGTGCACTGGTGGACACCCTTGTGCTCGAACATGGTGTTTGTGATGGACAAACCGTGACTGGCACAGAAGTGCAACAACTGAACACCGCTCGGATTCAGATCAGGGGGGCCGTTCTTCCCAATCACCCCTCTCCAAGTGTCACTGGCATTTCCCACATGGGCGTTGAAGTCCCCCAGGAGAATAACGGAGTCCGCGGTTGGTGCACCGTCCAGTACCCCTCCCAAGGACTCCAAGAAGGCCGGGTACTCTGCACTGCTGTTAGGCCCGTAGGCCGTCACAACAGTGAGAGACTTGTCCCCCACCCGAAGGCGGAGGGACGCGACCCTCTCATTCACCGGGGAGAACTCCAACACGTGGCGGCTGAGATGGGGGGCAATGAGAATGTCCACCCCAGCTCGCCGCCTCTCCCCGCGAGAAACACCAGAAAAGTGGAGCGTCCAACCCCTCTCAAGGAGTTGGGTTCCAGAGCCCAAGCTGTGTGTGGAGGTGAGACCGACTATCTCTAGTCGGTATCGCTTGACCTCCCCCACGAGCTCGGGCTCCTTTCCCCCCAGTGAGGTGACGTTCCACGTCCCAAGAGCCAGATGTTGGGTGTGTGGACTGGGTCGCCGAGGTCTCCGCCTTCGACTGCTGCCCAGTCCTCTCTGCACCGCGCCACCACGGACCCCTCTGCAGGTGGTGAGCCCACAGGAGGGACTGCCCACGTCGACCCTTCGGGCTGAGCCCGGCCAGGCCCCATGGGCTAAGCCCCGGCCACCAGGCGCTCGCATTCGAGCCCCGACCCCAAGCCTGGCTCCAGGGTGGGGCCCCAACTGCGCCATGCCGGGCGACATCACGGTTCTTCTCTTCATGTTGTCTATGTTGGCTTCTGACTGCTCTTCGTCTGACTCGTCACCCGAGACCTGTCTGCCATGGGAGACCCTACCAGGGGCATGGAGCCCCAGACAGCATAGCTCCCTGATTCATCCGAGTACTCAAACTCCCCTACCACGTTAAGGTGGCAGTCCAGGGGGAGTATTATAATTGTATACATCATAATTATTTGATGTTGAAGCACAAACAGTTTAATTATTATTTTCACGCTGGCCTTCAGCTCCTGGCCGGTATCTTCTTTTTTTTATTCTGAAAAAGAAAATAGATATCAACCAGTACGGAATTGTAGTTTAAACATGTCACACAATCACATTTCTGATTTTCTTTATTGATAAAGAACTTCTCTTTATTGCACCAAGGACGCAGCTCCTGTTATCTATAGCAATATAATTTGTGCCTCTGGTTTACTGATGACTTTATATTTTGTTTTCTATATGTGTTTTAACATTTCTCTCCAATGGGACAACCAGGCGAATAATGCAGTCTGTCCCATAATGCTGGGCTCTTGTGATTCAGGTAGACAGGGATTTGACCCACTTCTCCACCATTGTCCCATCAATGAGGAACAGAACAAAGACGTGTGGGCTGTGTCTGCAGTGACAGCCACATGTGTGTCCGGTCTGAAGGCCGCTTGAAGCCATCGATCACACGTGCCACAGCAGCAGAGGGACAGAAGGTACAGGTTAAGGCAACACCTTTATTTCCTTAGTGAGTCAGAGCAGTTTGTGTGGTGGCATCTCTGTTGACACGGGGCAAAAGTCTGACGCAGTGAAGCAATATTTCTCTTAGATAATGTGGTTGGCAAGGTTGGCAAAATAGCTGTTCTGCATGACTTTGCTCTGAATAGTGACTAGTTGCTCTATAGGACCTACACTACATGTTTGTAATAATAACATGATATTTAATTCAATTCATTTTTTACATGAGAAAAAATTTACCACCCAAGTTTGAGCTCACATTTTACAAAATTATAGTTTTCCTCAATATAATTCACAAAAGGTGATTCACTGCACCAATCCACCAAGGTCTGAAACACATATTTGTCAAAACCTTGAACTCAATTCCTGGGTTACAGACATCTCTCATCCTTCCTACTTTGCAAAACCTTGACATATCTACAGAAAACTCACTCACTTATGCTTACATTTATGCATCTAATAACAATTCTAAAAGTAGAAAAACCTTCAAGTATCTACATTTTCAGTCTTCAAATTGTAAAAATTAAAACCCCAGTTAGACCCGCCCCCACAGGTTACTGATTGGATTAAATTAATTTAAATCCCTGATGCTGAGCCTTCTTCACCATTGGTCTAACTATTCTGACGCTTATTCCAAGGGGAGGGACTGTTTTATAAATATACTTATTATACGGCTCCTCACAGCAGAAGTAGGATGCTCCATTGATTTGAATGTAATTTCAAAAAGTTCTACTGGTCATTATTTTTTATAACGGACCTCTCAAAACAATAATGAAGCGGTCATTATTGGCATGGCAACGCACTCTCTGCTTGTATTTTGTTAGTCTCGTTCTGGCCACTCCGGAGCTAGCCACGCTCAATCAACACACTTAAATGTTAATCGGAGAATACTTTATACATATACATTCTTCACACACGTGCATGGAGATTTTCAGAATTTTCTGGTCTTGTCTTCATTTTAGGACACATTTGCAGAGGATCGAATTATGGATTTAGGTTAGGTTTATGTTTGGGTCACCCACCGCTGATGTTCAGAATTCTTTGTTCAGTTTTCATGCAGTTCCAGAGAGTTCTAGTTTGGAAGTTGCCAGCCTAACTGTTGCTAGCATAGCCACGGGAAAGCCTTTGGGAACTATTTTATTTTCTGTCATTAAACCTTTCGGCATTCCTAAAAGTGGACTGAAGTTTATTTTGTGTGTTCTGTTGGTATAAAGCCGTATAATAAGCGGGATAACGTATATTACGCAGGTCATTCAGGGCGGAAGCAGACCCCGACGCGCACCGCTTCGCCCTGTCGGTACTTATTTTCCGACCTGCGTAATATACGTTATCCCTTACCTAATCAAGAGTTTTTACCTGTGTTATAATCTTTGCACAAAGGTTTTCTAATCATCAATCAGCCTTTAGACACATTGAGACAACACTATGTACTATTTAAAAAACTGGTTTAATGGATGCTGGAAAAAACAGGTGAAAATGTTTCAAAAGTGAATTTATTTCTGTATTTCAACTTTCAATGGGAAAGCGATATGATATAGACTCGCTACATACAAAGTGACATACTGTATGCCAGCCAGTTTTAGTAAATGGGCTTTTGAACAATATTCTATAGTGTCAATACAATTACTGAATATGTTTATATTTTACATTACCACCTGACCTAGGTTTTTTTCAACCAACGTTAATACTAATTTTGGTGGATAGTTTCAACTGTGATTCCAGAACATTTTATCTGCTTGACCATGAATGATGGTTGATGGATGAGTCCTGTTGGACTTCTTTCAATGTCTTTTCTGATGCATAATCTGATCCCACCCATAAAAATATCACTTTAGTGTCGTTTGTGCGTGTGTGAGTGAATTGCAGCCCGGTCTGGGCACCGGAGGTTATCTGGGGTTTGAAAGATGCCGCTCATTTCCGCACTGAGGCCTTGGCTCCAGAGCCGGTGGGACGGTGAGGTGATGTTGTTTATCTACAGCGTGATAACTGTGTGTCCTTGTGGGCTTTGCTCCTATATAAGCTGACGCCTCCAGTACACTCCAGAATCAAGCTTCAGTCTGATCTACAATACTGAAGTCACTTCTCTAACTTTATTCTATTTGTTCCAACATAATTCAGGGAGATTTAAGACAAGAGAGCCTTTATTTGGGGACTATAACAAACTCTATTATACCTATAGTACAGTCCACTCTCAATCTCTAAAGACACAATGCTGCCTGCTACCTTCAAGTTGTGTGCGGGAATCTCCTACAGGCACATGCGCAACATGACTGGTGAGTGGATCAGATAACTTCATTTTATGTAACATTATGATGACTTTTTTTGCTATTTCTGGAGTGTAGGTTTACAAAAGAATGCCCTGGTTGCTCTTCACCATGAGTTGAACAGGCTGGCTGGTCCTGGGCCAAGCAGCTGGATAAACCATGTCCGAAGGCGAAGCTCTCTCCTCAGTAAGTACTAAATTATTAATATTATTATAACTTTTTAATCTATTTTTAACAGAGGCACTCTGCTCACACATATTTTTATCCTGAAAATGTTTACTTTTGTGTTTAGGCTCCCGTATCATTGAGCAGGAAGGGTTGAACGAAGCAGAGTTGTCTTATGTTAAACAAGGAGAAGATGCATTGAACAAAGCCATAAGTATTCTCAGTGATCAAGACGGCTGGACTGTGGAGACTGTTGCCGTGAGTACTCATGACATGCAAAAAACATTATCATGGTCATGTTTTAGTATTGTATAGCGTGATGTACAGTTCATGTAATCCCTTCCTGTCACTGCCCAAAGTGTGTACAAATGAAAAACACTGGCTGTACATTGTATTGTATTGTATTATCTTTTAGGCAAATGGAGACAAGGTGTTGAGTAAAGTTCTTCCAGACATTGGGAAAGTGTTCAAGTTGGAGGTGATGCTGGAGCAGCCTCCGGACAGCTTGTACGAGGAGCTGGTGGGAAACATGGAGCAGATGGGGGATTGGAATCCAAATGTCAAACAGGTCAAGGTAGGAAACCAACATTTGTCTGTTAGAGCAGTAAAATGTGTGGACTTACACTTGGTCTTATATTTTTCTTCACATTATAATTAAATGCTTCTTGTACGGGAACAAGTTGCAAACAATAAAAGGTTATGGCTAGAGAAGTATAGCATATAATGAGTATAAGATTAGTTACATAACAGTAGGAATGAGCACATAGCACAAGATAAATGAACACAGCTCTACTCTAAACTCCATACTAAATGACTCTGTACTAAACTCTCTACTAAATAAAATATCAAAATAAAATCTCTAGCGTTAGCATCATAAGGAAGCAGTCTATAATCTGTAATAAAAAGCAAAAATCAAGTTAAGTACAAAATCTCTGCCATGACAATTTTGACAACACACACGTATTTTGCATTTATAGATACTCCAACAGATCGGCCAGGACACAATGGTCACACATGAGGTTGCGGCTGAGACCCCTGGTAACGTGGTGGGCCCCAGGGACTTTGTGAGTGTGCGGTGTGCCAAACGCAGAGGCTCCACCTGCTTCCTGGCGGGAATGTCCACCCAGCACCCCAATATGCCCGAGCAGAGGGGAGTGGTGAGGTAAGCAGGTTTATTCTTGTTTATTTTCATTTTGGACAAGGATATCACAATAAAGGTACAAAAGAGATTTAGGAAAGTAAGCAAGAGGCCAAAGACGATAAGCTGTTGTGGATTAGTGGGAAAACAAGGGGAAGATTTCATAAAATTGCTCTTTATTCTGCTCCTTATGTAGGTCATCTTTTGTCTAATGATTCTGTGGCACTGTTGACAATGTTCTTTGAGATGTACTGTATGAATGAAACACAAAAAAAACATAAAAATAATAACTTTTTTAGGAGTAAAACTGTGAATCCATAACGTTATCACAATTGTTTTCTTGTATTTCCAGAGCTGAGAATGGACCGACCTGCATAGTTCTTAAGCCCTGTGCTGAAGATGTCACTAAAACCAAGTTCACCTGGTTACTGAGTCTAGATCTAAAGGTAAAATTCACCAAGGATATCTCTAACATTTTGAGTTCTAACAGTGCCATGGAAGTCTGTTGTTAAAGATGTGTACTGTATATGTCATGGTTGTTCGGTAAAAAGAAAACAGTGATAGTACATTCTGATGAGCCTAAATTAAAATGTTTTAACAATTTCCTCTCAAACAATGTTGCTCATCCTGCGTCTTTGTCTTTGCTGCAGGGCTGGATCCCAAAGACTATCATAAATAAAGTGCTTTCCCAGACGCAGATGGATTTTGCCAATTACCTCCGACACAGGATGGCCGCTCATGCTCCTATGGAAATGGCCTCTGTCGCCTGCTGATACAAGTCAAACGTGCACTAACTGAAGCCAACTCAATAACAGGATATTTAAAAGCTAAATAAATAAAAATATCCACTCTTGTGAATTTTACAGAAATTGCATTGATGTATTTATTGAAGTTAAATTACAAAAATAAAATATATAAACTATTTTATGACTTTGCTGTGTCTATTCCTTTGTCGGATGCATATTTTCATTGAGCATATAAAATAATCAAATTAGAAATAATGTACATCCCACATACTTTGTATTGGTAACATTGGTAAATGTCTCAGTGAACATACTGAAATGTTTAAACTGCTGAAGTAAAGGTTTGTCGTCCTGTGTTTCTAACATTGTACTTGTCATGTATTATTTTATTTTTTTTCTCTACTGTCAGTCAATTTCTAGGGACAAGTGGTGCGAATTAGCTTTGGCTATAAGCACAATGATTCATCAGCCTACTGTATGTCTATGTTTTCTCTATCTGTCCCTTCTCAAATTAACCAAATAATAATAATAATACATAGGCAAGGCAAGTTTATTTGTATAGCACAATTCATACACAAGGCAATTCAAAGTGCTGAACAAAACAAAATAGCTTTAAAATCATAAATAATTACAGAACATTAAAAAGAAAGATAAAAACATAAAATCCCTCAGTTGTATGCACAGCTAAACAGAACTGTCTTTAACCTGGTTTTAAACATTGTCAGAGAGGAGGCCTGTCTCACATCTTCAGGAAGACTGTTCCAGATTTTAGCAGCATGAATCTGAAAAGCAGCCTCCCCATGTTTAGTCCTGACTCTGGGCACTAACAGGAGTCCAGTCCCTGTGCTCCTCAGAGTCTGGGTACATAAAATTAAAAGCAAATGTGTGGATTTCGTTCAGAGTGAGACTAAATTATATTCTGTTATAAAAAAAATACTTAGCTCTTATCGTATTGTGTACTGTAAAACGTTGTGTTATCTTTATTACACATCCCTATTGAATAAGAAAATGTATCAAATCACAAATGTACTATAATGCACTGTATGTATGTAGCCTACTTTGGTCAGCTGCTGTGAATCACCTTCTTAACACACACATGGCTGTGGATGAAGTATCACCATGTACAGTATCTATGAATGGCATGTTTAACAATCAGAAATCTAAGACAAAACAACATTTTATTACACTATCTCTGTGTAAAATTTGTTTGGGCTACAGTCCTATCTGCTGCTGGATACAGACCTACAGCTCAATGCAGGAACCTTTAGGCACTCACAAAAACTCGAGTTTACTATCATCAATACAGCAATCACTCAAAATACATTTCTATAACTCTTTCCAACAGCCCACAAAGGTGTTTAAAGTTATTCATAGATGTTGTAAACACAGACTCACATCAAGCGATAGGCTTTTCCGGTGGTTTCTTATCAACATTTCACAAATCTCAAAATAAAGCTTGGATCTCCCCATAACACACACTGAAAAAAGTCAAGGAGATTAAATCAAAACACTGAAACAAAACATAAGCTGGACTCTAAAGATTGTCTTAAAATAGGACTAACCATGGGAGGCGGGCCCTTCAGATTTACACAGTTGAATTCTGGAACAATCTTCCTGAAAATGTGACAGGCTTCTCTGACATAATCAAAAACGTTCTGTTTCGCTGTGCATAAAAACTGTAGTATTTTTTCTGCACTAATATTTTAAAATGAATGTTTTTTTAATCTCAAAATTATTCTCTTTCTTGTTTTGTAAAGCATGTTGAGCTGACCAGTGTTTCATTGCACTAAAACTCGTTGCCATATCTATGTGGAGGCTGCTGTATATTCAATCCCCCTTAATATAATTTCTGTAGCTTTTATACAATTTAAGACTGACATCATAGCTCTAGACAGTAATGCTGCTGGATGGGAAGATAGAGAGACGAGGAGGAGGAGAGACAGCTAACCATGACGTAATGATCCAAAAGCTGTGCAGCGAACTACAATTCCCATGATGCACTTGCTATTACTGTGGCCACAGGACGGGGGAAGGGAAGCCGAGATTGGAGGGAGAAACAATCGAAAACTAAGGTACTTTATAATATTCTTAATCGCTGTATTTGTGCTAAACGCGGGAGACATTCAATAGTGACTTGCACAGACAGTCCACGTTTATAAAATTACGTTTAGATTCATTCGGAAATAACGCTTCTTTTTGTTCAGACACTCTTACAGTTCAATAGAGCTTCGGCTAGTCCTTTAGTTAGCTTTGACAGCTGGCTTTTCGAGCGAACTAAGAAACTATTTTAATGAATGACGTTAGATGGTTATCTGCGGGTGCTTCTGCAGGTTTAAATGCACGTATGCAAACGCTACATGCTTTTCTTTTGTCCGCGCAGCAGCTCAGTCTTTGTGCGGGGATCATACGTGGGGCTAGCTCCGTGTTGCAGCGGCTGTCAAAGCTACTGTACTACAATTATACACTCTGATGCTCTTTTCACTCTGTGTCGTGAAAATGCACCAGTTTGAGTCATTTTTGTCACGTTACATGCGCTTTTGCAGAGATTTTAAACTTGCAAAAGTCCTGAAATCGCGTTAGTGAAAATACGTCATTAGATCGTTCCCAGTGATCTCAGTGGTGAGAGGGATCTGAACCATCTCTTGAAACCGCTAATGTCCATTATGCATTATGATGTATTTATGTGTAATAATGTTGTATTGGCGTTTCAAATAAAATGACTGTTTGTGAAGCCTAAGTCAGAATGTAGAAGTGCCATCTATTGAATGTAGGTCAATATGTAAAATATGTATTCTGCAAGTTTAGGTATCTATATTTTTCTAGTACTGCTCTTTAAAGGTCTGAACTGACAATTGTCAACTAACTACTACTCAAATAATAACTGCTGGCTTATGAATATGTATGACATGGAGTTTTATTTCTCCACCAATTGCAAGAGACATGACGCATAAAATGAATAGTGTTGTCCTATTCAAACACATAATCTCTAAACCAACAGAATACAGTTGTGGCCCGAGTATTTCAATATAGAACCTAATTTTCATTGTGCTAACAGATTTTTGCTTTATTTGTAGGTGCTGTAACCACATGGCATCCCCTCCATGGGATTGGCCATACATCACCCTTCCCACGCACTCCCCTTAATCAGTCTTACTTTGTTGGCCATGAGCAAAGTAAAAACTTAAAACCCGAGAGTAAGGGACCAGCCAGTACCAGAAAGTGTCCCTGGCCTTGATTTGAGTGCCAAAGCAATGAAGAGTCTTGTTCAGGGAGAACCCAGCCCTGAAAAGCAATGTCATTATCAAGCTTTTGTGTTCCTCTGATGGGCCAAAGGAGCCAACCAAGAGGCCAAGAGGAGATCTGCGGAGGAGAAGAAGCAAGGAGCTGTTCAGGAAGGCTGTGTTTTGAGGCATAGCCTTTCTGCCAAGTAATTTTTGTTGACTGAAATTCACACATTCATCGCAGAGCAGAAACTCAAGGTTGGAGTTGGGTGGTCAAAAATAAACAGCTCGTCATTCGTACTTCACAACATGGAGTTCTGCCACAAGTGATAACTTCTGGTGCAAGAAAACTGGTGACTGTGGACCCTGGGCTGTCGGGGTGTAGAAGAAAACAAGCCGAAAAGCAAATGCGCACTACAACAACCATGGTGGTCCTTTCATCGGATCTTTGGCCCATCCCGCGGTATGATTTCACTAGCCTCTAGAGGCCAGGATCCAGAATACAATTGCCAGCCGCCGCACATGTATGCAATGGAGGAAGACATTGATGTCACATCCCACAAGGAGGTAATTATATTTTGCATGCTCACTTAAAGTCTCAATTGAGTTTGAGCGTCCCAAACTAGGACTGCAGCTGTCAACTATTTTGTAATGTGATTTTATATGTATTATTATTGAGTAAGCTTTTCACTAGATGGAAAAACAAAAAGTAAAACAAAAGTGCCTGGATTAGCTCGTTATGATGTGTTTCACATAATATGTAAATATTATAAATAGTGTGTAGATCATATTTAACTACTTATTTTTATTTAAACATTATTTTTAGTAGCTAAAAGTTTCTGATTAGGGCTGGGCAATAAATCTAATTTGTGAAAAACGTGAAAATGGTGAATGGAGAGTTCCAGCAGCACATGAATTATACTTGCAACATCAGCACAGTCTTTACAAGACTTTTATAATACGTATCGGGGGAAACAAGATAAAAATAGTTTTGAAACTTGAATATTGAGCGGAAAGATCAAAAAATATTTTTTAAAGTCTGTCTTCGGTGATTTTAATGAAAATCGATTAAAAATCGTCCAAAGCAGGAAATAAAATCGAGATTTTACTTTTTGCCATATCGCCCAGCCCTATTTCTGATTAATCAAGACTTAGGAATTTTAATCAAATAATTATTGTAATCAATTTTATTATTTCAGCCGGATTCCAAACAATTTTAAATGATTGTTTTTGTACATTTATCAAGTGTATTAGGTTATATTTCTAGGATTTGATTTAACTGTGAAAACCAGACTTCATGATAACTGCCTTGGCACAGTATATATTACATATTATAGAATTCTACTGCATAATAAGCACAATTAAAATGGATCCAGTGCAGTTGAAAAGGTAATAATAAATTACTTTTCCTTAAGTTCCTAAGAGCTCCCTATTCACCATAATAAGCAACAAAAAATATATTTCTAAATGATCTTTATTAATCTCACCCAGTAAGAAAATTAACTTTTCCCCATGCGTTTGATTTTTTTACAGATGATCATATGTCATTTCTGCTCTGTTATTTTGTTTAATGTCGCCAATTAAGAGCTGATTTGTTCAAGCAGTCCTGTCACATATGTTTAAGTTAAGTCCTAAGGTCAACAGTGCTTTCTGCTTTGGCTATAATCTCTGGTGCCGTTTGCTTGGTGTGTTGCCATAGCGGCCGCTGACAAAGCATTTCCCTCATCCCCAGTTTGGTTTTTCACTCGTAACATTAACTCTCGCTCCTTGGCACCCATCCACAGCTTAACAGTGGATATCCCTGCTTAAGTTGGGTCTGGACCATAGTCTGGACAGGCCTGGGATAGCCTCTGTGTCACTCACGGGAATGTTTACAGACCAATTAATATTGGGTGTGCTATTTTTCCTGGCCAAGAAACAAATATTGGTTTAAAAAGCTTCACTTGTTCCTTATTACTTCAATTCTGCAGGGTCTTAATGGTTTGTCCTACGAATGCAAACCATTGGAAGACATCAATGGACACTCAAATCACAAACCAGTAAGTTTCTCCTTCAACTTCAAATATTAACATGATCATAAGGCGCCTCTTTGCATGAAGTGAGGGATGGCTTTAGATCCAAACAAGACTCTAATGTACTGTGTCATATTTTTCAGGTTATGAATGGATTGATAATTGGTTACAATAACAAAGACCACACAAATGGCAGTGCTTCGCTTAGAAATTTACCAGTAAGTTGACCTCCAAGCACCAGTTTAACAAATGCCTATCAAACATGCACTTAACGGAATTTGGTGCAGATTTCAGCGCTGAAGCAGAATGGGCTTCTGCAGACGTTGGCATCGGGAGGAAACCAAGACAAGCCTACAGGTGGCACATAGTTTGTCTTCCTCTTTGGTGTATGTGTTTTGTGTTTTCATAACTGCTTCAGGACTATTTCATGGTTATTGTGCTCTTGCTGTTATAGATGACAATGAGGAGTTGGAAAAGGTCAGGCAGGAGTGGGAAGCAGTGGAAAGCGTACAACCTGGTCAGATCTTTTGCCAAACTTTCTTTCTAAAATGTATTTGTCTGAAATAATGGAACGTTATATAATAAATGTGTTTTTTCAGTGATCTCTGAAGAGTCCACCCCAACTCCACTCATCTCTTTTAACGAAGCACTGCAGTACTTTCAGACCACAGATCTAGGAGATTTACTTGTAAGAACTGCAGTTTTGCATTCCCTCTTCATAGTGAAAATGTTGAATATATTATAATAGTATAATATATATAATTTTTTAACTATTCAAATAATTTTATGTTTGGTGTGCTTCATGATAAATTAATTTAATATATTAAGTCTAGATCTACACTGTTTCACAGATATTAGTACTACCCGGACTAATTAATACAAAGCACACACATTTTGGTGATAAAAATTCTAAACCTAAGATCTGCCTCGAGATTATTTTTAGAAATATAGCAAAAATATTCTTTTTTTTTTTTACCAAAATAGCTCATGAAAAGAACCAGATTTATATTTTAAAACCTGTCACTATGCATTTGATAAATATAATATAAAATCATGAGTATATTTAAAGATCATCATTGCAGAGTCCATAGTTACGTGTCCTACTCTCATTTTTAGAAGAACATCCAGCCCACCGTTCGAAGGACTGGTCTGGCCGCCATCACTCACTTCCTCTTCGGCCCTCCACGATTGCACCGCGAGCTTCTGGAGGAGAGGGACCTGGTCTTTGCCATTGCTCAGTGTGAGTGTCTGGTCTGCGCGCACATTTGAATGTTTTGAACTAAAAATCTCTGATCTTCAATCTTCATATGTGTTTGCAGGCCCAGTGGACAACAGCCAACCCATCCACATGCGCGTCCTTCAAACTGTTTATAAAAGACTAGTTGGCAGCAAGTTGGACTGTCCACGCTATGGGGTGCACTGGGAGACCATCGGGTTTCAGGGTAGGACTTAGCACTAAGTTTGGATTGTTACATAAATGAAGCCGTTATGAATTTTTGTTTGTAAAATAATTTCTGTTGGTTTTGCAGGTACAGACCCGGCCACAGACCTTCGTGGCACTGGTTTTTTGGGTCTCATGCATAGTCTATACTTTGTAATGGATCCAGAAATGCTACCACTTGCACGAGACATTTATAAGCTTTCCCTACATCCAACACAGGTACAACTAGCTCATTTAAAGGTCCTACTGTTTTTGTGATGCATTAGCCTAGTTATTTTATTGAATGTTCATGGAGAATAGAATAATCTAAATTTCAGGCAGACAAAAAAAATATAATTCAAATAGAAGCAGATTTGACAAATCTCCTGATGAACTCTGTTGTAAAAGAATGTTCCCATAGCTTTTTTTTTTACATTTGATCAGTAAAAGCAGCCATCACCTCGGCTCTCAAGCTGTGTTCACACCGGCAGCACATAAACATCTTGCCGCAGCATCTCAGTGGGCTGTTTGTTTGAAATCAGTTGCAAAAATCAAGTGAACCTCTCGTGCTAACCATGTTCAGCCAGTGGAGCCGAGAAACGCGTACCCCCTCTTATTATATCACAATATGACGATTATCAATGCATTGGTCAGAAATATAATGTTATAGAAATCTTTTAGTAAAGCAATCTGAATAAACACGAAATAGTTCTAAGTGTAAGTTATTAACTAATTCTCAACTCTGGATTCAAATACAGCATATCTGGTCTGTTGGCAGCAAGGTTAGCTTAATCGATGGAGATGTGTTTCTTTGACAATATCTGGGTCATAGAACAATGTGTTCAGGTCAAAGCAGATTATTACGAGATGCGTAATGTAGCCATATATTGAGTATTGATACAATTTATTTATTTTTTAAATAATTTTTAAAAATCGATACTTGGCAAAATGGCAAAAGCATATTGATAATCGATCATGTGAGAAAGTATCACGATACATCATCATATCAATATATCGTCACACTCCTAACAAAGATAATAATATAATTTTAGACTTGTATGGCTTTTCATAGCTAAAAGTAAAATGTCTTGTTTGCAGAACTTTCCATTCAGTGTGATGTCGATCAACATGACGCGCATCGCTCTGCAGGTTCTCAGAGAAGAAGCCCTGTCCAAGTCTGTTATTTCATATTTTCACTGGTTTGTTTTTTTCTCTGCATTATTTTCCATTAATTCTTTATCCTTTGTCGCAGGGAGTGCAACCGTCGTCAGCAGGTAGTCGGTGTGTTAAATGAGTTCTACGTCGCCACGTATTTGCATCTGTACCAGCTCTGGAAGACCCAGCAGAAGACCATTGCGGACTCCGGATTTGTACTCAAAGGTCTTCTCTCTTTAGACTTATTTAATCTTTAATTCAGACACATAACAATACATATATACTCTCTTTTATTATTGACCGCTTAACTTATTTTAAAAGGTAAGCGTTCGAAAACATTCATACCATCTCAATTGCACAAAGTAAAGAGCAGTATATTTAAGTCTTAATTCTTAATGTGTGTGGCATTGACAGTTTCTGCAGTTCTGCTTAAACATTTTGACATGTATGATCTAAGTTTTTACCAATTCTTCAAAATGGTTTAGTATATTATAATGATCCATGCTTGTCATACATTATAACTATGGTAGCCATTAAAGTACAATTGCAGCACAATATGTCTTTAATTGAACTTCTCTTCAGCCATAACGCTGAATACTGACCAATAACAACATGCGATGGTTATACAGATTGCTGTCGCTGCGGGAGGCCAACATTTGCTGTGCTTTGTATCCCCTCAGAAGTGGAGCTGTTTGCCAAAAAGAACCCCAAGCAGATGCTGCGCCGACTAGAGGTCTTCCTGAAAGAGAGGCGGGCAGGTGGCATCCCCCGTGGGACATCTCCAGACCCCCAGGCCCAGCAGTCCTCTCCCAGCCTGGGGGAGAGAGGCGCGCGTGGAGGACATGGAAGCAGGGCCAAGGAGATGCACTTCACCGGAGTGTGCGATTTACCGCCGGACATGGAGGGAGAAGCTAGGCTGATCTGAGAGACTGTGTGCACTTGTATGTCTGAGTGTAGCAGTCCTCTTTGTGAGTATATATATTAACGTGTTGTGTAAGTTGCTTCCTCTGTTACACAAAGACAGAGAACTCCATCAGACCCTGATCTGCGACCTGCTAACTGAACCTTTTAACCCGTCTGCTCCCTTCATTGTTGCTGGGGTGCTGCACTTTGACTAAATGTAGGATCTTTGTCTGAGATTGTTCAGTTACATTTTGTAAGCAGAGATATCAAGAGCTAAAGCAGGTCAGATACACAAGATGTCACAACAAAGTGAATACTTGCACTTTTGTCAATGTAGTAGCCAAATTATAACCTGCCAAATTCTTGTGGTTAAACTGTACTGGCCTAGAAGTCCAAAATGTACATGTCCCTACAATCTGTCACCCAGGGTTTGTGAGCATTAACAGGCTCGGCCTTTGCTCCCAGTGGAGCAAGAGACTTGCCATCATTTAAACTCTCATGCATCGTATGATGTCAGGAATATAGTTTAATGCTTTGTTTAAAAACAGACTGGTCCTGTTGGGCTGCGGGGAGTATCTCTCCTGTTATGTGGTGTTCTTGGACATTCTTGAGCAGAATTTTTGCAAGGCATAAATGTCTGCTGTTGCACACTTCAGTAAATAGGCACTGTTAAAACATGTAATGTGGTCTTTGAATGCAGCTTGCTTTTCAAGGTTCACTCAAATAGAGTTAATGAAGTATATTCAGGTGAAAGATTTTAATAGACCCTTGTCAGATGTGGTGAAAGTAAAGCCAGTGGTTAATGCATTCAAAAGTGTGTGTTGTGTGCTGCTGGGGTCTAACTAGGTTATTACATCCCAAAGTTGGGATTATATATTTTAAATAAAAATATGTCTTTAACTCATTCTATAGGGATATTAATGAGAGCACTTCAGATCTTTATTAAATTGCTGAGAGACTATGAAAAGACCTAGGGTTGTGCAAGTTAAGATCAGATACTCATGTGTGAACGTCCAGGCTTTGGCTTCAGCCAAGGAGATGCTTCATATTAGTCTTTAGCTGGGCCTGGGTTCCAGCTCAAGGCCAAGTCTGGTATGAACTTTCTCTACATTCCGTTAAAGCATGTGATTGTAATTTTTTTAATATAGTTCTAAACTTTATTCCAGTGTGTGTGAGACGTAGGGAGAGCGGATATTGATGAAGGGTGCCTCTGATCTGGTACAGTATGCAATCCCAGCTCTAACTCAACGATAATCAAAAACAATGTGCTGTGTGACCGTTTTTAACTTCAGGGTTGGTGTGAATGTTTGTGTGAGCGCGTGCGTGTGACAGGAACTGACTACAGATGAGCTTCTTTACACTGCACACACACGAAGCCAGCTCTCCTGAAGGCACCACACTCGGTACTTTACATGGGGTACTCTTGTTCATATATTTTTCATTGAAGATCAGTTTGTGCATCTGGTTTGAATAGAGCTGGATCGTGGCGTGTGCTGTGGGGAAGGCTGTCATTGTAGTCTCAGTCTGTAGCATGTTCAGGTAGCACTAGTACTGTAGCATCTTTAGCTTCCTCCTCTTTGTAAATGTTGATGTCACGTCTCAGTCTTTCAGTCCCTAGTGTCAGTTTAAATACTCGAAAGCTTTTTCTACTATAGCACATCTAATTCACCTGAACATCAAGCCTCATTATTGTCAATTGTTGTCAGGGGGGTTGGAGATGTCGGGCAGAAATGTGAGGTTTTACTTGAATGGCTAACAAGAGGTGCCTATGTACGCCCTTGTATGATTGGTCGGGACATTCTTTTCGTTTGTTCTTTTTTTTTTCTTCTTTCATTTGAGCCACCGTGCCACTTTAGAAACTCCATATTCACTCAATCAAATCTGGTGTTTCCCCTTTAAAGTGTAGTTTTAACAAAATGTATGCATCAATTGTATAGGCATGTAAATCTAGTGTCAACTTGAGTAAACATCTTTCCTATCTTCCATTTTACCATTTGTTGATGAGCTGACGTAGTTCTGTTAATTGTTTGCAAGTGTATTTTGACGGATCAGGAAATTTTGCACTGTTGTAGATATTTGATAGTATGTCTGTCGTATGCAAGAATACAGGCCATTATCGATAGCCATAAAGTTGATTGCCATCTCATAAAACATGGCCTTTTTTTTTCCTCATTCAAAAAAACACTTGGCAATGTCACCGTTTAGTTTTGTTTTGAAATGAGGAGCAGTACAGTGTATGTAAATCAGGAAGTCTGTATATAAAAGAAGTAATGATTGTAACTGTATGATTGTGAGTAGGGCATTATACTGAACACACATTGCTTACCTCAAAACTTTAGACAAATCTCTCTTTACTCCCAGAACTTCTCCGATCATTTTGTTTTGTTTCTTCCCTCGTACCTTGGCCTACTCGCATATTAATGAATTGGACATGTTATGTAATGTATATCCAAGAAAGTGAGCACTACATAAAGGCAAACTAACACGAAAGCTGATCAATGTTAAGTGTATTCTATTTAAACCAACATGTATCGACACTACTATAGAGGCTCACATGCTATAATGCACAGCTACAGATAAAAATATGAGTTTTGATTCAAAGTTATGTACGATTGACGAGCTCATGTTGACCATATTGGAATAATCTGCTTTTCTGTGGCTTCAGTGATAGTTCAACTTTGGCTGTGGTGTTTGGTGTCAGGATGATCCAACTTCCTCAGTCACAAAACGTTTATTGATTGTAACGATATGGGCTGATTAGCTGTTTGACAAATGTGTACGCTTTGGTATGTATTTAGTATCCAAACAAGGCCTGATTTGTACTCTCATTATTACCAAAAGTTCTATTTTAAGCGGTCGTAATGGATCATTTTATTGCTTTTTTTTTTTTTTATACCTCCCCAAATTGTGAATCAATAATTTAAGGGGGGAAAACGGGTTAGCAGGATGTCGGATGCTCTGAGAGGTGTGGTCTCCTCGGGATTACAATCACTTCTCAATATCCTGCGCTTTATATGAAGATGTTTTACTGTTGCCGTCATCGTCATGTCCCTCAGAGCATTTTATGACTGTACTTTGATTGTAGAAGCCCTATTTTATACTGAGTTATTTCAGAATACAGTATGTGCTGTTGTACATTCAATGTATTGTATGGAGAAAGCTAAATAAATGCAGTTTAAAAGGAATTGTTTGTATCATGTTTTTTCACTGGGTCCGAAGGTCGCGGGAACTAGGGGTCACTGACTTGGCTTTTCTAATGCAGCCACGTCAAACACATATCTATACCATCTATACACATAAGCAGACCGTATATGTTTGTTCAGGCGAATATACCAGAATAGAATATCCAAACACATTTAAATTAAAGGTGTTTTGATCAAATTATTTTCTATCAGATTGATTTAATCTATTCTCTGATTAATTAATACATTTTATGATACATGCGTCAAACCTCTACCAAGTTTTGATGCTTAATATAATGTTCTCATATATATTATTATCTATATTATATTTTTCTCATTATTTGGATGTCACTTACCAGGTTTGAGCATTTTTGAGGGATTCCTGTCTGAAAAGTTTAGGCACCCATGCATTTGGGACTGCTTATTTGACAATCTCCCACAGATATGAGACATTTAATTGGATTATACATTTGATTCTTACATTGATACTAATACAACTACTCTTTGAGGTTGGAGATATGACATAATATAGCCACTAGAGTGCACACTAAACCGACATGAGACTAAAATATTACAATAAAAGCGTGTTGTGTTAGTATTTTGTGAAACTTAGTCACATGGTCTTTTTATCTTCCTACCAGGGAATCACTGCTTTTTCTATTTTAAAACCTCCCTCCTGAGCTTCATCTCAAAGTCTGGTCGTGTTAATACCAGCAAAGACACTTTACAACTGGCTTTTAGACTTTGGAAACTTCACTAAGTGTGCAGTTACTTTCCATTGTGGAGGTTATAAATCAAGCTCATTGTCGACTTCAGTTCAAAAGTTGGCATCTGGATATCGTTTCAAGCTCCGTATCACTGACCTGCTTCCCTAAAATAGTATCTGTAAATGTCTTCAAAGGTATTTTTTTTTTTCTTTTACTTTGCAAAGCTACTTGTCGTAAAATGTTGAGAAGGAGTTTTTGGTTTGGGGTCAGGGAAATTTGTGAGGAATTTGTGTGTTTTTGCCTCCATCTGCGCTTCATCAGACAGTGGCTCTGAGCCCAAAGAGCCAGATGACAAGGCTGCTGAATCACTGCACGCTCACGGTGGAAAAATCTCAGCTTTGCGTGTTTTCTATTAATAATACTTTTACTCAACCCATCCCTCCTGCTCGATGGGGGAGCTGCTATCTCAAGATAAGTCTTTTTTTGTTAGTATTTTTTCATTTTTTACTTTTGAAACCCACTCTTGCCAAATCAGCCATTGATTGATTGAAGTGATAAAATATTAAACAGGAACAGTTACTCGAACTTATGTAAAGCTGTTTTTAATATTGCAGGATACAGTAATTGCTGATCTGTCTATTACAACTGCATATTTTACGAGTGAAACAGGGAAAATTAGAGTATAATTCAATAGTTATTTATACAATTCAATTTTATCTTTCAGCCCCCGCTGAAAGTTCTGTGCTCCTGTGGACTCACCACCTGCAGGAGGATCAGTGAGGGGCTGGTGCTGTGTGAACTCCCTAAACCCCTAACCCAGAAATGGATAAAGGGGAGGAAAATGGATGGACAAACTTAAAATGTGAAACCAATATATGATATTGACTCATTACATAACTACATAACTGACATAAGTCAAGCCTTTGTTATATTTTATGATAATGTATAATAATGATGATAATATTCAACATTCCGATTATCAACATTATAGCAAATACATGCTTTTTCTTGCTATTTTATTTATGTACTTTTGTTCAATAGTTTGGTCGAATCTAAACAACACAAATCTCATTAGATCACCACTACATTAATATACAATATGGAGTCAGAACTAGGCCGTCAGCGTGGCAGGAGATCTGGTGCACACTGGGGCAGTCTTGCACAGTTTTTCCAGTGTGGTTTTACTGCAAATGGCAAATAAAGTCTTGAATAGTTACATAGCTGCCGCTTTTTTTGCTCCCAACTAAAAAAATCGGCATTAACCAAGTATTTTCCAACCAAGACATCTCGGTGGCAGCGTCAAGGTAAGTTATTTGTATAGCGCAGCCCATGCACAAGGCAACGCAAAGTGCTGAACAAAACAAGATCCCACAAGGCATTAAAATCATAAATAATCACTGTACATTAAACAGAGTAAAGATAAAATCCCTCAGTTGTATCCACAGCTAGACAGAATCACTGTTTTGACATGGATTTGGAGTAGAAGCCTGTCTCACATTTTTAGAAAGACTGTTCTGGATTTTAGCTCAGTTCTGTTCAGTTCTGACTTTTGGCTGCAGAAGGAGGCCATATGTCTTATTTTTATTTTTTTGTCATTTTGATTGATTAATTGCTTATGATACACATAACTGCCTCTAAAATTGACAACAAAATGAATCCTATTTTTCAAGGGCTTTTCGTCATCCAGAAAAATATGTTTATTGCACTCTGAACATAAACAAACTATTTACACTAATCCCAGACTCAGTCATAAAAATACAATTAGACATTTTTGCAGGAGTAATAATCCGCTTTCCATGTGTACCTAGTGAGCCTGCTGCTCTCTCTCTCCTCCCCCGGACCCTCCTTCGGTCTGACATCATTGTTTCCTGTGGAGATGCTGACGCTGAAGTGTGCACTGGAGATCACTGCACATGTGCTGAGCTGAGGGAATACACAGCTCCAAAATAAGAACTGATGTCAGATTAGGGAAAATATAGGCATGGGGATTGAAGAGGTGTTGTCTGTGTGGTCTGTGTGGAGGTTGAGGAGTTGTCATTCATTCAAAAGGCAGCTGCATGTGTTGTGGTTTCAGTCTTGTCTGGTTTGTCATTAAGCCTGTTTACACTGGGGACAACGATCATAAAATAGAATGTTTGGCAAATTTATTTGTACAGACACAAGGGAACCCACAGTGCTTCTCAAGAAAAAACAGAAACACTAAAATCATAAATTGTCACTGTATATTCAAAAGAATGCGTAAAGATTCAAGCCTTCAGTTGTTTGCAGAGTTAAACACATCTGGATTTGAACATTGTCAGAGTAAAAGTAGTAGTAGTAGATTGATTACAATTATGACACATTTATTTTGGTACAAAGAGTCTTACTTGGGGCGACAGTAGCTTTGGGGGACCTACTCCAACTGCTCCCACTCATGTCTGCTGTCGTTGTGTCCTTGGGCAAGACACTTAACCCCACATTACCTGAAGTCCCCGCTGAAACACCAAGGCTGTGGCATCACTGATGTAGCAGCCATCTTCCTGTGGACCCAGCACCTGCAGAGGATCAGCGAGAGACCGGTGCTTTGAGACTTGGGTGGCAGCTGTCATTGTCACCCCCCGACCCAGAAATGGACTAATAAAGGGGCTGAAAATGAATGAATGAGTTTTACTTGTCCTGCAAATGACTGCCCAGAGATACAGTAGCATCTCGCAAGAGCTTGTTTGTTATTAGTTTATTATAGTTTTTCAAAGACATACTGTATATAAAGGACCAAAACTGTCAAAATGATAAATAAATGTCACAACCTGCATATATTTATGACAATAACACTACAAATTGTGAGATTTAATAAATATATATAATTATCACACAACGTTTTTCTTTTGGTTCAAAACCAAATAATAAAGCTTTCTTATTTTCTGTCAGCATTTATTTATTTCCTTGTTCATACAAATCGCAACAACCGCCATAGTTTGCCTTTTTTCACAGTGTGTACACAAACTCATTTTCATATGAAAGACTGCTTTTTAGAATGGCCGTCTAAAAATCCCTCAACTTTTTTATCATACTTTTCTTTTGATAGATCTCAGTTGAAAGAGATTTAAGAGTTGCGAATTATTGTGTTTCATTTAGAGACACAAAACCATTAAAGTGAAAAAGTGAATTTGAGTTTATATATTGGTCAAGTATTAGTCAGAGCAGTTTGGACAGATACACTGTCACTGTGGAACATTCCAGAAATAATTGCAACGTTTTTCCATGGCTAGTGGTGGACTGAAAGTTGTGACCTTTCTCTGGACAAGACTTATTATGCTATTACTAAGATTAATAGATGATGGCATTATAACAAGTGGCCTAAAAACAACAACTGTGGTCAGGAATATCTAAGCAGAATAAATAAACAGAATGATTATGAATTCATTACGCATTCTGTTTCACGTGAGAATGGTGTTGTATTCCAAATCATGCATGAATGAAATGTGAACCAAAAGTCAGCATGATCTAACTGGCACTGATTTATTAATAACAAAACAATGAATCTGCTGAGTTGGCAGATACGTGCATGTGTTCCTTGTCCTGGAGCAATGACAGGTTCAGACGGCAAAATGGATGAGCAGCAGACCGACAAATGGCAAAGAAAACACCAAATCAAGGTCCCGCGTCTATCATCTGCTCGATCACTTCTCTCTACTCCCGCCCTCCAAGGCCCCATGCTTTTCTCTGCTCTTTTTCCTCCTTACAGACTTCTCAACACCCCAAGGAAAGAATGACAGGACGCCGCACACATCAGACAGAGACCAACCAAAACAAGTCCTGGGCTGAAGAAGAATTTGTGCTCTGCTCTCTGTCTGTTTGCATTCGTTTTTCACTCGGTGGTGATTAGTTTCAGTGTTTAGTTTACTCCCTCTGTATCTGCCGCCCTAATCTGGAGCTCAGCCCCCTGCACGGCTGCTTTGAGGGGAAAGACAAGAACTTATCAAGACATTTGCAGAGTCTGAAACATGGTCTTCCCCTGTTGGACATGAGTTCTACAGAATAATACTCAATATGTGTGCACTGAATTTGATAAGCTATTATATAATCATTATTTATCACACTATTGGGAAATCCCAGCGTTGCAACACTTATCTGAACTCAAGTGGATGAATTTACTTTTCAAAATGTGGAGGGGGGGATTTAGACGAGACCAGAGTGAACTCTCTATGGCACTCAAACAGATGCTGGACTTGTGCATATATTTTCAAATAAACTCTATAATATGTATATATTTAATGTTGATTAATATCGTAAATTAAATACTATATTTCCAAAAAAAACACACACAATTCACGCACTTCTGCTGCACCTGAATTAAACTGTTAGGTGCACCAGATTTAATTAATGTATTTGATTCACAGGTGACTATTCTCCCCATTGTTTTGTTTTTTGTTTCCCTCTCTACATTGTTTGTCCTCAAGCAGCTCTTACTGGTGGCACTGACTGTTCATTATAGTATAGGGCTGGGCGAAAAGTGTTGAGGCACACATTACAGACAGTATGAATAGAATACCAATACAGTTTAAAGTTTGAATTTACTGCCATCACAAAGGACAAAGAAAAAGCAAAAATAAGGGTAAATCAAGGTAATGGTCAGGAATAATGCATGGGTTTCATAGCGCTCAAAGGACACTCAAAGATGCTTCAAATGTCATTATTCTTTCACTCCATACACAGTAAGTAAGTAATCTTTTATTTATATACCACCTTTTCACTGCGCATCGGAGTGACAATTGTGATTTTTGGGAGTGGGAGTGCCAGTACAGGAGGCACATGCCAGACCTATTGTACATATTTTTAGTGGTAGGGGAAACCGGAGCACCCGGAGGAAACCTACGCAGACATGGGGAGAACATGCAAACTCCACTCAGAAAGGCCCTGGTCCAACCGGGATTTGAACCAAGGACCTTCTTGCTGGGAGGCAAGAGTGCTATCCACTCAGCCACCGTGCCGCCACAGTAGTGGTAGTAAACTACTACTGTAGCCACAGCTGCCCTGGGGAACACTGCCAGAAGCAAGGAAAACAGTATGTACTGTCAGGGATACCACCAACCTTTCACACACCAGACTCATCCTAGGTAATGTGGGTGAAGTGTCTTGCCTAAGGACACAATGATAGTTTGATACTTCACAGCCACCTCATTGTGGCAACTGATGTTCCCAGAGGTCTCCCATCACAGTATTAACCAAGCCCTGCCCTGCACAGCTTTAGATGTCTGACACAATCTGGCTTTTGCATTCAAGTATACAAACTTTTAGATTAAATACTAATAGATTTGGTTGATAAACATAGAAAATACTATGAGTGCATAATGTATATACTATACAGAAGAATATATGTACCATTTTACAAACTATAATGTACAGTGTACAGAGCAACATATGGGCAACAATAGATAGCAGTGATCATTATTGCCACAGATTATTGGCACATGTGCACATAATAATCCATATCTGATCACTTTAACACTGACCAAAAACCTTATTTATTAAACATTATAGATCCAGATTACAGCTACAATATAAACTTATCAAACAGGTAGCCTTTTAAACCAATTTCTTTCATTCAAAGGCATGCACATGTAATGAATGTCAAATTAGCAGAAAGAAGCAGAAGGCAGTAAAAGCCACACCTCCCTGTCCGGTCTGTGTCTATGGTCCACACCTGTTCTGACTTGTTAGCCCCCGGCTCCTAAACATTGTTTTTTCAGCTGACCACTTCCACGGGACACTTGGGAGCACAGGCTTTTATTTGTCAAGATAGCTGCTTCAGTCTTTCTGCATCTCACCTCTGTTCCCTCCTCCCTAGGCCTCCCCTCCTCCCACTTGCCCCTCTGTCTAGCCCCGTCTGTCAGAGCGGAGCAGCACCAGACTTTCTACAGCTGGACTGAAGACCACATGGGAAGTTGAGGACACAATATTAGAGGGCAAACTTTTAATTTAGGGATTGTGCAATTTGCAGAAATGAAAAGCTTTTGTCTTGCCTTTGTGGCGGTTTTACCCTGTCTACTGCTGGTGCCTCAAGGCGGAGAGAGTGCAGGAGGCATATTGTCTCTCCATCACCCCCCTGAGGGCAGCAGGACGGCGGAGCAACTTCCAGACAACGCCCCTCAAATTGACCTACATCTGGACAGTGACTCAGACCCGCTTGAGACAGGTGAGCTCCCCCACACACGTTTTACAGCACTTTCCACGCTCTGTGTTTAACTGTTATTGTCTCAGATCACAATTTATTAAGTATAGTTTCATACATAAAATTGTAGGGACACGGGTGAGAAATTCTTGGATGACAAAAGAATATGTTCAAAGAAAACATTCCAATTAATGAGTAAGATATAATATATTTGAGATGCCAATTCAGAAGCAATGTTCTCATAGGATTTGAAAATTACTTTTTGGATAGGAGTCAAACAAATGTACAAATTCAAGAGAATCTTTTTGGCATTAGTCATCAGAGTATTTGGCATTGCTGCTTGAAACAGCCATTTCCATTTGTTCTGCATATCCAAGGGACAAAATAAAGTCTACTCTTATGTACCGGATGTTTGCTATCTTTCCCAATTCATTTTTAATTTATGCTCATTGCTTTCTGAGATTGATGCTAGTCTATTCTACTCTAGGCAAGATCTTATATGTGTTATCTTTGTTTTGCGGGGAATTTGAGGGCCCTAAGTAATTGTCTATGTTCCCTGTAGCTGCAGCTCTGTCATCTTGGACCTCCAGTGAATAAACATTATAAAAATGACTGCTATTGGTGGAAAAGTATCATTGTTTGTTTAAATATCTCTTCAGTCAGAGTGAGACGAGCACCAGAGGAAGGCAAGAAAAAGAAAAAGGACAAGAAAAACAAAAATAAAGACCCAGAGAAGAAGAGAGGCAAGAAGAAAGAAAAGACCACTACCACCGAGCCCCCGACCACAACAGGTGAGGACAGACAGAGAGGACTGGCCTCTGGATCAGGAGGCTGCTGTCCACATTTATTATAATCTAATGTTGATCCTGTGCCTGTAGCTTTTCCAACGGAGCCGCCCACGCAGCCAGAACCCTACACCGACTACCCCTACCCCGACCCTGGTGAGTGACACAGGCATTCTTCTGCAAACCAACGTGGCTAAAGCAGTGATGTGGCCAAGACAAGCAGCACTCTAATTACTGTGAAGCTCTCAGACATTTTCAGTCACAAACCAAGCAAGCTTTTCTTATACAGACAATCTTTCAAATTAGGATTGGCCTGGTAATTTGTAATAAGGCACATTTCACTTTAAGGATATAAATAGTTTTATGGTGCCACTCTCTAACTTCTCCTTGAATAATGGCATTACATGTGTGCTCTTTAGGTATGGATTAAATATGCTATTATCTGATTTAACATAAAATAATGAGTCAAATTTTGTAAAGAAACAAATCTTTGGGAACATGAAATCATAGCTAAAGATATCTGTGCAACAAACATAAATAACAGAAAAGTTAAGTCTGAAAAGTAAGATTTTTGTGCATGGTGAAATTTGCCAAACAAAACAATAATAATTTAGTAAAACTAGTATACATAGTAAAATATTTGCTTGGGAATTAAAAATAGACTTGATTCTCATGTGGGACCTTTCCCTGTTTTTCTTTCCATTTTGTCAGACAGTGACTATTGGAAACCAGATGATGACTACTGGGGGGCTGACACAACCCCATCCCGACCGCAGACTGAGGCCCCGATCACAGACGCCCCATACGACCAGTGGAGGCCAGAGGAGGACAACCAGAGCCCAGACCCAGACCAGTGGAGGCCAGAGGAGGACAACCAGAGCCCAGACCCAGACCAGTGGAGGCCAGAGGAGGATAACCAGGGCCCAGAGCCAGAGCAAACTGTGACTGACGGATATGATGACTACTGGAAACCTGATGAGACTGACACATACGCTCAAGTGACGGACAGTTACTACTCCTGGAAAGAGCCGGCACCCACTACTGCTGCCCCTGAGCTGGACGGGAAGACCGGCATCGATGACAGCGACTACTGGGATGCAACATGTATGTGAAAATGATAATAGTGATAAAGAAATAAATAGGTCACTGAGGGAGCCATCACATTTGCTGGTCTGGTTCACTTGAGGCAAAAATGCTTTATTTGTGGATATAAAACCTCAAGAGAACAAATGAAAATGTGTCCACTCGTCACGTCAGAAGTGAATCAGACCTGATCCAGTTAAAGTGAACCTGAAACTGTGAGCATGCCCTAACAAAGAATGATCCCGTCAGAACCGAGGTTAGGTCTCCTGGTTAGGAGACCGTTGGAGAAACCAGGAGCCACATTGTGGCACAAGAGGTTTAAAAGTGATAAATTGCTTTGTGTCCTTGAGCAAAACATTTTACTCTCATTGTCTAATGTCCAATGTGCAGATTAGCAGCCTCACTTAGATCGTATGCATTTGTTGCACTCGTGAATAAACCAACTAAGACGTTTGTCAGACTAAGGTCACAACAACGAGAGCGCACCTGGACGCATTCAATGGCAGCGGGCGTGGTTGACCAACATTTGGGCCCCCATTCATAAATGTAAAACACGTTTAATATTACTACTGCTGGCACAATGAAATAATTACAAAACAGGCAAGAATTATTTAGCAGTGATAGATTGACATGACCCCTGACCCAGTAATGGATGAATTAAGGGATGAAAATGAAAAAAAAATGAAATAAATGAGATTGATATGATCAAAATAGTAGCTAAATGACATTCAATTAACCAAAAGTGTTTTATGTGGGCTCCACATTATTATAATGCATCATTATACAGCCATTGTTTATGAAGCATTGTAGTAACCCTAACCCAGGTATAGTTTGCTTTATTATGATATTCGGGATGTGATAAGACTATTAGGATTAAGATAAAGAGATCCTCTATCCGTCCCACAGTGGGGACATTTCAGGCTTGCAGACAGTAGGAATGAGGAGCACAAAGCACAAGATAAATGAACAATAACTCTATACTAACTCTAACTTTAACAATAAAAAGGAGCAGTATAAAATTCCTATCTTTAGCATAATAATGAAACAAATCTAAAATCTACAACTTTTCCATAAAGAAGAAGCAAGAACTAAATGTAGCCGTACTGTAACTGTATACATTTGTACTTGTTAGCAGCATGAGGGTATGGGACAAAGTGACTGTGGACACATAACTATTGCACAAACAACTTTAAAACTTTTCTAAAACTTTAGCTACATTTCTTACTACGCTGCAATTATTTCTTACTGCCTTTTGACTTAGAAGCCATAAGGGCCTGGAAGTTCCACAACAGATATACCCTTCTGTAAAATAGTACTGTCAAATCAATCAAACGTTGCATTGAACTGGTGCCCGTGGTTGAGATTTAACTCTGGTTTGTAGAGTTGTAAAAGTTCACAGATACAACAAACATATCATTATAATTCAGTATATTATTTACCTCAGCCAGGCGGTTATGTTTTCACCAAGGTCTGTTGTTCTGTCTGTCTGTGTCAGCAAGATAATTTAAAAAGTTATTGGCCAATTTTTTCAAAAAGATCAAATATTTCATTTTTGAAGGTGATTTGTGTCTGGATTCAAGTTGATTAAAAGAATGGATATGGCAGAGGTCTGAGCTTTAGCAGTTTACAACAATTTGGCCAATCACAGAAGATGGATAAAAGCTTTACATTAATTTGTCCCTATACTAAATTAGTATTAAAATGATTTGTGTTATATTGCATTTTTTCAGTTGAGGATCCTGATCAACTTCCAGATGTCAAAGAGAGCAGCCCTGAAATAAAAGTTGAAACTCTACCAGGTAACTCCATTGTCTCTAACATTTCTCAGAAGTAAAGGATTTGACTTGGAGCTGGTGACCGTTTTGTGACGCAGTGAAAATGTCCTTTCCATTTGTCTTTTATAGACCGGAGCAGTTGAGTAGTATCTGTAGTAATTTATAGGACATATGGGGATTGGATTATAGTGTTTGGTGAGTGATCCAACCCAACTTTCAGAACGGATGAGTGGGTGGTTTTCTTTGGTTTTGCCTTGTCAACAAAGCAGTGAAATTAAAAAGTGCTTGTCATCAGTCTGCTCTTCTGTTATAAATGTAAATTAAATATTTAACAACTTAATTAGACATTGGGTGTAGCAGAAGCGTTTACATCCGTGCAAATGTAAAGCAGATGCTGCGGCTTCAGCAAATTAGAGCTATAACCTGTAAACTGTGCAGATTAACCATATAATCTCCTCAGAACTCTCCTTTATGTCGAGCTAAATGAAAGTGACTGACAGTTGATCTTGTTTCACGTTTGTTTTTGCAGAGGAGCCCACCCCCACTCCAAATGGAGGGAGCTGGTATGACGACTATGACGACTATGGCATGAGTATGTACCTAAATGTATGATCATCTCAGATACATTCAAAGCACAAATCCATTACCAGGTCATACGACACTTGCAATGTTTAGTATGGACAGAAATTCACTGGCCTTTTCTATGGATCTGTGGTTTTCCTATTGTAAGATTTTGTGACCTAAGCTAGAATTTTTCCAAACGACAGAAGAAATAAAAGATACAGTTAGATTTTATGTTGTCCAGGAGTTACAATATCATTACATTGAATACATTTTGACTTTCAAATCACAATGAAGTAATAATCATGTTCTTTGTTGTGTCAAATAGATTGATTTGAATATTTTCTTACCTGATATTATTAGTTTAACAGTGTTGCAAATGGAATTCTTTAGGTTTTGACTCATAAGATCCTACTGTATGTGTTTGTGTCATTAGTAATCCTCAGAGCAATCGGTCTGGACTAGTCAAAACTATTAAAAAACAAAACCTTGTATATACTCGTAAAATGAATGTCTAAAAGTGAAAAGTGTGGGGAGAGACTGAGCCTTAACCACCCCAGCTTTGGCCTTCCATCCTTTCTGGAGGAGGCTTGTTGCCAGAACTCCACCTCTTGTGTAAATCCCCATATCAAAGCACATATTTTTTCTTTCATAAATTACATAAGCACATAATTAATTTACTAGGCTTCCTCCCCAAGTAAAAAATTATATTTCTGAAATGCAATACTCAACAATAATTTTGTTGAAGCAAATGGGTTGATAATTCATATTAGTTATATCAATAAAATGTTCGAAATTGCCATTGTGTCCTTAGGCAAGACACTTCACCCACATTGCCGAGTATGCGTCTGGTGCTACATTAGTAGTTTGAAACCACTGTGTATAGAAACCAAGTGACTGTCTTGAGTGACAAAAACCTCTTATTGTGATCATTGTTACGGTATTAAAGTTGTAAATATATTTCCTTCAATAATCACTTGTTTTGTGCTCAGGGAAAAAGGAGACAGACAGTGAGACAGACTCAAACTGGATGGAAAAAGAGCGAGAGCAAGCGGAGAAGGAGAGAGCGCGGGAGGAAAAGGGTAAGGCAACCCAGATGTGAACCTTTGTTGCGTAACAGAATTCATAACTCCTTCAACAATCATGTCGGACAACATTTGATACCGCAGTTGCCAAAGTGAAGAATTTGGCCTCTGACCGGAGTTCTAAAGTACAACAGATAACAGTGTTAAAACAGTGAACTATTAATATTGCCAATATCCCCCCCGAGTACACATGCAAACTATGTCTATGAAAGGGCTTAATATTATACATGTGAAGTGCAAATGAGGCCGAAGACGAATCAAAGCCAGAGGCCCACAAAAAGTATAGACCTCTACCAGATGTATTAGGTAACAGTAATATAACAATCCTAACTTTACCCGCTCAGAAGTGTGGAGACTTAAAGGTTCAGTGTGCAACATTTCTGATGGGGTCTGCTACCTGCTTGTTGTCATGGAGATATTATTGCTTTGTTTGGAATGCAACATTGGCTGCGCTCACCTCTCCGCAGATATGTGCTGAGACGTCTTTTTAAGTTTTATGCAATACTGTAGGAAATTCCAGGCATATCAAAAGATAGAGCAAAGGCAGATCTTCTACCAGTAGCAACTTTTAAAATCTTTTTTTCTTTTTAAGTTACAGACTTTTGTTATGCTAGCCTATTGCTATGGCCAATATCAAAAGCTTACCTTGAGTATGCTCTATTAATCTGTGAAAGAGATCAAAGCTGGAGCTAAATTACAGAAATAAATACAAGAAAAATAGGGAAGCACAATGTTTAGGGAAGCCAGATAGCTGTATAGAAAGTGTCCTGTATTCATGAGCCGCTACTTTTTTGGCACCTAAGGGTTAATAATGTCATGCAATTCTCAGTAATGGGGAGAAACATTTATGAAAGAAGGAACAATAATCGCAGAGCAAAGAGAGGATATTTATTTAGACTGTTTTGGCTGAAGACAATATCAAGTGCAGCGCTGCTCTCTGCACAGATTAGTGTGAGTGATGAGAGTGTGCAGCAGCCGGGACAAATTATAAACAAATCATTAGAACAGTGATGTTGTAACGCTGTAATCCCAGCTCTGCACACATTCGGGGTTTGCCACGTGTCGAGGACGCTGTGACGCCTTTGCAGATATGTGTGAGTCTTTGGGAGAAGGTCACGGGGGCATTTCCTGTGGGTGAGGTTCGGAGCAGAGGTTAGAGGTCAAATTCATGGCCAGCGTTTGATCGGGGCCACATTTTTAAATCCGTCTGTCAAAACATGGTGCTCTGCTGCTGGGCTAAAGTTTGAAAGTGTTGAGAAAATAGTATGGGTCGATAAAAAGCTGACATTTTCATTAAATAGTTTGAACACGGCTTCACACATGCTCACTCAAAGTTTAAGATGTCTTTGTGGCTCTAATAGAAACTAACATTCGTATTGACTTCATAATGCATTATCAAGGCTTTTGCAGATTATTGGCTCTCCAGTTTTTCTTTAAGAGTAAACAATCATGTTGTGTTTGTTTTTATAACCTTCCCCAATGTCTCTATACGCCCTATTATCCAGTCATAGTTATTATGTAATTACTTTATGTGAAAATACCTTGAAAAGAGTGAAGAAATTATTTATCCTGATTCTTCCATCCTTCAACTGTCACTGTGCACGCTCTAAATGTGGAAAAGCATGTTTGGATTTGTTTTCTAGTTTTGTTTGATTTTCAGCCAAGTGACTTAATATTGATTTATGGCATTATACACATTAAATAATTTGTTGAATATTTCAGAACGAGAAAAGAAACTGAAGGAAGCACAGGAGCGTTCCAGAAACAGACCACGGATCTACAAAGAGCCAAAAAGTAAATCACAATTTACTCTTGAATCAACAACAGATTTTTCAGACTTTTCATCTTTTTTATTGCTGTCTGTTGACCATCAGAATGTCCTCCCTTGGGGATGGAGTCTCACAGGGTTGAGCCGGACCAGCTCTCGGCCTCCTCTGTGTCCCAGTATAGGTTCTCTCCTCAGAGGGCCCGTCTCAACATGCAGGTACCCCTCCTCCCTCCTCCACACATGCACCCTCTGCTCCCATCTGCAGCAGCCATCACTTACTGCCAAACCTCCAAATACACACAAGCGGCCAGACACATGTTGGAAAATAATTATAGTTATTGCTGAGCACGTCGGTTTCATTAACTCTTTGTTTATAGTAATTCAGGAAAGACTATGAGAACAACCCAGTGTCCTTGACTAGCCCGGGATAACGGATTCTCTCTGTATCTTATCTTTGAATGGCAGACTAGAGGAAAAGCCTGTAGACTTTGCCACACAATTAAAGCTAGAGTAACTAACTTTGGAACCAAAAACATTTACTAATAAGATCCTTGTTACTAGTTCCTTACTCTAAAAACATGACACTATGGTTTCACATGCAGGAATTTGTGCCTGTCACTTAGCTCTCACTAGGTCATGCAGTATATAAAAGATAAACTATTTTCAAAGAAGATTTTATATGTTGTTGTCTGATTTGCTCATAAAATGTTACTTGATAAAAGAAAACTCTTTCTGTTGAGACATACAAGATGTAAAAAAGTTAGTTAAGTAAGATCGGCTTTACTACAAGGTTAAAGCAGATGTTTGTGTCACCTCAGCCAAAGGATCACTCCTTCCACTACAGTCCAAGACTTCTAGTTCAAGGGAAAATTAGCTAATACGGGTTCCTCCGTGTTTCTGGTCTCTTTTTTTCCCTAGGGCTCTGATGATGAGGACAGCATGAGAGGCGGAGCTTGGTGCGCAAACACGGATGATCGAACGCACTGGTTTGAAATTGATGCTCGAAGAGAAACAGAGTTTACTGGTGTCATAACACAGGGCCGTGCCTCTGGAAATGAGTATGATTTTATAGCACTATACATTCACTTCACTTTTTTTCATATTTTATTATGTAAAATAGTAGAAACTATAGAATGAAGAGTGAAAATACTTTCCACCTCTTACTACCTATTAGTCCCAAATCAAAAATGACTGAATGCAAACACAGCCATGCAATTATAAAGAACAACATTTCACCAGAGAAATTGCCAAAACTCATTCATGGGTAATACTTAAAAGGCAGAATACTGTTCTGATTGTGAAGTCATAGCGGTATAATGACGTCACACTATTACATGAGGGACACCGGAGCTTTTAGACAGAAGGAGCAGAGTTACATGTTTGGGCAATCAGCGTGAAGCATCTACAGTTCTGTTTTTTAATGAAGAAACAATGTTTTCCTTGTCCTGCCAGATGTAATACATTCTAATATCATATTCATATTATATATATTCATAGCTCTTAAGACGTCTTTCTGGTTGTAAAATTGCTACGATGAGGCTAACAGTGTGTTTTCTTCAGGAGTGACTTTGTGACATCATACTTCATAGCCTTCAGCAATGACAGCAGAGAATGGACCACAATCCATGACGGATATGACGACTGGGTGAGTTTGTCTAATTAAACAACATAGGTATCATGATTCTCTATAATATAAATATAAATATGATTGTTGATTTATCCCCCCTCCGCAGTTATTCTTTTCAAATAATGATAAGGACACTCCAGTGATGAACCGTCTGGCTGAACCAGTATTGGCCCGTTACATCCGCATCATTCCTCAAAGCTGGAATGGGTCTCTATGTATGCGGCTGGAGGTCCTGGGCTGTCCTGTGCTGGGTGAGCGTCTGAATATTAAATTATACAAAATTATTAAAGAGAAAAAAAAGTTTTAAAAAGTTGTAACGTTTGTTTGTGGAAATCCCCATAGATCCAGCAAATGTTCAGTACAGGCAAAATGAAGTGACTCCAGTAGACTACCTTAAATTCAAACATCACGACTACTCAGACATGGTTGTTGTGAGTAAATATGTGATTTAATGTTTTGCATTGTATATCTTAACCAATATGGTGTGACAAAATAGTGAGAAACTGTGTATATTGTGACTATGCATCTTGTGTGTTTTTCAATGTTTAGCTGATGAAGTCTGTTCATGACGAGTGTCCAAACATAACCAGCATCTACAGTCTTGGCCACAGCTCCAATGGATTGGACATCATTGCTATGGTCATCTCAGGAAATCCCACAGAACATGAAATAGGCAAGTTACAAGAAACCTCTCTGAAGAGTATTAGGACTGTCTCCCTAGAGGGAACGCTCAATGTTACTTCTGCTGTAGTAAAATCAATGTGACCCAGATCTTGACGCACTGTGACTTTGGGGTGCAACAAGAAGAAGTGGTATGGGTTTCCATGGAAACCAATATTGTCTTTGCTCAAACATATTCAGAGTTAATAAAGTGGCCATGCCACCTGACAAACAGGAGGTCCATGATTTTGAATTCAAAATGGAAAAACGAGAATTAACGAGAATTTTGAACATTTCCACTTCAGGCATTTCACTAACAGGGCTCAGAATCTTCTAGAGAAGTTTAGCATCAAACCATACTCACAGAACTTCCATTATTTATTTTATTTAAAAAGGGACCATGTACTCATCCATGTTAGTTGAGTGATGTATTAAAGTATGTATTTTTTCTCCACGTCAGCAGATTGTGAAGGAAGAGAAATGGGCACATATGCAAACACACTACAGAGTGTGCCAAGATGTTATAAGGGGAGCAAATATATACTGTATATTTTGTATGTATATTTTAAAGTCTGAAATTTCTCATTCAATTCTGTTTTAGGGTGCCAATCAAACCCATGTCTTACTGTTTACTGTGCTACCGTAGCAATGATGGAAACTCTTAAAGACCTTATGACGGGTTTGATTTATTTAGAAATACAGTTTTAATACCATTTTATATTAGAAGAGAACTACTAAAGGTTTCAAAATCAGTTGTTGTTTTTTTTGTCTGATCCGCCCAAATCGAAATAACCCCATAGCAACGCCCTTGGAAACAAAAAAACTTCATAGCCCTTGGTGACGTCAGAACGGGTACGTTTCAATGCTGTAAGTTGTCGTTCTTTTTTCGCGGATATTCAAGATGACAAGGCCGTGTACAGCGAGTCTAAGATAACTACTAGAATGTATCACTTCGTTGTCATTGAGATAGTCCAGTGGTTGTGTCGATGGACTCCCAATCCAGATACTTAGGTTCAAATCCCACCTCAGACACTTTTTCACTCAAAACGGCAATTTATGTGTAATGAGCAATTGTCACCTGTAGAGTGCAGTATTGTGTTGGGCATCAGTGGAGAGAAGAGAGAAAAGGCAGTCCTGTGGCATAGATCCATGGTTTTCAATGCATGGGCCCCCTTGGACTGCCACCTTAACGTGGTGGGGGAGTTTGAGCACTCGGATGATCCTGGGAGCTATGCTGTCTGGGGCTTCATGCCCCTGGTAGGGCCTCCCATGGCAGACAGGTCTCAAGTGACGAGTCAGACGAAGCGCAGTCCGAAGCCAACCATGGACAGCACAACAACGAAAACCGTGACGTCGCCCGGCATGGCGCAGCCGGGGCCCCACCCTGGAGCCAGGCCTGGGGTCGGGGCTCGCAAGCGAGCGCCTGGTGGCCGGGCCTTAGCCCACGGGGCCCGGCCGGGCTCAGCCCGAAGGGATGACGTGGGCAGTCCCTCCTGTGGGCCCACCACCTGCAGAGGGGTCCGTGGTGGCGTGGTGCAGCGAGGACTGGGCAGCGGTCGAAGGCGGAGACCTCGACGACCCAGTCCACACACCCAACATCTGGCTCTTGGGACGTGGAACGTCACCTCACTGGGGGGGAAGGAGCCCGAGCTTGTGGGGGAGGTTGAGCGATACCGACTAGAGATAGTCGGCCTCACCTCCACACACAGCTTGGGCTCTGGAACCCAACTCCTTGAGAGGGGTTGGACGCTCCACTTTTCTGGTGTTTCCCGCGGGGAGAGGCGGCGAGCTGGGGTTGCCATACTCATTGCCCCCCATCTCAGCCGCCACGTGTTGGAGTTCTCCCCGGTGAATGAGAGGGTCGCGTCCCTCCGCCTCCGGGTGGGGGACAAGTCTCTCACTGTTGTGACGGCCTACGGGCCTAACGGTAGTGCAGAGTAGCCGGCCTTCTTGGAGTCCTTGGGAGGGGTACTGGACAGTGCACCGCCCGGGGACTCCGTTATTCTTCTGGGGGACTTCAACGCCCATGTGGGAAATGCCAGTGACACTTGGAAAGGGGTGATCGGGAAGAGCGGCCCCCCTGATCTGAACCCGAGCGGTGTTCAGTTGTTGGACTTCTGTGCCAGTCACGGCCTGTCCATCACGAACACCATGTTCGAGCACAAGGGTGTCCACCAGTGCACGTGGCACCAGGACACCCTAGGCCGGAGGTCGATGATCGACTTTGTTGTCGTATCATCTGACCTTCGACCGCGTGTCTCGGACACTCGGGTAAAGAGAGGGGCGGAGCTGTCAACCGATCATCACCTGGTCGTGAGTTGGATCCGCTGGCAGGGGAAGAAGCCGGTCAGACCTGGCAGACCCAAGCGTATAGTGAGGGTTTGCTGGGAACGTCTCGCTGAGCCCCCTGTCAGACGGACTTTCAACTCACACCTCCGGGAGAGTTTCTCCCAGGTCCCGGCGGAGGAGGGGGACATCGAGTCCGAGTGGACCATGTTCTCTTCCTCTATCGCCAATGCGGCGGCTCGTAGCTGTGGTCGCAAGGTCTCTGGTGCTGGTCCCGGCGGCAATCCCCGAACCCGGTGGTGGACACCGGCAGTAAGGGATGCCGTCAGGCTGAAGAAGGAGTCCTATCGAGCAATGATGGTTCGTGGGACTCCTGAGGCAGCTGTCCAGTACCGGCAGGCCAAACGTGCCGCGGCCCGGGCTGTTGCAGAGGCAAAAACCCGGGACTGGGAGGAGTTCGGAGAGTCCATGGAGCATGACTATCGGTCGGCCTCGAAGAGGTTCTGGCAAACCGTCCGGCGCCTCAGGAGGGGGAAGCAGTTCTTTGCCAACACCGTGTATGGTGCGGGTGGAGGGCTGCTGACCTCGACTGAGGATATTGTCGGGCGGTGGAAGGAATACTTCGAGGTTCTCCTCAATCCCCCCGTCACGTCCTCCGTTCAGGAGGCAGAGGCTGAGGATGTTGGGGCGGACACTTCCATCTCCCTGGCCGAGGTCACCAAGGTGGTTGGCAGCCTCCTTGGTGGCAAGGCGCCGGGAGTGGATGAGATCCGTCCTGACTATCTAAAGTCTCTGGATGTTGTAGGACTGTCTTGGCTGACACGTCTCTGCAACATCGCGTGGCGATCGGGGGCGGTGGCCAATGGAGTGGCAGACCGGGGTGGTGGTCCCTCTCTACAAGAAGGGGGACCGGAGGGTGTGTTCCAATTATCGTGGGATCACACTCCTCAGCCTCCCCGGTAAGGTCTACTCCAAGGTACTGGAGAGGAGGCTACGTCCGATGGTCGAATCTCGGATTCAGGAGGAGCAGTGTGGTTTTCGTCCCGGTCGCGGAACACTGGACCAGCTCTATACTCTCCATCGGATACTCGAGGGTTCATGGGAGTTCGCCCAACCTGTCCACATGTGCTTTGTGGATTTGGAGAAGGCGTTCGACCGTGTTCCCCGGGGTGTCCTTTGGAGGGTCCTCCGGGAGTACGGGGTCCGGGGTCCTCTGCTGAGGGCCGTCTGGTCCCTGTATGACCGGAGCCAGAGCTGTGTTCGCATTGCCGGCAGTAAGTCAGACCTGTTCCCGGTGCATGTTGGCCTCCGCCAAGGCTGCCCTTTGTCACCGGTTCTGTTCACTGTATTTATGGACAGAATTTCTAGGCGCAGCCAGGGGCCGGAGGGGGTCCGGTTCGGGAACCACAGGATTTCATCTCTACTTTTTGCGGATGATGTCGTCCTGTTGGCTCCAACGAACCAGGACCTGCAGCATGCACTGGGACGGTTTGCAGCCGAGTGCGAAGCGGCTGGGATGAGAATCAGCACCTCCAAATCCGAGGCCATGGTGCTCGACCGGAAAAAGGTGCCTTGCCCTCTCCAGGTGGGTGGAGAGGTCCTTCCTCAAGTGGAGGAGTTCAAGTATCTCGGGGTCTTGTTCACGAGTGAGGGAAGAATGGAGCGTGAGATTGACAGGCGGATCGGTGCAGCGTGCGCAGTGATGCGGTCTCTGTATCGGACCGTTGTGGTAAAGAGGGAGCTGAGCCGAAAGGCGAAGCTCTCGATTTACCGGTCAATCTTCGTTCCCACCCTCACCTATGGTCATGAGCTTTGGGTAATGACCGAAAGAACGAGATCGCGGATACAAGCGGTCGAAATGAGCTTTCTCCGCAGAGTGGCTGGGCGCTCCCTTAGAGATAGGGTGAGGAGCTCAGTCACACGGGAGGAGCTCGGAGTAGAGCCGCTGCTTCTCCACGTCGAGAGGAACCAGTTGAGGTGGCTCGGGCATCTGTTCAGGATGCCTCCTGGACGCCTTCCTGGGGAGGTGTTCCGGGCACGTCCCACCGGGAAGAGGCCCCGGGGAAGACCCAGGACACGCTGGAGAGACTATGTCTCGCAGCTGGCCTGGGAACGCCTTGGGGTCCCCCCGGACGAGCTGGAGGAGGTGTGTGTGGATAGGGAAGTCTGGGCGTCTCTGCTTAGACTGCTGCCCCCGCGACCCGGCAACGGATAAAGCGGAAGAAAATGGATGGATGGATGGATGGGCGTAACCCGCTATGACGTCACACACAGGTTAGAGCATAGACAACTTAAATTCATGAAAAACACGTTCTTTTTATAAAATATAGGATTTTTTTTGCCGGAATCTATTTCAAATTGACATTGTCATGCAATTTTGATATCCACTATTTTTTTTTTTTTAAAAACCCGTCATAAAGTCTTTAATTTTGTGAAAATTGAAAAAAAAAGAATTAAACTATTTATTTTTACCAGCTTCTCCTCAAGCATTTTTGCAACAGGACTCAAAATTGCTCGACATCATTTAATGAAGTGTAGCACAAAAGATTTTCTGCATTTTGATCAGTTCATTGGTGTACAATGTGAGTCATAGCAATGTATGAAGGTGCCCAGGTTATTCCTAGAAATATGATGAGGGTTTGGGAGTACAGCAGTGAAGCCCACGAGGGCTGTTCAATGCCGCTTGCAGCTTTAGTTGTATTTATATTTTGTTGACAGAAGTATTGGGTATTGGGGGAGTGACAGTAGCTCAGTTGGCAGAGCATTGGCCTTTGAGCCTGAAGCCTGAAGCCCTTTGAGCCCACCATGAGACCTTCTCCACCGACTCCCACTGATGACTGCTGTCGTTGTGTCCTTGGGCAAGACACTTAACCCCACTTTGCCTGAAGCCCCCGCTGAATGATCAAGGCTATGCCATGGAGCGGCCATCCTCCTGTGGACTCAACACCTGCAGGAGGATCAGAGAGGGGCTGGTGCTATGTGGACTGGGTGACATCTCTGGCCACCCCCCCGACCCAGAAATGGATTAAGGGGAAGAAAAATGGATGGATGGATGGAAGTATTGGAATAAAAGATTCTGACCTTCTCCTGCAGGTGAGCCCGAGGTGCGGTTCACGGCAGGTCTCCATGGAAACGAGGCCGTGGGCAGAGAGCTGCTGCTGTTGTTGATGCAATACCTGTGCAAAGAATACAAAGACCGAAACCCCAGAATCCAGCACCTTGTGGAGGGGATCCGACTCCACCTGGTGCCCTCCCTCAATCCGGACGGACAGGAGACAGCTTTTGAAACGGTTTGACAACAAGACAATTCAAGACATACCAGAAAATTGAAACTACGTTATAATCATTTTGTGTTTTTTTCACAGGGATCAGAGCTGAGTGGATGGACCACAGGGCACTTCACGGAAGGAGATTTTGACATTTTTGAAAACTTTCCAGATTTAAACACAATCTTATGGGACGCTGAAGACAAAGGCCTTGTGCCAAAACTGATGCCAAACCATCACATACCTATTCCAGAAAACATGGAGGCCAACAGCTCGGTAAGAGATTATTTAAATATTGTCATTGTGCGCAGAGCAAGTAGTGATTGTCTCTCAATAGATGGTAGGCGCAGAGACAGACAGTGGTGTTTGCTCAGGGCTAACCAGGACTGTTTCTTTGATCTCGTCTGTCTTGGTCCGTTTCAGTTTGCCGTGGAGACCAGGGCCATAATCTCGTGGATGAGAAGCTATCCATTTGTGCTGGGAGCAAATTTCCAAGGCGGAGAGACAATTGTGGCCTATCCTTATGATAACTTACGCATGAACAAACCTGCTGAGAGCCAGAGGGCGCACAGCCGCAAGAAGAGACAGTAAACTATATTTTATTACGTTATCTTTTGAATTGGCTATAGAGCACTGCTGATTTTATAAAAAGGTGCACTATGTAGGCCAGGGACGTGCGGTGAGGTTTGTGATTGGGGAGGCACTGACTTTAAAAGTCAGATTTACAATCATTATTCAAATAAAATAGCATTTAATCACCAATGCAATGACATCCACAAACTTTATATACTGTAAAGATAAGAGAACCAGCTTCTTTTAATAATCTCACAACAAATCTAGCTGCTGACTCTGCTCCGCATCAAACAACATCTTTAAGAAGCGCAGGTGCGAGAGACGCGAGGAGAGAGAGACGCGAGGAGAGAGGAGCAGAGAGAGACAGAGAGGAGCAGAGAGACGGAGACGCGAGGAGCAGAGAGAGACGGAGACGCGAGGAGAGAGAGACGCGAGGAGAGAGAGACGCGAGGAGAGAGAGACGCGAGGAGAGAGAGACGCGAGGAGAGAGGAGCAGAGAGAGACAGAGAGGAGCAGAGAGACGGAGACGCGAGGAGCAGAGAGAGACGGAGACGCGAGGAGAGAGAGACGCGAGGAACATAAACAATAATTTAAACAAGTTGCAGAACTCTTGAGCAGTGTTTGAATCAGTGTTTTTCGGAAAAGCACTACTTTGCCGGTATCTGTCAATGTTCAACATAAAACACAGATTAACAAACTCCTCCCCCGCAGCCGGACTAACCTCGTAAGTCCAGTGGTGGTCTCCCAGTCTATATTAATTCTTTCTTTGTTTGAAAGTCCAATTGAGAAAAAAAATCTTCATTAAATCATCCATTTTCCAGCAAAAGAAATAGCATTTTGGGCTGATTGTTTGTTAGCAACTCTGGTATGAACTTTATGCTCACTATCACCCCTAGCGGTGAGGCACAGATACCGCCTGCCTCACGCCAAGCTTTTTCCTTGTGTGTTCATCTACGATCAAAAGACTTAAACTAAATATAAATTGTACACACATACGTGCAATACACTACTAAACACTAAGAGGAGTTTAAAAAATGTTTTTAAAGCAGGATATTTGAAACAAACACACACACTGTGAGGGAGCGGTCTGGGGTGAGGCACGCAGGAGCGCTGCCTCACCTCGTCTCTTTGAATAGGAATAACGGGATTTCGGCGATTTTGACTTCAGAAATGATCAAAACTGATGGGAACCGTGCCGAATATACATTAAAAGCATAGGACAGTGGATATAAATTATATATTTAAACTAAAATAATTATTAGTTTCCAATAATGGCAGGTGAGGCTCTGCCTCCCCTGCCTCCCCTGACTGCACGTCCCTGATGTAGGCTAGCCAATGGGAGTTCAACGCCCTTAGGCTTGATCCAAAGAATATTATGAACTAACTATCTTCATCACCTTTTATCAACTTGTTTTGTTTAATTGCAACAGACACTTGTTGCTTCTTTCAATGCAGATTAAAGGGAAACAAATGACTAGTCCTCAACTCGTGAAAAGTGCCCCTCCATCCTTGAAATCCTGGAGGAGTTCAAGTATCTCGGGGTCTTGTTCACGTTAAGGGAGAAGGAGAAGGATGGTGCAGTGATGCCGCCACTGTATCAAACTGTTGTGGTCATATTAGAGCTAAGCTGAAAGACAAGTCACCTATAGTTATGAGCTTCGGGTAAAGACCAGAAGGATATGGCACACGATCAAAATTAATTTCCTCCGCAGGACACTCCCTTTAGGGTGAGAAGCTTGGAGAAAAACCACTGGTCCTCCACATCTTGCCAGTTGAGTTAGCTCGGACATTTGTTATGCACGCTTTCTTGGCACCTTCCTGATGCAAGATGCTCTGGATCTGTCCCAGCTGGAGAAGGGAAGACCCAGGACACACTGTAGGGACAATGTCTCTCGGTTGGCCTGGGAAACACCTACCTGGGAGATATTACCTGGAGGCTGTGTGTGGATAGAAAAGTCTGGGCTCTTAAAAACTACACAGTGCATCTTTAAGTTTGGCTTCCCATAGTTCCTGATTGTTTCTCCCTAATATACATCCATCCATACATCTCTGCAGGTATGAGGAAGAAGAAGAGCACTTTGATGGGAACGGATGGGGAAGAGGGTACCAGGAGGAGCCAGAGGAGGAGTGGAGAGGAAGAGGGTACGCCGAGCCAGAGGAGGAGTGGCACGGGCATGGATATGAACAAGAGCGTGGATATGACACCGAGCGCAGATATGGACAAGAGCGTGGATATGACACAGAGCGCAGATATGAACAAGAGCGTGGGTATGACACAGAGCGCAGATATGAACAAGAGCGCGGATACGACACGGAGCGCAGATATGAACAAGAGCGCGGATACGAACAAGAGCGTGGGTATGAGCATGGATACGACCCGAGCCAGGGCTACAGACAAGGCGAGGAGGACGAAGAGGAGAGGAGGAGAGGAGGAGGAGAAGGAGGCGGATATGAGTACCCAGAACCCGATGAGCCCCGGACGACCGCAGATGAGTCCCTGTTCAGATGGCTGGCCGTGTCCTATGCCTCCACCCACCTTACCATGACACACAACTACCACGGGTCCTGCCACGGGGACACTGCAGCTGGGGGCTACGGCATCGTCAACAGAGCCAAGTGGAAGCCTATCACAGGAAGTAAGAAAACAATACAATGTAGAATATAAATTGAGATGGTTCAAAATGACTGGAATTTATAAACCTCTAGATGAAAAATACCAAAAACCGAATCTTTTTACTCAAAGGTTAAACAGGGCAGGACCGAATAAGTAAGTAAGTAAGTAAGTAAGCTTTATTTATATACCGCCTTTCACAGACCAGAGTCACAAAGCGGTTTACAATTGTTATTTTTGGGCACTTGTCCTCTCACTCCACACAGAGATGGGAGCGGGGTACTTTGATGACTTCTGGGAATATCAGGTGCCAGAGTGGTGAGGCTGTAAAGTGCCAAACTGGGCCAATGGCAGATGAAAAGCCTTGTACCAGTATGCCCCAGGGAAAATATATAAATACAGCTATGTGACGCACTATAAAAAAAATGCATTATTAATATTATTCAAAAATGGCCCAGTTAAGCTGTGACCATAACATTAGCTAACCACCACCTTTTAATGGCATGTGATGAGCTCTGGGTCTTGGATCTTAATACTGACTATAAACACTTCATTAACTTTGTTTATAGCAAGCTCTAGTGGTCAGTATTTGCGTTGCTCTTTCCAGGCATGAATGACTTCAGTTATCTTCACACCAACTGTTTTGAGCTGTCCATTTTCCTGGGTTGCGATAAGTTCCCACATGAGATGGAACTGATGCAAGAGTGGGAGAAAAACAGAGAAGCAATGCTCATCTTTTTGGAGCAGGTTAGTGGAAAAATATAATCTGAATTTATGTTCTCCCTGCGTTTGCCCAATGTAAGGATAGTACAACTAAGGTTCTTATTATGGTGATTTGTCTATACCTTTGTTTTGGCAGGTACACCGTGGAATAAGGGGCATTGTTAAAGATGAACAGGGGAACCCGATTGGAAATGCAACTATTTCTGTGGAGGGAGTGAACCATGATGTCACCACAGGTCAGATGAAAAGACCATATTAAACAAAGTATCAATGCTTAACTTTTGCTCTTCTTTGCCTCTATAGCACCAACAGGGGACTACTGGCGGTTGCTGAACCCGGGTGAATATCGCGTGACGGCCCGGGCGGAGGGTTTCACTCCAAAGACTCTGCTGTGTGTGGTTGGATACCAGCCCGGGGCAACAGCCTGCAGCTTCAACCTCGCCAAGTCCAACTGGGACCGAATTAAACAGGTCTGCATGCACGTATGACCAAGTGAAAGGGCTGGGCAAAACACCCCTCCCATCTCACCTCTGTTTTTGTACCCAGGCTGGAGAGAACAGATGGAAATTAGTTTACAGGAAATTATGAGTTTCTATTGAGTTATTGTGTGACAGACTATATAGATTCCTTTTCAAAGCAGAGGCAAGTTTTTTTTTAAACATTTCTTATTGACTGTTGGTTGTTAGCCGATAGTCAATAGCCATGGCAAGTTTCATAGTCCAAAAAAGACTGATTAAGGTAAGCAAGGGTAAGCTACTGTTGCACCCTCGAAAAGAACGACCAAACATATTCCAGAATACCATTAAATAACAGATCCGGTTTAAGTTACAAGCAGCACCGTTCTTTCCCTAACTCCCATGGATACGTAACAACGCTCCCTTCTATGGCTAACTTTCTTAAAAGGTACATTACTCTATTATTGCATGGGTACAGCTAATACAAATATATTCATCAGGAATGAAGTAAATATCACATTAAAATAATTATTTTAATTAAAGTATGAATATATGTACATTTCTCTAACAAAATTATGGTCTAATTGACAGGGCGCTACGAGACACTTTACTTTGTCTGGAATAATACAGATGTATCTTGGAAAATTAGAATATTGTTCAAAACTTCATTTACTTTTTAGGGAAAACTATTATAAGACTCATTACAAAGTAAGTTATATGTAGTGTTTGTTATAAGTGGTGCGTAGTTTAAAACACCCAAATAAAATATTGCCATAATTATAATAATGAGTCTATATAATTTATTAGTCTAAGATTTTAAGTTGAACTAACTGAACATTTGAATGTTAGTCTTGGGTATAAACCAGGTCATCATTCTGGTCCCCAAGCTAAAGCTTTATTCTCTTTAGTTAATTTTATTTTTTATGTCCAGAAGCAATATAAAGTTTACCTAAAGCACTATGTCCACTCCATACATGTTAAGTCATCGGGGGGGAACTATATGTAAATGTTGATAACAAGTGTAAGTAAAAACCATTTTCTTTTTACTGCGCAGATCATGGCTCTTCATGGAAATAAACCAATCCGCCTGGTCACGCATGATAACACCAGAACCGCCGTAGTCCGTGGGAACAGGATCCATGGGAACAGAGGAGTAAACATTTCGAACCCAGAGCGTCTGCGGAAGATCAGGATCGCGCGCCTGCGCCGCCTGCGCAGACAGAGGCTCCTGAGGCTGAGGGCCACCACAACCACGTTACCTCCAACTACCACAACCACAATCCCCACAACTCCTGAGACAACCACTTCCTGGTACGACTCGTGGATGGTCGAAGGACAGTCTTCCACCCCTGGAGGCTTTACAGACTCCATTCTGGATTATAACTACGAGTACAAGATTGATGCCTATTAAAGCAACAAGACAAAAACACTTTTTCCTACTGCACTGTTGATAAATAGATGGAGATTTGTTTGTTTGATGGAATGCCATATTTTGAGAATTCACTCAACACATTACTCATTATTTTTGTATAAATAAAATGTTTGTTTCTTTTTATAAACTGACCTATTTATTCAGGTTAATTTGCCTAAAAAAATCAGACCTGGTTGATCCATGTTTTGTTTATTCTGGACACATAAAAAAAAGAGTTGACAGGAATACAGGAGTTTATTATTTACATTGCAACCATTTATGACAGATCAATTATAAAAAGATTGTAGACAGTAACAGTCAAATGATTTAATTGTGAGGGATAATACAAACATTATTTAAGATAAGATTTGTTTGAATGATCATCCTCATAAGGTAATCAGTGACAAGTTGTTTCAGGCATAGTAGTGGTGAGTGTCTTTGAATACCTTCATTTTTGTATTAGTGGCTAACGTTCATCTCACTCTCGTCGTCGCCACTGGAGAAGGCAGAGAAGTTCACTGGCTCACATTCAAGAGTGCGTAAGTTCACCATGCACACGGTCTGTGTGCTGCTGAATTCTGGGACGGCGACCAGCAGGACTTCCTGACCTTCTTGGCCTGTTGCATATGAGAAAATACAATGGTGAAATAGTAAGGGTGGAAGAAAAAAAACTCCACATTATATGACAACACAAACCTTTGACAATCTTAGACTCAAAGGAAGGTGCATTCCCACTGAAGTACACATGGGGGCACTCTGTCAAAATGAACGGGTCACTTTGGTAATATGGGAAACAACCTGAAGAAAAAAAAAAGTCTTACTCTAGAAGAAAAAAGATGAGCAATAAATTATGATTAAGTATTAACCTAAGGTATCAGGTGCAGTTGGTGCAAGATGTCGTAAATGTAGAGTTTCCTCCAATATTTCTATGTGACTGGTAAAGCTGGTGTATTTGTGTATATCAATAACATTTTGACCTGAAGTTCCCAGAAACCTTCATTAAAAACAAAGGAAGTAAGTTATTAATTGCTCAACATAAACAAACAAGGACAATAGTTTCACCTGACTCCGTCTATTTCAGCCTGGTATGGGTTGGGGGCCAGCTGTAATGTGGGATATACACAAGACAAGGGGAGCATACAGCGATGAAGAGGCTGCTGAGGGAGGGTGTAGTTTGTGGGGTCGTTTTGACCTGGCATCACATCCACTGCAACCGACGACTGAAATGTCGAAAGAAACAGGCCATGAAATAAACATCTGTGCATTATTGTTGGAATGACGAGGCTTGGCATTTCATGTTTTAGAATGTTCTGATCAAATGTTTTTTCATCAACCCTTTACTTATGCTCTTAGCAGATAATAACCCCTTCTGCCACTAAGGGCAGGTGTTGAATTAATTGTCATTTGCAAATAAAAATGGAACGTTCTGCAAAATGTTGTGAAGAATGTGAATTCACCTGAGAAAGCGCCACAAAAAATTTGTTTAAAAAAAGGCAGAAAACATCTCTAATTATGTAAATTAGATTTTACCAGGAAGAGACAGAAGCCTTTGACCAAAAAGTGGTGATGGCGGTGTTACATAAAGTATTTGTGATAGAAATTCCTGATATTAGCATGGATGGATCACAAAACAAGTCCAGGTCTGTATTTGAGGATGGAAGAATGTTTTTACATTTTTAGAAGATTAAATATTTTGCATATTATATCTACACTAAAGCGATTTCTCATGTATGAAAATAATATTTAGTACCACAAGTTGAAGTAGGAGATCATCCAAAAGACGCATAGCATCTACACTCCCAGCCTGGGTTTTCTTTGTAAGGTACTTGGCCTGAATAGAAGGTATTCCAAAGGGAATATAGGGATTAATCAAATAATCCTAGAACATATCAAAGATTTTAAATGAGTAAAATTGCATACCTTTGTTGATGAGTCTTTGTCCTGGATGTGGTGACTGAGTAAGTTTCCTGAAAACAGAACCCTGGATATAGTAGATGCCCCACTTTGCTTTCCCTGGTCTCCTAACTGTCCAGTTATCATATCCACCAGCAGCTGCAACCCCAGCAGACTGTCAGCCTGGCTACTTCCTAGACCGAGTCCTGAGGCCAACAGCACAAATCTGCAAAGACCAATAATCAGGACTAAATTTATGTAGATTTATGAAATATTGTTACTTCTTATTGTTAGTAAGGGCATCACCTGTCAGAGCTAAGTGATGGCCGAGGTGTCTGAACTGGTAAATCAGCAGTACAAAAGTCTTCAACGGTGAATTTACCATCCATCGTCTCAGTTCCATGTATAGCAACAACACTGCCTAAAACAAAACATGTTTCTTCAGGTATTTTAGGTAGATTAAAAAGAATCCATATTTAGGATGATTAAATTACAAAAAAAGTGATGTATCTGTGCAGTATTATTGACCAGAGCTCAACTGAGCAGCAGTATCCTATTTGCAAGTAAAGACATTCATCGTTGTAGTATTTTTTAAGACAATTATAGCACATTCTATATTTCGGTCCCAGTAAAAACCTTAAAATAACAACCTGTGAAACACTTGTCTCTGTCAAGTTTTCCTTCCAGTTTTATTCTCTGAAGCTCGTCTTCCAAAATAAGCTCATCCGTGTCATTTATATACTTTGTACGAGGAGGCTGAGGCAGAAGATTGTGCTAAAAACAAGAAAACACAAATCAATATATTGCCAAAAACTTGCGGTCAATTAAAACTGCAAACCTCTTCGCTGATTTCTTTCAGAATTGATGGCTGTAACTCCATGCGTTTGAACAGTGTTCCCACAATGCAACACTGCTCTCCTGTCTGAAGGTCACACAACTTTTTGATGTTAACTTCTGGCCCTGAAGATATTCAAAGACAAATGTTTTTGTAAATCGCGTTTATGAAAGACAATGATACAAAATGTTTATGAATTCAAATAACTATTTGTGACATTTTGGCCAATTACTAGTTACTCCTACCTGCACTGATCTCATGGAAAAATTATCTAAGGAAGGCATTGTAGCCAAAAATAAAAATCACAAATGAATTTATTGACATCTAAAAGTAGAGAGTGTGATGCTTTGTTTGTACTTCCTATGCGTCTTAAATGCATAGAAAGTATTTTTGCCTAATAATTGGCATTTGACATATTATCTGTTTGTATTATTAATCTATGTATTTTATATCAACTTTGTACAACAAATATGACTAAGAAATAATAAAGAAAACATTGTTCAATTAAAAAAAGTGATAGTTCAGAGCATCATAATGATCATCTCAAAATCATATCATACTATGCTAATATGTTGGTCGTCAATGACGTACCCCACTTTTTCTGGGCTCTCTCTATGAGCAAAGGCCTCATCTCCATCAGCCGTGCAGCGTAAATGTGTGCATACTGGCGACTGAAGTTTCGCGCTCCGACAGTGAAGCGCTCAGAGCAGAGGGTAAAAGCAGGAGACACTCGCTCATACGAAGGCAGCTGCTCATCAGAGGCCGGAGGACAGAGCATTGTGGAGGCCTCCATCTGCGCACATATGTCAGAGAACATGGTCACTGGAAAGATAGATATTAATGTTTTAAAGCACAGTGAATCACAGCACATGAAGAATAAGTGACAATTATCTTATGATTGAAAACCTATGCATTGGTTTGCCGTCTTGATATATACTTTACTGATTAGAAGTTGATGGAAATGCTTGAATTGATTTAAGCTATGAGAGTTTCTCCCTCTAATGTTTCTGTTATTCTGTGTGTGTTTAAATGTTAATACGTTTTATTAGTAGATTTGTTTAAGCTTATTTGGTTGGTAAAAAAATATGTACAATTTATAAGTGGCATGCAGTTTTGATTATATAGACCACAGGAAGAATTGTCTTCCTGACAATGTGGATCACACCTTGAGTGCAAGGAGTGAGTTGTCAAACTTATCAGTGCATGGTGTGACTGATTTTACCTAAACATTTAAGCTAAATTGGTGCCTTAGTACACACACAGACCTGTATGACATGGGCTTAATAAATACAATAAATAAATACATATTTTATTTGATTATGTAAAGTATAAGATAGCTAAACAAAAAATATATGCAGTACTATCTGCCACTCTACTAAAGCCCCATTCGGACGGGATTAGTATTATCTGTGGACCACTGGTAATTTGTGATAGTACATACTACACTAGACCAGGAAAGAATGTAGCTAGACTCGACAGGTTCTGCTCTGTTTTTTGTTTTGTTTTTTTGCACAAACATGGATTCTCGCCGTGTCTGATTAATATTATGGTTTAAAACATGTTCTTACCTACACAGAAGTATGTAGTAGTATAATCTCTAGAAAGTGGAATGATCCTTGTTTTCTGTCAGGGCAACATGAAGGATTCCCGCAATTTCACTCGGAGAAAGGGTGAAATCCCGCGAGAAGAGGACAGAGGATAGGATGAGCATGAGGTCCACGCTGTTCTCTTTTGCAGCTTTTAACATCACCAAATATAATATATGACACCATATGTAAGTACAAAACTGCATTAAACAAACTGCATCTAATAAATGCGCATTATTTGTAAATACGTCTGTTAATACATCCGTAGACAATCTCCCTATCGAGAGTCGCGTGCTTATGACGTCAGTTCTCCGTCTCTTCTGAATTAGGTCACAATAGCATTTCTGCAAGAGGACTCGCCATCTTAGAAGCGCTTTGTGAGGCACGGCCTGTGCGGGACTGTGTGTATTACTCCATCAGTTCACATCTTTGTGTTTCGATAAGATCAGAAATGCATGGAAACAGGGGTCCGCCGCAAAACCAAGGCCACATGCAGAGCGGAGGGAACAGCAATGGCCAACAGCCCGACTCTGAGCAGAGGAGCGTCAACGACTCCCTCACCCTGGACCTGCAAAGCTTTAGGAGGCCGGGAGAGAAAACCTTCACCCAGCGATGCAGGCTTTTTGTGGGAAATATTTCTCCGAACGTGACCGAGGAGGAGTTGGAGACCCTGTTTGCAAAGTACGGAAAAGCAAGTGAGATTTTCGTCAACAAAGATAGAGGCTTCGGTTTCGTCCGACTGGAGACGAGGATTATCGCGGAGATCGCAAGAGCCGAGCTCGATGATACTATTTTCAAGGGGAAAGCTATACGTGTCAGGTTTGCTACCCATGGTGCATCGCTTTCAGTCAAGAATCTGCCAGAGTTTGCCTCAAACGAGCTCCTAGAGGAGGCCTTTTCTGTTTTCGGTCAAATAGAGAGGTCAGTGGTGATCGTGGATGACCGAGGGAGGCCAACCGGGAAAGGAATCGTGGAATTCACCTCAAAACCAGCTGCAAGGAAAGCCTTGGATAAATGTGCTGATGGTGCCTATCTGCTCACATCTTTTCCACGACCAATTACTGTAGAGCCAATGGAGCAACTAGATGAGGATGAAGGTCTACCAGACAAGCTCGTCAACAAAAACCAACAGTATCACAAGGAAAGGGAGCAGCCTCCACGGTTTGCACAGCCAGGAACCTTTGAGTATGAGTATGCCATGCGCTGGAAAGCTCTGATGGAGATGGAGAAGCAGCAGTATGAGATGGTGGACCGCAACATGAAAGAAGCTCAAGAAAAACTGGAGACTGAGATGGATGCTGCCCAACATGAGCACCAGGTGATGCTGATGAGGCAAGATCTGATGAGGCGCCAGGAGGAGCTTCGGCGGATGGAGGAGATGCACAGTCAGGAGGTGCAGAAGAGGAAGCAGGCCGAGCTGCGGCAGGAGGAGGAGAGGCGTCGCCGCGAGGAGGAGCTCCGCATGCGTAATGAGGAGATGATGAAAAGGCAGCCGGAGGGTTTCAGAGGAAACTTCCCTGAGGGCAGAGACCCCGACATGAGGATGCACATGGGAATGCCCATGAACAGAAACTCACTGGGGGGAAGCACTGGGCAGTCTGGAGGGGCTGAGAGCAGCCCGGCTATGTCCGGAAACGGCAACATTCCTGGGGCAGCTCAGGGGGGCTTCCCCAGAGGCCTCCCTGGACCAGGGGACTATGCAGTTCCCTCCAAACAGCGCAGGTTCTGAAATGAGTCTGTTGCACTGTTTTAAAAGTTCACATTGTGAGCATGGTTCAAAATGCTTGTCGGTTTATTACTTTTTATTTGTACTTTTTTGTACATTTTGTACTAAAATGGCCAGATCTCTCAAAATAAGTCATTTATTTTTTATTTCTCATGCAAATGTGACTAATAGAGTAGAATAAGAGATGTTTTTGTCATGAATATTTGAATCTTCGCAAATAAATGAATGTTTTCCCTGAAGTGTTTTTCTAATTGTCTGAAATGACACATTTCACACTGTTTTTCTATAAACCATGTTCTAATCTATAATAAACTATTTACTCCCTCTCATCATTTACAGATACACAATGCTGATTTAAATTTAATTATTTTGCAAATCTACAGTAACACTTAGTTCACATCAGCCAAATTATTTTTTTTTTTCAGTAATCTGATTTGTGCTGGATGATTGAAGTAATTTTTTGCTCATACAATCTCATCGCCAGGTGGTCGAGGGTGACAAAGCTCCTATTAAAAAAAGTGTGATAGTGCCAAAAATCTACACATGGCTATCTCAACTTTGATAGATGGCAAAACCAGCATTACAGTCTACAGAATCTGGTTGTATAAAATGGCGGGTCATATGTCCTTGATCATTGTAAAAGTTCAGCAAGCAGAATTTGTTTCTCATAGAAGTTAAATTAGATAGTAATTACAATAGCCAAGTTTTTTTTTCACTGTAGTCATTCTGAAGCACTGATTGGAAAGAGGTACTGTAATGAAGAGATTTGTGGGTACAATCTATTAATGCATTGTTTCAGTGAAAGGTGCTGAATAAAACTTTACTTATTGATGACTTTGAGAAACAATGTAATTCTATTGTCTAATTTGCGGAAATACTGATGTAGTAGAAAAGTATCTCATGAATGATAATATTTTGTTTTTTTCTTTGTTGCGTATAACCTACAGCAGTGTCTCCCAAAGTGGGGTCCGCGGCCCCCTGGTGGGCCGCGTGGGTACTGCAGGGGGGCCGCGAGAGGTCATAAAAAAAATAAAAAAATAATATAATTATTTAATGTTAAATTTATAATGTTTTGTTTGTAATATTAAAATATTTGTGTTCATTATTTGACTTGAATAAGCCACTGTAATCATTTTTGTATTACAATGTTTGTAGCAGAGGCTATTTCCCCAAAATAAAATAACCAGAAGAGCCTATTATTAATGTTGTCTTCTTGGTTATTATTTTGGGGGGCCACGCAGACCCGTCAGATTTTTAAGGGGGCCTCGGTGTTACTGAGTTTGGGAATGGCTGACCTACAGGGATCTAGCTTTTAAAAATCAGGTGTGCTTCTGCATGAAAAGCCTATTAAAACCTGATTATGTCAGAAGCTAAGCAGGGCAGGTCTTGGTAAGTACTGTAATGGGAGACCTCAACCAGGTCCCACATTGGGGTGGCTGTAAAACTGCCAAACTGTCCTTAGGCAAGACATTTCACCAACAACATTGTGCGGACAGACATTTGGTTCTGTTTGGGGGTTGGGGGGGGGGGATTGCACTCAGTAGTAGTTTCTCTTATGTCAGTCTGTCCCAGATTAAGAGATCCTTTATTTTTCTCACAGTGCACAGGGCAGATTAACTACAGCACTGGTTTATCACCACCATTTACAGAGTGAATGAATAATGTCATGAGAAGTGTATTTGAGTGGTCAGCTATTTAAACCCAATGCATTATTATTCATATTAGGAATATTTCTAACATGATTACAGATTCGGATTATTATCTTATTTATAATTTAATGCGTAATTTCTCTGATAATGCCCCATAAAATCCCATATTTTACTTTATATTAAAACAAGTCAAATGTCTTTGCGTTGTCTTCTTATAACATGACTGCTTCAAAATTCTCTTATTAACCATTTGTGTTTGTGCTTTAGCCAAAGTCGTGACATGTCAAAAGCATCTTCATCTTATCATTCTTGTTTTTTCTTGTCTTCACCATCTGGGTTTATTACTGTTTGGCCTGATAGTGCGCTGTTACATAGTTGGATCTGTTAATTTTATTCTTTCTCTGACCTTGACCAAGATAACATAAATTATAAAGTTAATCCATGCACCGGGTCATACCTCAAATAAGTCCTCATTGATGAATTCGTCTCAATGAACCACCAAATTAAGAATATTAGATTTGTACATAAAATTTGTACGAAACAAAAAAAATGTATTAAAATGAGAATTAGACCTTCAATTCCCTGTGGATTATTTACATTGCCAGAAATGGGAACAACTAGAATATTAAGAATGGAATTATTAGTGGGTCATATTATTGGTATAATAATGTGTATAATTTGTGCTTTTCTTGTTTTTTTTTGTCAACACATCTGCCCAGGCATGCATACTAATGAGCAAATCATTCACCTCAGATGTAACACTTTGAATACTGTGAAATCCTAGTTTGAAAACACTATATTGCTACTTCCTGATTGGACACACACTGATTTGGGTTTCTCTAAATTACACAAGTAGAAATATGAGACGACATGTTCATTTTGTTAAGTTGATTTTTAAATGGTCAGAAATGTTTGTTTTTTATGTGTTAATTGCCTGTGCATTTTGTGTATTGATGTATTGATTAAGCCATTTATTTTAGAACTCAGGATGACTCCTTTCAGACCCATGTATTTAATTTTTTTCATTATAGTTTATGTCTCAAAACACCAATTTAACGACCACCTGTTCTGTCTAAGCCAACAAATTATGAAGGTATTGTTTTTTCCTATATGGAGAGAGATGTCTGCATTGACATCCAGCTGCCCCTAACCTGTTGACACAAATGTATCTGAACTGGATCTGGAGGCCCCAGTTTTAGTCATATCTGAAATATTAATATTCTCTCACTCACAGTTTTTTAAGTCCCTAAAAATAGACTCAGTTCATTGATAGTTCTCCATTAATTGATCATTGAGATTGTTGTCAACAAAATGTTTTATTGAATATTTGTCTTTTGAGGATAAGTTGTCCCTATAACGGATATCAAATTATTGAAAAACATGTAGTGAAAATGTGTAATAAATGTTCATATAATCAAACAATTAAGTTATAATGCACCTCTATGAAGATGTTTAGAGTAAAGAATTATTCAAAAGAATAATCAACCAACTTGTTGATTGTCTTCATAATCACTCTGGACTCAATGCAACAGTGATCTATGTGTATAATAGAGTGATTGGAACTCCCTGTGATCCCAGTTGTAAAAGCACACAGCCCCACAGAGGGTGCGGTTTTTGTTTTGGATTTCCTAGTTTGTCCCAGCAACTGTATCGCAATCTCACAGCGTTAATCATCAATCAGAAGAATTGATCGTTTGTCGCTGCGATTGGTCAGAGCAGACATCAGACCAGATAACAAACCAGTGACGTGACAGATTTTCTGACGCAGGGCGAGGATTTTCAACTGTAAAAGTCTTCATCATTATAGTTATCGGCAGAGAGAGGGCTGAGACACCACGGCACAAGCCCCTCTCACTCACCGCTCCTGTCTGATGGGCCCCTAACTAATAATAATAATATTGATCAAAATAATAATCGAGAAAAGGACCGTGCAATCATGGCCCAACTAGGAGCACTCTTCACTTTATCTTGCTGTTTGGTAAGTCATTTTAACCATCAAAGAAAGCCATGTGTTTCTTGTTAGATTCATCAATATTGTACTGTATAAAATGTTTGCCTGTGACTTGTACATAGTTTCACACAGTAATTTACATGGTTTGTCAAGTCATATTTTAGCTGAAACTGTATCAATTAAAAATACGCTCATCAAAGCGCTCATTTGTTTTGTTGTTCTTTTAAAAAACACACTAATCACATGGTTACATCTAATTTAATACAAAGCCAATTCATAACATGTAAGTACTCATTCGTCCCCATATTCTTGTCTTAAGTCAATATTGTGTTTACCCCTCAGTTAATAATTTCACCTTCAATAAATGTACAGTTGAACCAATAAAACACTCTCATTAATCTGTATTTATGGCATGACGCAGATGTACTGTACATGTTACAGTTTTCCTCTTCAGGTCACTTTTGCCCTAAGAGCCCAAAGTTAATCATGGTTGATAGGGTTTCTTTATTTTACAATTTATTTTATGTATGTGTCTTTTCAAACTCAGATCCTGACAGGAGCCCAACACCAACCAGGGAGATGCATCTTTTACGAAGAGTGTGGTCAAAACCCCACACTGAACCAAACTCTTATCAAGCCGATTGTGCCCTGTTACAATCCGAGTCCTGCAAGACTGCTGAAAGGAGACCACTACAAGAAGCTTGCTCAGGTACGAAAAACAACAACTTATATTTACGGTAAGAGGAGGAGTGTAATTGTGTTGAGTCATCTGCTCTACATCCATGCATGGTTTAAACTCCATCCATCCATCCATTTTCTTCCGCTTCATCTGTTGCCGGGTCGCGGGGGCAGCAGTCTAAGCAGAGACGCCCAGACTTCCCTATCCACACACACCTCCTCCAGCTCGTCCGGGGGGACTCCAAGGCGTTCCCAGGCCAGCTGAGAGACATAGTCCCTCCAGCGTGTCCTGGGTCTTCCCCGGGGCCTCCTCCCGGTGGGACATGCCCGGAACACCTCCCCAGGAAGGCGTCCAGGAGGCATCCGGAACAGATGCCCGAGCCACCTCAACTGGTTCCTCTCGACGTGGAGTAGCAGCGGTTCTACTCCGAGCTCCTCCCGTGTGACTGAGCTCCTCACCCTATCTCTAAGGGAGCGCCCAGCCACTCTGCGGAGGAAGCTCATTTCGACCGCTTGTATCCGCGATCTTGTTCTTTCGGTCATTACCCAAAGCTCATGACCATAGGTGAGGGAGGGAACGAAGATTGACCGGTAAATTGAGAGCTTTGCCTTTCGGCTCAGCTCCCTCTTTACCACAACGGTCCGATACAGCGACCGCATCACTGCGCACGCTGCACCGATCCGCCTGTCAATCTAACGCTCCATCCTTCCCTCACTCGTGAACAAGACCCCGAGATACTTGAACTCCTCCACTTGAGGAAGGACCTCTCCACCCACCTGTAGAGGGCAAGGCACCTTTTTCCGGTCGAGCACCATGGCCTCAGATTTGGAGGTGCTGATTCTCATCCCAGCCGCTTCACACTCGGCTGCAAACCGTCCCAGTGCATGTTGTAGGTCCTGGTTCAATTTAGTAGTTAGTTACAATTTTGTAATAAGGGTTTGAGAAGTATAAAAAGCATAATTGAAAACTAGATACTAATTTGAGCATGTGTGATACCACAGACGTAGACCTTTCCTGTATTTTGATCTACAGTATATCAGGGATGTAATGTAGTATGGTTTATTTTATAGTATTTTATAATAGACTTATGCATGTGACTCAGGTAATGACTACAGAATTAAATGACAATGTGTTTGTTCAAACATCTATGCCTACCTGCATGCGAAAGCCAGATCCCATCAGACCTCTTAGAGCAGGTGCCACTATGGGGCAGCTGCGGCTGTAAATGGCCAAAACTGATGTTATGTCCTTAGGCAAGACAATTCACCCACATTGTGTAGAATTAGTCTTGTGTGTGTGTGTGTGTGTGTGTCTGTGAATCGCTGGTGGTGGTCAGAGGGGCCGATGGCGCATACTGTTTTTCTCACTTCTGCCAATGAGCAGCTGTGGCTACAATAGTAGTATATCACTACTGTGAATAATGACACGTGAAGCGCATTTGAGTGTCCTGAAAAGCGCTGTATAAATGCATTATTATCCTTATCATCAAGATGTTCTCCAGGGGCTATGAGCTTTGCTTTGGTTGAATATATACAAGTCCCTTCCGGGATCTAAAGAGCTAAACTATTAATTGAAAGAAAAATAAGCCAAATAATCACTTATTTGGCTTCTGGTATCATACAAAGTTTGTTCAATTTGTACTATTATTGTTTAGCTTATGGTGTAGTATCAATCTGTGAGTGTTCTGATAACACCAGTACGTTGTCGTCGCAGGTGTGTCCGATGTTGGATCGAGGAGAAGGCAACACATTCGCCTGCTGCTCCATCCCACAACTTGTCTCCTTGGAAACCAGCCTGACCCTCTCTAAAGCCGTCCTCAACCGCTGTCCTTCGTGTTCCCACAACTTCGCCCATGAGCACTGCATCAACACATGCAGCCCTGACCAAAGCCAATACGTGAACGTCACTAGACTCATGAATATCACCTATGCGGGAGGCACCCGCGAAGCCGTGGTGGCCTATCAGGCGTATTTGTCCTCTAGATTTGCAGAGAAAGCTTTCCAATCGTGCAAAAATGTCCGCATCCCAGCCACAGGTGGATTTGCAATCTCGACGATGTGCGGCCGATATGGGGCCAAGTTATGCACTGCTCAACGCTGGTATGACTTCCAAGGAGACTCCAGTAACGGCCTTGCCCCATTGGACATCGACTTCATGCTTATTCCTGACAGTGCGGCTGCATCCTTACCCTTCGGTCTCATCCCGTACAATGGCAGCGCTCTGAATTGTAACCAAGATACGCCCTCAGGAGGCAAAGCGTGCTCATGCCAGGACTGCCAGGACGCTTGCCCCGTTGTCCCAGGACCCGCAGAGCCCCCAGGCCCGTTCAGAATGTTTGGCGTGGATGGGTTTTTGTTGATCTCTGTTCTCCTCTTGGTCCTGCTGATGTTGGCCTTCATCTTCTACATATCTGTGTCCTGCTATGTCAAGTCGACTAAGCCAAAGACAAAGAATACGAAGAAGGATTTAAATAGCAACAATGTCACACAAAGGCTGATTCATCCCGCAGAGATTACGTGCACTGACAAGAACAGTCTGGCTGCTCACGCTTTTTTAAGTTCCATATTTGAAGAGTGGGGAAAGTTAATGGCCACTTATCCATTGACAGTAAGTAATAACAAACAAATAGACAGTATGTAGAGTTTTTACTAATCGGGATTACAGTATGTCATTGCAACTAATTGTTTTCTGTGTTTTAATGATCAAAATGATCAAAAGTTCCAGACAAAATAATTGCACAAACATTTTTACTTTGTTATAATATAGAGTCTGAGTCTCTTATTCTCTGTCTCATAAAACATAACATAACGAAACTCCTCACATTGAATGATTTTTCCATAGAATGATTTCATGCAGATAATGATATTGAAATGTTCTTGTTCAGGTGCTGCTGGTTTCCGCTGCCCTCGTTTCTGTTTTGGCCGCTGGACTCATGCACATAGAGCTCACCACTGACCCAGTGGAGCTGTGGTCTGCCCCCAACAGCCGCGCCCGTCAAGAGAAGGATTTCCACGATTCAAATTTTGGGCCTTTCTTCCGAACCAACCAGCTAATCCTGACTGCGCCCCAAAGAAAAGGCCACATTTACGATTCACTACTCTTCGGAAAACAGAACTTCAGCGGAATCGTTTCCAAAGACCTGATCCTTGAGCTGTTGGAGCTGCAAACTCGAATTAGGGTAAGAACCATTACATTTAAAGCTGGGGTACCTAACTTTCAATAGTTATGATAAATATAATCCATCAAACTAGTTCCTAACTCCAAAATAGTTTGGTTTTATCGTTAGTTTTTGTACGATTTCATTTTGCCTTTATCAGTGAAAAAGAAAGGACCACCCTCACTCAGCCAAAGTGTAAATAGAAAACACAAATAGATACATATTTTTTAAAATGAAGACGGCCCCTTAACAAAATGTTTTAGGTTTAGACCCTGTTTGTTTTTAAAAACATGTGCCCTATTTATGAGGGGGGGGGGGCATCGATATACAGAATACAGAACCTCGGGGGTCACTCATGGGACATTAAAATTCATAACCAATTGTACAATAAATATGAGCCACCAAATCTCTTGATGGCTCATATTTTTTGTGTTTTTATATGACAAAGACTGTGGAAATATACAGGATACAAAACACTAAAAGAAAGGGCCAAAAACAGGTGTGTGAGGGCCACATTTAGCTCACTGGCCTTACTTTGGACATGCTCTTATTAGAGGATACATTTGCTGTAGGAATAACAAGCAAATCCAACAACAAAAATATAACATTGTTTCTTTGGTAATTCTCTCCAGGATATAGAGTTTTTCTCAAAGGATCTGAACCGCACTGCGAGTTTGAAGGATGTTTGCTTTGCGCCTCTGAATCCCACCAACCCCACAATGACAGACTGTGCTGTGAACAGCCTGCCGCAATATTTCCAGAACAGCATAGACAACATTAACGCGAAGGTGTTCATGACCGAACTAGGAGTGACCAAAGAGGTGGACTGGAGGGACCATTTGATCTACTGTGTCAAGTAAGAGATAGTATAAAACATGGCTAATCTCTTCAAACAATGATAATGTTGTATATTCATGTACTCATGTGTTTGTCTCAGCTCTCCACTGTCCTTCAAAGACATCACAGATTTAGGCATGAGCTGCATGGCTGATTATGGAGCTCCAGTTTTCCCCTTTTTAGCTGTTGGAGGCTATAATAGTAAGTGACCAAACAAAAGTTAATGTTGCAGTGGCCAAATACTATCATTGCTATTATGTTTACAATAACAAATATAAATGCTGTTGTTGTTTTTCAGGTGAGGATGATTACACTAATGCTGAAGCCTTAATTCTGACCTTCTCCCTAAACAATTTTCCTCGAACCGACCCCAGGTTCAAAGTGGCACTGCAGTGGGAGACCGAGTTTCTTAAAATCGTTCAGGAATATCAGAAAAATCCCAAAAACAACTTCACATTTGCGTACATGGCAGAGGTATGTTACAAATGACCACATATGCAGCTTTGATATCCATTTCCACACAGACTCTCCCTAAAACTCAGTCCCTCTCTATTTGGCTCGTCTCACCCCTGAGACCTGTCTCTCTGTTCGAGACCTCCATGTGTTTTTAAAAATAATTGAGCCCCCAATCCCATTCTTGTGCACCATCAACAAGAACGTGCACTAAGCAAAAACCCTGACAACAACAACTCAATCTGTTCAGTAGTTTTAGCACATTTGAACATGCCTACAGACAAGATTACATTGGTGGTGTAATTACGTGTCTTGGAGATCAGACTGTGGCCTGGTGCAGGGGCAGAGGGTTTCAAGTCCAGTAGTATTGATGTAACATATTTTTCTTTCACAACAGAGGTCCCTGGAGGATGAGATTAACCGGACAACTGCGGAGGATATCCCAATCTTCATGATTAGCTACGCTGTCATCTTTGTGTACATTGCAGTTGCATTAGGAGAATACTCTTCTTGCAAGCGTATATTGGTGAGCCATCTAAACGCATGCTTGGACTAAAAACTGGGTGCAACCAGCTTTCTCGGATACAGTACTGACAATTGAGATAAGGAGCCGTGAGGAAAGTTAAGTAGATAAATGTGCACTTATCTCAAGGCTGATAAGAGGGAATAGAGACACATGCACTTGTCAGCTGTCGTTATATCATCCATAGGGTCTATGGGGATTGCAACGTAATAATTAGTTGAACATTTATGAAAAAAGTTCTCTCAGTTCACAGCGTGCCATCTGTCCTATAGGTGGATTCAAAGTTTTTGGTGGGACTGGGTGGGATCTTGGTGGTCGGCTGCTCCGTTCTGGCTTCCATGGGCTTCTACTCGTGGGTGGGGCTCCCCTCTTCTCTGGTCATCCTGCAGGTTGTGCCCTTCCTGGTGCTGGCAGTGGGGGCTGACAACATATTCATCTTTGTATTGGAATACCAGGTGAGTTTTTCATCAATTCTTTTTTTCTTCGCCATTTGTGATATATAATCTAAACAATTCTAACTTTGTGTGCCAAAGAGAGATATGCGGAGGCCGGGTGAGAAGAGAGAGGAGCAGATTGGCCGTGTGCTGGGAAGTGTTGCTCCCAGCATGCTCCTCTGCAGCCTCTCAGAGTCTGTCTGCTTCTTTCTGGGTAAGAAAATATATGAATCAAATGACAGACATGTAAATTTAAATCTCAGAAGTAGCAGCAACATTAAATAGTTTGCATTGAAGCCATACATTTTTGTAAATTTCTCCATTGTGAGATCAATAAAGTTTCTCTTATCTTTATCTTATCTTTTATAGGAGACATACTTTCTATTCTACTTCTATCTAACATGACCTCACATAGTTCATTATTTTACGTTATGTTCAGTTTTGTGTCAAAACTGACATTGATGATGATTCACATTGATTTCTTGAGCTGATTTCTTGGTGGCATTTCACAGTAATCCGTACTGGAATGTTTGTATTTGGAAGCTTAAGCTATCTATAAAAACAGTGCATAATAAATTGAAAGTACTCATCCCTATCCCAATTGCAATTTTTCTGTATTCTCACATACTGTTACCAGAAGGTGTGGTAGTGATAATGCAGCATGAGAGTTTGAGCCGGCCCGAAACAGTCCAGGGACCAAATAATTGGAGGCAGGCCAATAAATAAATCAATTGATTTTAGAAATTCAAAACTCATGTGAAATCTGTGTCAATGCTGTGATAAAAACAGGCTCTTTCTCCTTTCTGCTCTACCTCTAGGCGCCCTGTCGACGATGCCTGCAGTGAAGTCCTTTGCTCTGTATGCGGCCCTGGCTGTGCTCATGGACTTTGTGCTTCAGATGACCTCGTTTGTGGCTCTGCTCTCTCTGGACGCACGGCGACAGGACAAGAACCGCTGTGAACTGCTGTGCTGCGTCACTGTGTCCACTCGGCGCCCCAACAAGCCCAACGAGGGCATCCTGCTCCCATTCATGAGGAAGTTCTACGCCCCTGCCCTGATGCACAGCGTCACCAGAGTTATTGTGGTAAAGCAGATACACCGGATACAGATACAAGACTACTGAAGTCAAAAGTCCCATTTTTATAATCAATTATGTCCTGATTGTGCTCTTTTTCAGATGCTGCTGTTCATCTTTATGTTTTGTGCTTCCTTGTTCCTCATGTTCAATGTGACGGTTGGTCTGGATCAGGAGCTGGCAATGCCTCAAGTTAGTACAGTTCATTCGGATTTTCTTTACTGGTGGAACCCGGAAAAATAGGAATATCTTTCAAAAGTTCATTTACTTCTGGAATTCAACCAATACTTTTATATATATTCATGACAGAAAGTTATTTTAATGAGACAAAGAGTGTAAAGAAGCCAGTACTGCTTAATTACCTGACATGTTTCAGCACTAGACTCCTGCCTTTGTCAGAGGTGACTACGATGGTGTGATCTGTCTCTTATCGCCTGTTGTTACTGGATGGGGATGAGAAATCAGGCAGATCCGTCAAACTGACCAGACCCCCCCACCGCATTGTGGTCTCTGGAGTAATTTGAATTTTGTATTATTTTTGTTATCATAAAGAAGAACATAAATAGAAAAGATGGATACAAGAGACGATCATAATCAGGAAGCGAGATGCACGAACCATCAATAGAGACAAGGGGACCTATACCTTGACTCAGACATGGGAGTCACTCTCCAGCAACCACAGTATGGCCGGGGGGGGGTCAGTCTCACGGTTCTGTCCGATCGTCCAGACTGCATTCTGTAACAACAGCTGTTAAGAGCCACGCCATCATGTGTTGTGCTTTCAGGTGGAACTAACCACTGTTTTCATTTGGACACACTTTGAGTTTAACAGCTGGTTTGATATATATCTCTTGACAACTGTGAACAGAGAAAAGGATCATTAGAAATCCTTATATGAATAATGGAGCACAGAAATTTGTTTTCCACAAGACCATGATCCTAGCTGAGACTGTTGTATCTTCTATCCTATTGATCTATTGCTTTTCTAATTAGTATTTGTAATTTCTTTGCAGGGCTCTTACATGCTGACCTATTTTGAATATTTGTACAAGTACTTTGAAGTGGGGGTACCTGTGTATTTCGTCACAAAGAAGGGCTATAACTTCAGCACAGTCGAGGGAATAAACGGTGTCTGCTCCAGCGTCGGCTGCAATCAGTTCTCACTCACTCAAAAGATCCAGTACGCCACAGAGTACCCCGAACTGTAAGTAATTTCTTGGGATCCAAAATTGTGAATTGACTGAATAAATGAGGAAAATATTAAAGGGAAACTGATAGATGACTACTAATGAAGAGGATGCACAAATTTGCTTCTAAATGGTCAGCAAAGGAAAATCAGAACCTCCCAAATCAGCTTTGTTGTGGTGAAGAGGGAGCTGAGTCTTAAGGCACAGTTCTTGGTTTACCGGACAACGTGCCCTCCCTCACCAAAGGTCACGACCGAAAAGACGAGATTATGGCTACAAGTTGTTGCGATCAGTTTCCTCAGCAGAGTAATTTACTGGTATTAATTATTTCAATTTAAACAGATTTTCATATTTTTTTACAATTATTATTATTATTATATTTGACTTGAGTTGTGATAATTGTGCATTGAAGAAAGCCCCTGCATCTTTACTGTATATCTCATATGGATATCTCATATAACATGTCCTTGAACTTAATTAGTAGTAACCTCTTACACACTGCAGTAAAATGATAAACTGCCTGGACTCACGCAGCACTGAGCACCTGTAAAAGAAGGCAATATAAAATGTACTGTACGGAATACTAGCTCTAATTGTCGATATGTGAAAATGTCTTATGGCTTTTTTCACACATCACAACAATAATAAATGTTTATTCTAAAGGAAGCTCTTAGATGAAAACTTACCAGTGTGTAAAATATTCAATATAAGTAGAAAATGTACTTATATTGACAGTGATTGCTTGAGAATAATATAGTTAAAATAACACAAAATATTATGATTTCCTGTGCAGATCCTACATTGCAATCCCATCGAACTCCTGGGTGGATGATTATATCGACTGGCTGAACCCAGGATCAAAATGCTGTCGTCTTTACGCCTTTGGGCCAGACAAGGGAGAGTTCTGTCCTGCAAGCGAAAGTGAGATGAAATTGCATTTAATTTTCTGAAAGCACTATACACTGAACGGCAAGATAGACTACTAATACCACAATCATTAGTTATTATATTATTATTATTATTATTATTTGTTTCATTTTTATTTCATTAAGATCGGACTCAAAGTCCTGCCTTGTGTCCCCTTAAATGTACACAAAGTTTGAATTCAACATTCGATATATACAAATTTAGAATTTATTTGTCATTTTAAAAACTTTGTATTCACCTTTTGGTCATAAAATGTCACTTATCTGGTGTAAAACTGCGATGCTTATTGACCAGGGCTTCTGTCCCCTCGAGAACAGCCAACCCTTACTATACACACACTTACTATACCCTCTCCGCAGGTGCTTTTCGCTGCCCATTTAAATGCATGAAGACTCCGCCAGACGGTGTTCTGAGGCCCAGTGTGGAACAGTTCAATAGGTTCTTACCTGATTTCTTGGGAAATCGACCCGATCTTCAGTGTCCAAAAGGGTACGTGTACTAATGGAACATAATCAACATGAAAGCTTTCTCACGTGTGCTAATTTGTTTGTTTGTATGTGCTTTTAAAACAGAGGTCTTGGAGCGTACGACACAGCTGTGGTGAAGGATGAGAGCGGAGAGATTATAGGTAGTTTATACACTGTTTTGACCTCTAACATCACAAAGTATACATTTGTGTTTGTGTGTTTGCAGCGACCCGGTTCATGGCTTATCACACGCCGCTCACAAACTCCCAAGAGTTCACGGCCGCGCTACTCAGAGCGAGAGAACTGGCCCACAACATCACCATGGGCATGAGGCTAGTCCCAGGCACCTCCCCAGACTTCGAGGTCTTCCCTTACACGTATGTACCACTGCCTGCACTATTTCATGTTTCAAATGAGAAATATTGCACAACACTGGATAGATTTATAGATACTTTATCAATCCAATGTCAGAGATATTTAGGTGTCCAGTAGCAAAACACAACAATCCAAGGAGTACTTTGGGCTCCTTTGAGCACAGTTCAGTCTCATGTGCTGTACAGCCTCATAGCACATGAAACCTGAATAAAAGATTCAAAATGAAGGACTATTTTTTTTTTCTTCCAATGGGTCGCAATGTATTTTCTTAAAATAAAAAAGGCATTGTTTTCCCTTTATCAAATCTTGTTTAAAGATTGTTTAATTGTACTCAAACTTAGATAAATTAAAATTCAGTTTATTTCAGTCACTTTTTGCAGTGTTACATGTATTACTACTGACCCTCTGCCCTAAGACACATTTTTCCTGCAGAAGTGGCTTGAGACATTTCAAGTTCAGTAACAGGATTTTCTCATTTTAAGGGAGATAAAGGGAGATTTTTTTTTCTGACTGGAACACCAAACAATAATGCAAAAATCAATCTAAAATAAATAAAAGAAAAACCGTGTTTTCATTAACAAATAGCACAAGTTAGTAATAATAATTACTTGTGATTCACCATACAAAATGTTTGCTGTTGAAACGGGCCTTCGGTAACGATAGTTTTGTTCTTTTGCAGCGTGACCAATGTGTTCTATGAGCAGTATCTAACCATCGTGCCGGAGGGGCTCTTCAACATCTCGCTTTGCCTGCTGCCCACGTTTGTAGTGTGCTGTCTGCTGCTGGGGCTCGACCTGCGCTCCGGCCTTCTCAACCTTATCACCATCGTCATGATTGTGGTTGATACAGTGGGAGTCATGACACTGTGGGGAATAGATTACAACGCAGTGGCTCTTATCAACCTGGTCACAGTAAGAGAAGCACTTGCTCAATTCTTGAGGAAGGACTTGTTTAATCCCATGTGACGTACTAAGTCTTCCCTCTTTTACAGGCGGTTGGGATATCTGTGGAGTTTGTATCTCATATGACCCGATCGTTCGCTCTAAGCACAAAGTTGACTCATGTGGAAAGAGCCAAAGAGGCCACAGCCAATATGGGCAGTGCGGTATGCAAGACATTATATTAAGATCGAAATTAGGCCTATGTGATACAATCATACACAAGTGGTGGCTCACCTCAGCTGCTGGCAAACTGGGCAGTGTCATCTTTTTAATTATCAAATGCATCGTCACTGCTAAATATTTTAATTCATTTGAAGTGATTCATGTTAAGATATAAGATGCTAAAAAAACAGTCCTGGCATTGATAAATATCCCCCCAATCATGAACATTGTGAGCAATAAGGGATAGAGTGATTTTGTATTCGTATTTGTTTGTTTATTTGGATGGGGCAGTGTGTATTAAAGAACAGCAGAAGCTTTAAATACACCAGATTGTAGTTTTTGATCTTGAGTGTGTTGCTCTTCCTTCAGGTGTTTGCAGGTGTTGCTATGACCAATCTGCCCGGGATTCTGGTTTTGGCTTTTGCCAAAGCTCAGCTCATCCAGATGTTCTTCTTCAGGCTCAACTTAGTCATCACACTCCTTGGGATGGCTCATGGACTGGTGTTCCTCCCTGTCCTGCTCAGCTACTTTGGTATGTGTGGTACAAATGCATGTAATAAATGTAAAGTCTGTAACCATATCTAAACCAGCCTTTGATTTCCCAGGTCCTGGTTTGAACAAGGCTGTGTTGTTCCAGCAGCAGCAGAGGGACAGAGAGCAGATGTCCAACCACATGAAGCCGGTTTATGATAACATGACTTATGAAGCCCAAGAAAATAAACCAGAGCTAAATGGCACCATCGTCTCACAAACGGTCAACCACCACGGGGAGGAGAGGGTCGACCGTTTCTGAATGTAGTGAATGGACCAAATTAACTATGAAATACCTCGTCAAAATTCAGATTCTGGGACGAAACCAAGGACTAAAAGGATGAACCCGTGAAAGTGAAAAACGGTTATGCAATGTTTCAATGCAAGTGGACTTTTGATAAGTCAACAAAAACAACTACGTATCTGATGCACTGCCAGATTTAAAGACACTTTAGAAACACAGTTGTTTGCAGTATTTTGTACTTAACATAATTATTTTTTATTCTTAGCAGCACAGTCAGTAATTTATTGAATACACTCCACATGCAGTATCAAGTGTTATGTACATGGACTATGTAAGATTGGATCAATTTTGATTTTTGTTCTACATCATTTCTGTTTGACTGTTGTTCAGTAATGAATGTGTCCATATGCAGAGTCTACCCATGTCATTATTTTGACCGACGGTTGAAGGTATTTGAATTATGTTACAAATACAGCCTTAAACTTCACAAAAGCCACACTCCTGACTCCATTGTATTTCATGTTATTTTATTAACAATGCATCCCTTTCGGATTGTATGTTTCTTCAGGTCAATGCCCCAAAACATACTGTACACATTTTACAAGGGAAACCACGATTCAGGCAAAAAAAAGAAATAAAACCTTTTAAATTATAATACAGTCTGAGGAAAAATATAAATAACTTTTCTTCTCTGGTTGAACTCACTCTATGGTACAGACATACAATAAATAGATCGGGTCTGAAGTCACTCAGCTGATCTACAAATCATCTTTCTACAAGTCCATTGTTTTTTTTTTCTTTATAAACCTTTTTTTTGTAGCAGCATTTGAGCAAAAACACAAGCCAATGGAAACGGTCATTCCCGTTTCCCCAAAACCCTTCGATAAATTCTGCCATCCTCATTTTGTGTTATTTTAGGTCTTCCCGGCATCCCCCCCTCTTAAGCAAAGTTCAGCAATATTGCATTGTGAAGAGAGATCTTGGGGGGGAAAGGTTCTTAAATTGCGTCAATATAATGGCAGCATGTAATGGCAACCTTTTTTGTTTAAATCTTACAAGCAGGAAAACATGTAGGTGGCATTGAAGTCTGGCTATGCTAGTTGCACATGCAGAGGGAGTGAAGCACAGAGGTACAAAGGCTTAAAGTGGGATTTCCATTGGACACAGGTAGTTCATGAGCAGAGTCCTTAAAACGCAATGAGTTATACAACGGAACAAAGACACCATTAGACCCACCTCCTGAGATGTCTCAAAACAGCAAAAACGTACATTATAATAATAGGTCCTACGCAAGGAGGAGGAATGGCCCAGTTTATCTAGCATTAAATAATGAGCTATTGTCTTAATGTACTATACAGAAAAACAAAATAGAAATTGTTGATTGTCTGAGAGGAGAAGTACTTGGCGGTTTGTGTGGATGAGAGAGAGGCTTTAGGTTGTAGTAGAAGTATGAGGTGAAAGCAAAGCAGAGCAAAGTTAATTACAGGGTTGTGATAAAAAACGGATAGACCCGTGGTAGTGTTTTGTATCAAGAAGATAAAATGAGGGTCCGGAGGAAATAATGGTATGGACACGTCGTCACGCCTTATTCATTTCAAAACAGTAAACACAACCCTGACGAAGGATTAAATTAGGCTATTTTAATAGTCTTGTCATAATGGTCCAGCGAGGTGCAATGTGTGGATGTATCCAAATGAGTATCAAGTTTTTTAATCCATTGTTTTTTGGTTTACTCATAATAGAAAACCTTTAAGTCTCCAAGCCAAGTCTGAAACGGCATTAAGGGCGTATCGAGTTTCCAGAGTGAATTGTAGTTTGAAGTTCTCGTAATATGCAAACTTCTTCCCACCTGGCCACAGTGATCCGTTAAATAGAAACATGCCATCATCTTTCAAGTCCATCAAATGAGACAGTTTTTATGCTTTTTGCAAGTTTGAAATGGATTTGACTTTGCTGAGTGGCAGAGCTGAGGCTGTTTAAGAGGAGAGCCGTCAGGATTCAAAAGCTGAGTCCACGTCTTCTTCTACAGGTTTTGGTTGCTTTGTCAGGATTGCCTCCGCTTCTTCGTACATCTGAAATTATTGGAGACAAGTTTATTATCAAAAGGTATGATTAATTACGGGTCAATAAGAATGGAGATGCTTTCTTACAGGCATGAATTGCACATCCTGGAAGAGTTCTTGTATGAAGCGTCTGGAGGTCAGCCGAAACATACAGTGAGCCAAAAGATGAGAGACCTCAGAGTACAGGCAGATGTCATCAAAAGCATAAGGGAACTTTTCCTTTATCCTGGAATTAAACAAATCAATTGGACAAATCCTACACAAACTATTCTTGCCAAAAGATGCAGAAGTATTTACGTCAGTAGTCCTGTTTCATGGCCTTTGGTTCCCACTGAGGAGCTGAGGTTGATTATGAGGCGAAGCACCTCTTTCCTAAGCAGGACTCTTGAAGCAGGCCCGTCTTCTGATATTGCCTTTCCATCTAGAAACAATTGTTTTAGGAATGAATAAACTGCATATGTATACATTTTAATCATTTCTTAAAATAATCTTTAAAAAATATTTTGGTTTACCAATTACAATGTCGGTGGGAGTAGGAGTGCCACAGATGGAACCCTGAGACACAGCAGCATCACTGCAGCCGGAGACCCCAGAAAACTTGGACTGAGGCATCACCTCCAGGCGATGTCCTGTCTGACCTCCCCACGATTGGAACTCTACATATTCTATAGAACAACAAGAAAATGAGTTGAAGAAGTACATGCATACAGTTGGACAGTGTAGTAGTGCACCTGTGCGAGGGTGAGTGTCGAGCTGGGGCTGAGTGCAGTAGCCCAGAACACTGGCTCCGACACAGTACAGGCAGTTGTCCTCAGAGTGATCCTGTAGTCCAGTCTCCTCCGAATCAAACATGTGGTTATGGTTTTCCCCTCGACTCGCCATGAGCTCAGAAATGCTAAACTGCTGCTTTAGTAGGGGGATTGTGCGTTCACCTAAAAGGAAAATAACAGTGAGTCTTTGAAAAAGAATCTTTTTAACTCAAACTGAAAGACTGAAAACAGATACCTCCTTCACCATCACCAAAGAGGAAGCGTTTTCTCTCTTCGGATGGCGGACTGATTCTCTGCTGAAAGTATGACGAGTCACGGATGTGAAACATGTCACGTATGTCCATGGGTAAAGCCAGGCCGACGTAATCATCATTACATCCAAAAGTGGCACTGGACACCATGGAGCGCACAGACGAGCAGCGATGCAAAGTGCTTTGGTTGATGGGGCTGAGAAGTTCCTCTTTATCCAGAGAAGCAAAGCTCAGAGCTTTCAAAAACCTAGGCAGTCCAAGAGGAGAGGAACGTGAGAGGATCCGGGGAGAGAGACTGGGACATAAAAGGATCATGGGGAGTAAGTTCAAGCATTAGATTGAAAATAACATTAAAAGAGCTAACAACACAATTTACATACACCATCAGCTATTGATTAGGTTTCACAGCACTGACACAAAAACAATAAATTTGACTACATATGCAAAGGGAACCAACTACAGGCAAAAAAATTTAAGAGCTTGATAATCCAATTAATTAACTTGGGTACTAAAGGTAACATTCAAATGCAAAGAGTAATCCCCAGAGCTACAGGCAGCGACTACTCTATGGGGGACACTAGCGTGGCCCACCCACCGCGGGACAAGTGTTCTGGACAGTCTGCGGTATTTTAAGACGCTGGGTTCAGGACAGGTGCCCCTTCTATCTGTCATCCTGGAACTGTTTGACTGTGATGGTCTGTAGTCAGCTGTAGAAAACCTTTTCACAAACATTTTTTAAATGTATGCATTGAAATAACTGAATCTGTTTGAATGCAAATAAAAAAGCAAAAAGTTACCTGCGAGGTGTGAGTCTAGAGTCCAGGCTGCCGGTCTTCATTGTGATGGTGTCTGTGAACAGGACGTCTTTGGCGGGAGAAGCCAGAGCTTCACTATGAGACAGAGAGGGGTGTATCCGCTGCTGCTGCAGCCTCCTCAGTGTAGCGTAGCCCAAAGCATCTCTAGGACTGGTGTACATGAAACTGCAGTCGGCCAGACTCTTGATGGTGGTGACTGAAGGGGATTTGAGAGACTGAGCACGGCGTGGGAGAGTGTGAGAGGAGCCGGGTGGTACCAGAGACACAGTGGAGGACTTAGAAGTGGTCATGTGGTTGGTCTGTGCTTGAGGTGTGAGGGCGGAGAGAGTTTTGACGGTTTTGGCGGAGACAACAGTATTGAGGCTAACACAATCTGAGGAGTCTGGCTCATGTTCGGGATGTTCAGAGTTTCCCACAGTTTCTCTGGAGGGGCTGGAGCTCATGGAGCTGATGCCGCTAGTCGTAGTGTCCGTGTTAAAGCTCTGACTGCGGCTCTTAAACTGAGTACCACCTCCGCCCACATTACCCCCCGTAGAGGAGCTGCCATCCCCCGCCAAACGCTCTCGACTGGTCTGTTCGCGCTCCCGCATTGACTGCTCCGGAGCTCCATGTGCAAGACCACTCAGGCCCAAACTTGAGACCCCACTCCTCACTAACCGACTGTCCATCAGCTGCTCCTCAGAGCCGCCTCGAGTCCCGACAAATGAGGTCTCCAGACTCACAGTGGGGCTCTTTGGAATCCCTCTGCCGTTAAACACTGGGGTGAAGACTTCACTCTGATTAGGGCTGTACACAGACGGCTCAGTAACAGTCCGGTTTCTTCTCATGCTCTTGAGCTCTGTCTGCGAGCGGGATTCTGAGGGGGTTTTAGGGTCACTGACAGAGCGCATTTTCTTACTGGGAAGTGACAGAGAGTTCAGGAAGCGCATTCGGACAGAACGTGAGGATGCAAGAATGGTGAAGGGACTGCGGTCTTTCACTGGTTTGGAGTGCGAGATGTAACAGCTCTCATCAGACTGGTCAAAAATATCACACTTGTCATCATCTAAGATGTACATATCTGAAAAGAAAGGATTAAGAGTATAAATGAGAAAATAATCATACATCATTACAAGTACAGTATAAAATATGACAGCACGTACTGGGATGAGATTCACTCTCACTGTTGTGCCGTGAACTCGTGGACTCTGAGTTCAGACTGAGTGTGCTCGGTACCGATGACAGTTCAGATGTCAGCTGTGTGTCCACCTCCTCTGGAGTCACAGGCCACAGCGTCCGGCGACTGTGTCTCACTGAATCCCAGCCAAACTGTTTGAGCACCTCACAGCCCTGCCTGGTCTTAGAAATGACACCCAATACATAGATGCAGGTGCTGTGGAAGACGTTAAAACAGTGTTCAAATAAAAAAAACAATCAATCATTTTAATCATTTGAGACTTACCCTCTCACAGACAATACTTCACAGTGTTGAGCCAAAGCAAGAATATCCGGAATGACATTCTCCTCCTGCAGAAGATTTAGGCCCCAATTTGATGAGCCAATGTTGCCCTATGTGGATAACCAAAAAGCACCCATTAGTATTTGCGTTGTTAAAGAAAGGAGTTTGATATGTGATTATCTCACCAGAGCCCATAGCGCTGCCTTCAGCTGCTTAATTCCTTCCCAGGTGTCCAGCATCGGGGAGCGGACTGTGTAGCTGAGGTCAGGAACTATGCTCTGGAAAAATTAGCGAAAAGGAATGTCAAAAATCTGAGTCCAATCGGAAGAGTCTTGTACCAAAGTCAAGCTCTGCTCCTACCTGAGCCTCCAAAAGGTGACAGCCTGTCTTATCATGGACAAGCTGGCCGTACAAGTGCACAGGTAGAAAAACATTTGGTCTTTGTAACCTACACAGAAACAGGAAATACACCATAATGGATAAAAAGGTTTACAGCGCATTTAACCTGCAGTGTTTGTGTGAAGTTCACACCTTTGGTTGCTGCGTCTGACATAGTTGTCGCCATCAACAGGTTTGCGGTAAGTCGTTAGTGCTTCATTTAGTTGCTCTTCTATCAAATCCACATACTTAAGGTTGTATTCCTGAAATTACGCAATGCAATTCTTCAATATCAATTTGATTTAATTTTGTGTAATGTATGAACCTACCATACCTTTTGCCATTTATCTAGCTGTTTGCTGACATAGCCCCTCTCATTGAGATAAGAGAATCCTTTAGGTATGGAAAGGAACCTGAAGATAACATTAAATAAATGATTAATTCTCTACATTTGCAGCATATACATTAAGCAAGAAAGTTAACTCCCACCTGAGGAGCAACAGGAGGCCTTTGTCTCCTAAATGTGACAGTGCTGGTTTTAGCTGAATGAGAGCATGGAGATTAGCCTGCAAAACATGACAATGCATTAGGCAAGTGCTGACACTTAGAGAGGCACAGTCTGGGACCCTTTCATAAGTAGATAAACCAAGCAGAGAAGACCATGTTTAAAATAGAGAAGAAAGAGAAGAAGAAGTTAGACTAACTAAATGCTGTTAATCTTTCTCTGAGAGAATCTTGCTTGACAGAAAATGGGATTCAAAAATGTGTATCTGAGTCAATATTCTTAAGAAGTGTGATAACCGCTTTCTAAAACAAAGTCACCTTGTCCTCGCAGGCTTCGTCCAGGATGTCCAGCGCCTCCATAGAGACACCTTTACTGTGATCATGGAGCTGAGTGACCAGCAGCTCCATGCCCCAGCTGCTGAAGAAGTCCACACCTGCCCTCAGTAGCACCCGCAGGTGTTTGGTGGCATACAGCCGGCATGTCTATCGCACAAACACAAACACATTAAGCTTGGGAAAAAAGTACAGATACATTTGCGGAGAATACATTGTTTGATGCATGTTATCAGGAATCATCTTTTGGTTTTAGCTTACATCCGTAGCAGCAGTGAGAATCTTGGACAGGATCACTCTGGCGAGACCGTCTCTACTGTAGTCCAGAGTGGTCACAGCAAGTTTTAACACAGCATCCTGGTTCTTTACCGAACACATATTCAGCAGGCTGTAACAACACAAATGTATTATTTAACTTATCTAACTATAACTAAGCAAGGCACAAGTAATTTCGTCTTAACGGAAGCAGAATGTGGCGATTTCACATGAAAAGCAGCACTTACCACTGAAACAGGCCACACTTCTCCAGCAGTTTGACACCGTGTGGATGAGCCGACAGCGTCCCGAGGAACAGGAAGTAGTGCTGACTGAGTGTGGTGAGCAGCCCGTTACTCTGAAGCGAGCGCTCAGGCTTCAGGCCGGAAGACGAGGAAAGCCACAGCACCATGTCCCTGACCAGGTCCTCCAGGTAACCCAGCCCTTCCTAAAGCAGCAGGCATGAACAAGAAGAGCTGATTAATAAGGTAATGAAGACAATGCATATAAAAACACCTGAACCGTTTTAAAATAAACAAGTTCCAAATCTCTGGGTCGGGAGTTTAATAAAAGGATAGAAACAATGACATGACAAGTTCCAAATTTCATATTGTTTCGACATCAGTCCAAGATTTTCCTGCAACTTCTCAAACATTCTTAATCATTCTCACTATCGACCCTTGTGAGTTATTTTCAGAACTACAGAAGACTATTGCCATGTTTTTACAACATACAGAGGGGCAAAAAAGTATTTTGTCAGCCATCAATTGTGCAAGTAATTTTTTTCTCATTCTGTCTCTCAGAGTTGAGGTATACTGTACCTATGATGAAAATTACAGATCTCCGACATCTTTTTAAGTAGGAGAACTTTTGGTGGCTAAACAGTAGTAGTAGTTTATTTGTTCAGTCAAATTTTTTCACAACTCAGAAAATACATATCATTTGGAAACAAAAAATGCAGGCACCACTGTATGTGACCAAAAAAAAACAAATTCTGCTAATTCTTGTCTTGGAAAGTCTCCTTGCACCAGTATTAGTGTTAGTAGTGTTAAAAGTGCGAGCTATAAGTGAACCATATACATTTTATGTCAGTGAAAGAAGTAATTACAAATTGTGGAGAAAAAAAATAGAGAATTGCTCGTACATTACTTAAATCTTTACATTCTCCTACCTCATCAGAGTCCATGAGGAACTCGATAAACTGACAGCCGACCACTGTGAGTTGCCTGGCCTTCAGGTGATCCAGCGCCAGGCCTGCATACAACTTACTACTGGGTTTGTAGAAAAACAGCAGCCTTCGCACGAACCTTCAGAGCAAAGAAAAAAAAGTCTAGATAACAGCATTAAAACCAGTGGGGGCGGGTCCCGGCTAACAAACGTCCAGAATGATGGGCAATACCACCCCGGGCCGATGGCGACGGATCCGGAATAAGAATTATTCAATGCTAAGGTATAGCTTCTTCTTACCTCTCGAAAACGGGTTTACAGCATGGTCCAAAAGTCGGCTCTTGGCCCAATGCTACGTTCCATATGTGTGACTATGCTGAGGGAAGTATATTTTTTTCGACCATTCTAGTTTAGTTGTTGTGGAATTTTGAAGGCACTCGTTAAAATAATGGGGCTCGTGCCGACAGACGCATGCGCAAATGCGTTTTTCACATGTTCCAGCCCCCGCAGACATTTTGAAAATCCCCATTGTAGGTGAAAGTGATGGCACGGCTGAGATAGGCGTGACTACATACATTAATATTTACAATCTCTGTTTAAAACATTAAAAAAGCCATACACACCTGTGCATTTGTTCGTCTTTATTGTTCCTGAGGTTCACGTGTGGCCACTAGGAAGAAATGTTATGTCATTAACACAAAAATGCTTGTAATGTCATAATGGAACAAATACATCATACTATTACTATACTATTACTAGACAGTAAGGGTGGAGTTACAGAAGTTTGAGCCAGAAGCGCTTTATATCGGCATTGATAGATCTAAAAATATCTACAGGGCTGTTTTTCTTAATATTCCTCCTCCTAAAGATTTTCAGATTCTTTCTTTACCTTAAGAATTGTGGCTATGAGCAGCCAGTTCCACTCCAGATTCTGCTTGTGGTTGAGAATGTGACTGTCTCTCAAATTCAACATAAGTGCTTCTTCCGTGTCCTGCACAAATGGTTCAATGGTTTGAATAATGATAGTATTCAACAACAGTGTAAAAGCAGCTACTGGACATACCTTGATAACATAAATGTCTCGTTGAGCTCGTGAATGGGTGTCTCTGCGGTTATTAGAGGACACGGATTTACGGATGATGTGGTCCAAATACAGACTGTAGGGTTTCAGGCCTTTCTTCTTCTTTTCGTGGAAACGCTTTAAGTTATTGACGGCAGCACTTGCTTGACTGTGCCACAGTAATGAGAACAAGTAAGTGATGTGAACAATTGCCGTTATTTGAATTCGGAGTCAGCAGAGTGCACTTACAGTCGCTTCTCTTGGGAGATGTCGAACGAGGCAGCCAAGTTAATGAGTGTGGGCAGGCAGTGCAAGTGGTGACTGTGAGAATGGGGAAGGATGGTATTCGCCTACACAAGGACAAATAATGTTTAATAGTAATTTATACATTAGACCAGAGAACACATAAATACAGTTACCTGTTTTTTATTTTTTTAGCTATTAGACTTTATAAAAAGGAGTGCACAATGGTAACCCACCATCTATGAAGCCTAATAGTAAAGTGCTCATGTGTGGTGTTTGACTCCAACTCGCTTTGGCTCTAGTCGACTTACATTAAAACGTAAACTCCTCTAATATATGTTTCACACTCACCATTTTGAGCTTTAAAAAAAAAAAAAAAAAAAAATCAGTGGTTCACTTTGTATGATCCTGGTGTTTCCATTTTGATGACGGCTTTGTTAATCTAGACATGTTCAACAACAATTGAGCGATCAGGTGCCTTCTGTGCCCAAAATCGGCTTTAGCTAGCAAGTACCATGAGTGGAGAGAGACCAGCGTTCCCCATCAGCTCTTTGGTTGCCATGTCGATACCATCCACAAGGCACTATTAGTCCACTCTTTCTACAGTCTTTGGTTTTTAGATATTATCACTACTTATTATACTGCATGCCTTTTCTGATGTTGCTATTGCGCTACACATTATTCAATACAGTTGTCTGACTATATGAAACTAAGGATATATTTGTTACAGAAGACCACTAGGTTTATCGATTGAATCTTACCATGTGCAGAAGTTCTCCCAATAGTATCGTTGCCCTCACAGATAACTGGTCATCGCTGCTGGTCACAACTTCAACAATACCCTAATGAGCAAAAACATGATCTTAAAATCATAACACAGATAATGAGATTACATAAGCTATTAAAAAACATATACCCAACATTTATTGTCTTGCAATAGTCAAAACAGAATAACTTTAATATTGAATGTATTCTTCCCTTTCTCACACATTCATCACAGACTGAAAACGCAGGACTATATCTTTTTCTAAAAATAGGTGCTTTTACAGTGCGTTTGTACAGGAGTATTACCTCTAATAGGCCATTTGTGATGAAAGCTGACAGAACAAAAGCCAAATAGTTGTCCATAAGATCAGGCCTGAAACACACAAATCCATTTGAATTTATATAAAAGGCAAACATTAAAATAAAATTACACCAATCCTTTACCTGGAACGTGCTCGATGTGGCAGAATGACTTTAGCCTCTGCAGCTACAAAGCCATCGGAGAGTCTCCATATGTCCTGGAACCTGGATGGGTCTGAAACAGAAAATGCATATTTATAATATGTTTCTGTTGAGTTTTTTAATATAAAATTTTACATTATTTTATAAGCAGGACTTTATTTTATGTTTTGAATATTTTTGACTTTACAATACTACTTAGGCATTTATTTTTTGTATGTTTTTTATTGTTCTGACATTTCTAAAGACAACCATGTATTCAAAGAGCAAAGAGACAGACTTACCAACACTTAAAAGACCTTCTGTGAAGTCTTGCGTTACAATGGGAACCGGGAGCCTAAAGATCTCATATAACACCTCCAGCAGCCCTTTCTGTAGAAGAAATAAAACTTATAAATTAAAGCATATATTTTATATAATGATTGAATAAAAGATGACAAGTAGTGAGCTACTCACTCGAACTTCCATATTTGGTATGCAGAGTAAGCCAATTAATGATTGGATACCAGAATTTCCAGCCTTGCATAAGTTGATGATCCCTGAAAAAGGCACAGAAGTTTATGAAATAAACTCTAATTACATGTAAATGTAAGAGTTAAAAGACTGAGCCTTTACCAGACCACGAGCGAAAGGAAGCTACAATTGCCATCCGACTTGACAAAAAACGTGACTCTCTATCCTCCCTAAAAAGGTCAAATAGAAATGTCAAAAATCACAATAAGACGTTCGTTAAACACTTTTGAAACAGAGTGAATTACAGCCCTAGTCTGGGGACACAGATACAAGATCTAGCTGCTGTTCCTTTAATAGAATTATTAAAATGGTGCATTCAAAATTTAGTCATTGTGTAGTTTTTGCATGCCCTCCATAGACTGTTTTAATCCCTTGTATTAAAACTGATTGCCTGACATAAATGTTGCACAAATGAAAAAATCCTTAACTCTTTCCATGTCATTCTGTCTCAATTTAGAAGCAGTAAAAGGCTAAATGTTAAATTACCCATGTGTTTTTGTAGCAAATAGTGTAGGTAAACACACTCACTTGAGCTGTCCCTCAGCGGTGTCAGCGTTATGGCGGTAGTGAAAATCAGTGAACGGTGCAAGGATTTGCTGTGGGAAAAAACAAAACACATCAACCTTTTACACATGCATTCTCACTCAGACTCCAGGCAGCAATACAAAGGGACTATGATCGTTTGCAAAAGTCTTGACCAACTTACCTCAAACTCAACATCCACCCTCACAAAGGGCCGAGTGTGCGGGTGGTTGAGCAGATGAAGGATGGTGGTGATCAGAGCTTCATTGATGCGGCTTAGTTGACAGTCAATAACGTTCTTCAAGATGGTGCTCAGACCACCTCGTTTGGCCACCACTTCTGGGTTTTTCAGAGCTGTGAAGGAAAAAAATAATTCCATCTTTTATATTGAGGGCTCCACCTTTTCTTTCTTACATCAAATTTCTGAAGAAACTCATGGCATGACTTTCAACATTTAAAATACAGAACGCCTTATTTTCATAGATCAAGGAGTTCAAGTCTATACAAAAGTGTGTGTCAAATGCAGCCTCCACTTACCTAGTTCACACACAATGGCAATGGCTGCACGAACCATGCGGTCTCGTTCTTGTAGGCCATCAGTGCCCACAGCGATAAGAGAGTTGGCAATGGAGGTGGGAAATAGCATTGCATTGACGGTGATGATCTGAATGACGAGGGTACACACATAATACAGGTGAAACTTGGACAACTAGATTATTTTGAGTTTATTTCTTTAACACAACCTAAAATGTGAAAGAAATATATGATGTAGAATCAAGGTATAAACAATGACATATCTCAAGCCATTGTATTATGAGTTTACAGCTTGAAAAAAACCCAAAATAAGAACGTCAGAAGATTAGAATATTAAATTGAATCACAAAATGGGTCCTCTGAAAATTATAATAATTTAGTTTTGGCCCTGTTGTTTCAATTACGGTCTTTATGTGGCGTGGAATTGCTCTCAGAGGTTTGATGAAGACCAGGACGTTTCAATAGCAGCCTTCAGCTTGTTCACACTTATGTTTCTTTCTTTTGGCAATGTTCCAGACATACTCAATGGGGTTCAGGTCAGGTGAGTTTTCTGACCAATCAGGCACAGTAAAATGATGGTCGCGATGGTTATTTATTGCCGTGTGGAGCCATGTCCTGCTTGAAAATGAAATCAGCATCTCTAGACCAACACCAGCAGACATGGCTCACCAAATCATCAGTCTGAAAACTTCGGACTGGACCTCAAGCATCTTAGATTGTGTCCCTCTGCATTTCTTCCTCCAAACTCTGGTGCCTTGATTTCCAATTGAGATGTAAAATTTTCTCCTCCTCAAAAAAGATCTGTAAACCACTGAGTAACAGACCAGGTCTTCCATGTAAGATGCCCCTGTTTGTAGATCAGGAGGGGAGTTTCACTGGATCTGACGAGAGACCATTTCAAGTCTCTGCAGGTGTTTTGGCTCAATTTGGATCAAAAGACAAGGTGACGCTTGCAAACAATATAGTCCCTTTTCACACTATTCTATTTTTTTTTTTAATTATTATTTTCCAAGCTGTAAAATTGAAACAAACAAAGGCCAGGCTTGTCATTATGCATGCCATGAGTCTATAGCATAAATGAATTTTACGTTTTAAGTGGAGTTTAAACAATATTCTAAATTATCTGAGTTTCACACGGAAGTGACCAAATAATCAACGACTGAAAGTTTATCCAATATAAAAAAATAAATGTCAATATTGTGAGCACAACATTTTAAGATATATTCTGGAAGAATAGGTGTTTATTGCGGTGCATCACAAAGCCAATGGGTTTACATATGTTGTCGTCATGAGGTGTGTGTGCGCGTGTGTGTGTGTGTGTGTGTGCGTGCGCTGAAGTTTGTTTATTATTATAGACCTCCATCACACTATTCTTCCTGGGGACCCAGTAATGTGAAGAAGCTTTACAGTACAGTCCAGTATCAGCTAAGAATAATCCTTGCTGCTAGTTGTTTTGTGCGATGAACGCACTGATGCCATTGTAAACCCAATGATCTCTATGTTGGCACTTTGCACATACAGACAGAAGGAACATGGGAGTATCATACCTTACGAACAAGTCTCAAAGCCTGAGTCCTTTCTCCTTCATTGCTCTGCTGAATGTCAATGCATCTAAAATAAAATTCACAAATTTTAACAATTTTGAACAATTAACAAAAACAGCAACATTTGTGAAGAAAACCTACCTGGATATTAAGTAGTCCACCTGTAGTCTAAGGACCTTATGCAAGACGTTGGTGTCTTTAATTAGGTACCGTAGGGCCCGCAGTCCTGCAGCTCGGACCTCTTTAGCCTCATTTAGCAGGGCAAGGCGTAAACTACATTTGAATAATACTATTAATACATGAAATGACATGCAGTGGACATTTCCAAACAAAAAAACCTTACCAAACAATGATTTCTTCATATGTAAATCCAAACTTTTCCTCTTGGTGGCCAACACTGCATAGCAGCTTTAAAAACAAGAAAATGTTATGCTTACATGGTATGCATGATGGTTACACAGCATAATATAAAATATAGTTTTGCATTGAATTAACTATGAATAAGAATAACTGGGTCTGCAAACTAGCTGTAAGCTATACGGCCTATGAACATAGCATCGGTTCCTGTAACAATGCTTCTTGTTCTGTTCCTATCAAATAAACACATAATAATAATAATAATTGAATCCAGTGCTGGCAGTCACAATTTTAAAAAGCTTTGGCACACGGTCACATGGAAGTACAGCAAGAAAGAACTCTCAATAAAATAATAAATCACAATTCAGGTTTTTTTTTTCCTCAGTGAGAAAGTGGAGGATTTTAAAATTAACTCTTCAAGTCAAAGCCCCAACTTCACTCTCACACAAAACCAACCAGAAGGATGAGCAAAGGCTCTTTTGAACCAGCGGTGATGTCAGAGCCAAAGCAGGCAAAACGAGAGGGGGTAGGGGGGCATGTGACAGGGGGATTAGGTCACCCTCACTGTCCTGAAACCCTTATAAGGAATCAGCTTGGAGCACTGAACAACACTAATTTATCAACACAAAATGCCTTCTAGTCTTCCATCTTCGGTTAACAATAACAACTCAAATTCAGCATAAAAAAATGAATGTGACGATTTAGAGAGAAAGAGTAATTAGCATCTTCAACAAACCACTTTATAGTCCAGAAGGGAAACTGGTTTGTTGCAGGCGCCATGTACACAGAGAAAAATGTATACTATGTGATTAAAATAGTAAACAAAATTGGTAAGCAGATAAATGTGGATTTCAAGAGAAACACTACATAATAATAAATAAAATATCAAGTCTGCAAGGCTCTTCATTATGTTGAGCCCTGTACATCACCCTGTGACCATAAACATCATGCAGCTAGGCCTTCTGTAGGACAATCATTTACATTTTAACATTTGAATATTAAATCACCAGCCATCTGCTTCTCTTATGTCCATCAAACACACACCAGACTTGTAAAGTGTCTGCCTATTGACACAACAACAGTTTCGCACTTTACTGCCGCCCCACAGACTAGTGATCCCAAAGGTCTCCCATCACAATCCTAACCAAACTATGTCCGGCTTAGCTCGTGAGGTCTGATCAGGTTTCACATGCAGGTGGCACATATTTTACCAAATAACAGTTTATGCAAAATAACCACTTTTATAAATAATTTTATCAAAAGAGGCAATATATAAACCAATTATGACAGCCGAGTATTTGATCAAGATAAGATAGATGTTATTGTTCTCACACAGGAGAAATGTACATGTCACATTTGGCATAGATAGAATCACTCAAGATTTGTGCAAAAGAAAGAAGTGTGCAAAAGGCAAAAAATATAGTCTTTTCAGGATATATCATGTACAATATAAAATAAACTGATAAACAGATTGTTCTTAAAAACCTACCTTTATGAAGTTGTTCAGGTGGCCCAGTTTACGCATATTACTAACTCCATGTGGTTTGGCCACATTTTGTACAATCTCGCGAAAGTTTTCAGATGGTTCTGTAAATATATTAAACAAAAATGTATCCAAGAAATGTATTGAGGGATATTGCCACAATACACATCAATGAACCATGACCAGCATAGTGAAGAAAGTAAGTTTCAGCCAGTCAAAATAATAGTATGTGTATAGTGTAAACAAGAGATCGGAAAAAGGAAGCGTTTAGTTCCTAGCCATAATCACATCCTAGACAAATTTCAAGTTTAGTTAAGAGTTGTTCTGGTTCAGGAATTGAGGATATTTAGTTTCATTTCATTTTGTAATAGGCTATGGCATCACGCAAACTAAAAAAAAATTATCAGAAGCAACAGAATAGTAGTGAAAAAATAAAAAAAATACCGTGATACTACAACCTTCGTAACTAGTAAATATGATTCCCAATTATTTCACTATGACCAGATTGAAATGTTATCTCAAACCATTAAGAAAATAAATAAATGAAACGCGTATGGCAAATCAGATAACAGCAGAAACAACGCTGCAAGAACGAAGACTTTTTTACACTAAACAGTCAAAATTGGGTAATGTTTACAACATAGCATTGATATAAGTAGAAAATGCGACGCCAGAGACTCGCTGAACCATGTAAACAAACTGATGGGGTCAGTCACGATACTGAATCATACAGATGTTAATGCTGTTGGAGGTGTATTATCTCACACAACACAATAACCAATGTACAGGTACACAATTTACAGACAATAAGACCAAATATAGAATATCATAATCTGCAATCAAAACAACAGAGCGGCGTCATGGCTGGTTAGCTGCGGCAGCTAACGCTAACTCAGCTAGTTTATTTAGCCTGCTACCGCCTGTTATTATGGTCCCATTCCCACTGTGGGGAGGTGGTTCAGAAAATCACAAATACCTGATTGAATTTGCCAGCTTTAAAACTAGAATAGGGACTAAGACAAGTCCATGCAAAACCAATGATTGTTGCATTCTTTTTCAAAATTAATTTAGAACAATAATGGCTTTGAGGGAGATGAAGCTTACCTCTGGTCAGATCCAGCGGTACGTTTTCTTCCCCGCTGTCATTCCGACCTGTAAAACACACGGGCCGCAGGGTGAGCATAGATCAGACGAAAGGCACCATAAGACAGAGCAGCTCCAGAGCTGTATTAGTCCGTCCCGAGATGAGCAAATGTATCGGGGTTATCATGCTTACCTCGCATCCGAAGACTCCGGATCGGACGGCCGCGGAAGCTGGCCGCCATGTTTCCAGGAACATACACAACACCGGAAACTTCGCGGAATCTCGCGCGACTCTGTTCAGTGTGATCTGATTTTGAGTACATAAGACAAATTAGTTTGTTCAAGATGCATTTTATCTATGTAACTATTTAATATTTTAGAATCCACATTGCAGCAAATCATCTTCAATTACAAAACAATACAATATAATTTATTCTTGTATATCCCAAAAACAGTGGTCATCTCAGAGGACTTAAACCATTGAAATCACCAACACAGTTCAGAGAATCAACAGTTAAGACACAAAAAAAGAATACATGTTGATAAATGACCATTATACATGTTGTAGAATGTTAGTGTCCCGGATCATCACCACAGTCTTTTTTGTTAGACACGAACTGTCCAACAAACCCTCCTTTATCGGCAAGGAAAAACTCACAAAAACCCAGTGGAAAAAAGGTGAGAAACCTTGGGGAGATCCACATTGAGAGAGGGATCCACTCCACACGGACGGACGGGCTATAGATCCAGGACCTAAGCTTCAGAACGTGGACGAGGGCCCGCAGAACGTGGTCAGGTCCGTTGCAGGACTGAAGCAGCTCCCAGGCGGGTCAAGCAGGGCAGTCTGCAGGTGTAGATGCCAGGCCAGGTTCAGAGGTCCCGTTGTCGCATCATGAAACAGACAATAGGTGAATAGCCATGAACAGACTACAGTCAAATTCCTAATAATACACACAAATAAAGTAGGAGGAAGGAGACTAACTAGTGCTCAAGTTACCATACTTCTCCCAGAAAACTGACTCCCTACGCAGCTTGACTAACAGTCTAAGATTTTTAGTCTTACCTGAGTCTTACCTTCCTAACCATATGCTAAAGTGAACTGTTTAAAGCTTAGCCTAGAATGTAGAGTTGAAGATGCAGCGGACCAGGTCCTGTACAAGCAGACTCCAAGACCAGGCAAACGACCTGACCGGACTAACAACCTAACCATATGCTAAATTGAAGAAGCGTTTTAAGCCTGGCCTTGAATGTAGAGACTGTGTCTGCTTCCTTAACGTGGATGGGAAGCTGATTCCACAGACAGTGAAGGATCTTGGTAGCTAAATGCTTTGCTGTGCTTTTTGAGACTTTAGGAACCACCAGACGTCTGGTGTTTTGCGAGTGCAGTGCTCAGTTTGGTTGATATGACACTAAACATGGAGTCAAGCCATTTATGGCTGTGTACTCCTCGGGAAGCCAGTGAAGTGATTTTAACACCAGAGTTATGTGCTCCCTCATTTTGGTGCCTGTTAAGATCTGTATTCCGAACTGGAATCTCTTCAAAAGAGGTTTTAGGGCACGCTGCCAGCAAAGCGTTACAGTAGTCAAGCCTTGAGGTGACAAAAGCGTGGACCAGTTTTTCCGTGTCACTTTTAGGAAGGATATTCCTGATTTTAGCGATGTTCCGCAAGTGAAAAAAATGCTGTTTTAGTTGCTTGGTTTATATAAGCCTTGAAGGCGTGTTCTTCATCGAAAACGACTCCAAGATTCCTCACAAGTGTTGCAGCGTACTATGTTGACGTTGTCGAGAGTGATTATCTGGTCGCTTGGATCTAGTAGGATCACTTCTGTCTTCTCCGGGTTAAGAAGTAGAAATTTAAGAGTCATCCACATTTTAAGGTCCTTAATGCAGGCACTGAGCCTTTCCAACTGATCAGTCTGATTTGATTTCATCGACAGATACATTTTTAATGATATTACCTAACGGCAGCATGTAGTGTGAAAAGAATCGGTTCGAGTAACGATCCTTGAAGCACACCAAATATGGCGACGAGTTTTGATTCACATTGACAAAGTGATACCGATCCGATAGATAGGATTTAAACCAGCCAAGGGCTGTTCCTCTGAGACCTATGTCACATTCCAGCCACCGCAGTAAAAAGCTGTGGTCTATTGTATCAAATGCAGCGCTGAGGTCCAGCAGGACCAACACTGACCCTTGTTCATTATCAGCACAAGTAAGTCATTTGTGACAATCACTTTGACTGTGACTTTGACAATTCGTTGAACCACAGGTAATACATAATGCATACATACTCATCATGCACAAAAGCAATAATAAAAGGACATTTATTTTTCTATTAATTATTATAATTGTTCAATTTACATTGAAATATCACAAACATGAACAATGGACACAAGAGAGAGCAAGATGAGTAATATCCATTGTCAAATGCAATTTGTTTTTTGTTTTTTTATAGATGGGAAAGTATATATTCATGAACAGCAGGAACACACTCGTTTAGCCCTAATCTATTGTACATGGTGTTAGTGGTAGGGAAAACCAGAGGAAACCTAAGCAGACGGGGAGAAAATGCAAACTTCACACAGAAACGTCCTGGGTCGCGTCAACTGTTATCCAAGTGGTGGTACACAAAATGTTTGAAATATTCGGTTTTTCAAGCACCACATTTTCAAACCAGATCTACCAAAAAACATTTTAATAAAATTGAGAATCTTTCAACACCCACTTCCAACTTACAAAATCAAATTTCTTCCAAATAGCACAAAATTGCTCATTTCTTTCATCACTCCATCCAAGACAACAAAAAACACATCTTAAAAGTTTAATGTAAGAGTTGAGTACAATGAAACCACTATAGATCTTATCTTACAATCACTGCCACCTGCTGTTAAGTAAGGGCAACTGCTATACATACAAATATATTAACAGAACTTAGTTTGAATACATCCTAAGTATTGAAAGTGTTTTAGTTATAAAAAGTTGGCAAAGGGTGGAGAACAGTCTATATGTGTGAAGCTGAAGTTATGGCAGCATCGATGTCTGCGATGGCTTTAGATGTTCTTTGAAGAGCTTCAGCGATGCTGTCTGCATTCAGTGGTTTCTGGATGGACTCAGTTTCAGATCTTTCATCTTGTTCAAAGTTTTTCTGAGCTCTGAAAATAGTGCTATTGTCCAAAAGAACCGTGCTGGAGTTAAGGAGTTTTACAATATGATTGGGTAGCTAGTTTTCAAACCAAAATTAGCTATGAAATAAAATACATGTAACTTGTCCCTTGTTCAAAAATACCACTTGTGTTCATATGCATGTATTTTGACCTCTTTTCGGCACCATCACTCAGCCAATCAGCTCTCAGTCCAAAGAGTCAAACAGTGACTTTGCATGTATGCATGTATGCAAAAGATGAATACATGATGCTGCTTTCTGATCTATTATTATTATTTACGTATTACTTTTACAAGATTCTTTTGGTTGGGACAAACAAAATGCATTACTAATTAAACTCAAAAGTAAGGTACTAGCGTTAACTCTTACCTTAAATTAAGTTAACAACTTAGGTATCAACATATTAAAAGGATACAATTAATTCGTTGTATCTTCTTAAGCTCTTCTTCCACAATATCTGACCTGTAACTAATCATTGCAACTCGGTTAACTAATGTTAGCTCAATGATTAAATTTAATGAACATAATAGCATACCATCCATCCTCAACTTCTTTTCTATCAGTCATGCATGTGGTAAAGGTTTCAACAGATTTGGTTCTGTTATGAACAATCGGTTTATCCTGCAACAAAATAATACATTGAGTACAAGACCTTTTGCACTATTTTACACTGTATGTCATATTTTATCATCTTTCTTATTTTTCATCTATCTTGACCTTGTGTAGACAGCTAGGTGCGGGACACTTGAGAGATTGGTTGGCCTCAATATAACAAGTAAGAATTCTGAAAAACGATTATAAAGGATCAATTTAGAAGCATGCATACAACACAATAATCTGTAGTGAAGATGGTAAATGTAAATACCTGCTTGCACGACTGACAATGGAGCATATGGAGTACACTTGTCCAGGTACATCAGGTGGAAGGCCATGCGTGTGATAGATGATTTCTTTCACCTAAGAGGCAGTCACACACTTAACTTAATAGTACTGTAACTCTTAGTATTGGTGTGTTGTTCATCAATACTTTTCCTGACACCGGCTCATGTTTGTAGTGGGTAAAATAGCTCGTCAGGATGCCTTTGGATCGGATGACTGAACCATCTCCTACAGACACTTCTACAACAGGTACCGTACCACCTATAATCCTACAGACAAGATTAATTTTAATATTTTAATATTCCTAAACCATTTTTTTTCTATCAAATTCACAGAACAGGGCATTGGAATACCTGTAGGTAACTCCTTGGCACCACATCACTTTGACCAGTTCTGCTCCGACAAGATGAGGCTCATCGTTTTTTCCTTCAGCCAAAGTCCTCCATCTACAAAATAAGCATGAAGCCATTTTTAACGTCATTATTACTGACACGATAATATTTAAGTTTCACTGTTGTGAACCTGTGCCAGTGGGGCATTGAACAGCTGAGAGAAAGAGCCTGAGGAAGTTGGATTGTGGCTTCACCAGAATGCTTAGAAGTGACGTCTGCTTTTGATGGGCTGTCATCAGCTTTAACATGCTTCTTTGCCAAAGAGAGGGGGTGGGCCCATATGGCAGGAGCAGCACAACATGACTGATGTTGTACCACAGTGACGGATTGAAACATCTTCTCTGGCTGGAATTGTTCATAATGAATGGTTTAATGCTAGAGATGTAATTAACATTAATTTAGATAATTGATTAGTTGAACAATTATCATTTAAAATTTAAATGAAAATTGTTAATTAAAACTTTTAATTGATCAGTGAATATGTGACTTTTATACATTTCACCCAAAACAAAGCTCATTGAGATGACTTGTTACACATTGGGTTATTTGATTAAAAATACTTTTATAAACACATTATCATTTAATTTCACAGTCATTATAGAATTGTCTATAATGACCGCTTCTCAGCATGTTTAAGTCTGCGTAAGATTTTTTAAAAAAATTAATTACAAAATGAGTAAACTGAAAACAAAACAATTTCAATGATTGATTCACTCTTTACAACCCTAATCCACAAAATGTCCTAAAAATAAAGCTATCTCCAAATAAAAATTAAATATTGATAAATATTGATAAATTCCATTTATCAATTAATTTATCAGTCAATAAGGTTAATACAGATTAGCAAGTTATACCTAATGGTCAAAAACAGGATTTTTACGGTTTGAGTTATTGGAAATATTTGTTTTGGTCTATGTACATCACTCACACCAAAGAAAGTAAAATATTTCAGATTACAGAAGTTATGTCCTTCCTGCACACATAAAACAATGTAACATTGGAAAGTGACACATACCTCAGAATTATCTTTGCTTATTGACAGAGGAGATCTGGATCTTGATCTTACTGGTCCGTTTTTGGCCATTCTGTCTGCAGAACTAGTGGAAACCGATTGTTGGATATGTCGTTTATCATTATGACTGACAGAACATGTAAATTCAACAGTGAAGTCTTCGCCACAGGGAGAAAGCTTCAGCACAGCTCTCCCATCTCCAGAGCTGATAATGGTTTCACCTCCAGGTCCAACCTCAGCATCACAAGTGACAGACCACTGCACTTCAGAGCTATGACTGAAAAAATACTTCAAAGTAAAAGGAACTTTAGCTTACAAGTTAACTTACCCCTGAAATCACGCATTTCTATTAACAAACTATACCTTTTTATGGCCATACGGTATAAGTTCTTCTGGAAGATAAGGTTGGTCTGCGTACTTATTACGAAAAGTCAAAGCAGTTGTCAAAAGTACCTAAAAAGTGTTTTAAATCAGTGGTTATTTGCAACTACAGTCATTGGTGGGACAGAGCTTGTGGTGAATAGTTTGCATGTATCAAGTGACAATATGCAAAATTCCATCATTATTGAGACAAATGACATGACAAAAAAACAGATATTTAGTTAAGTAACAAGAAGTGGCATCGGTTTTCTCTTCAGATATAACCTATCTGATACATATCGAGTTATACAGCAGGCAGTGTCTGTAGAACCTACAGACCCGCTATTTTTCTTTTTTTTCTGTTTTTATGTAAAGAATGTCCAAACTTTTGTTACTATGAAAAATACCAGGCTCCTTATTAAACCCGTTGTTAAATGTAACACTAACCGATCCCCAGTTTGACAAATGTTTTCATATAAACTATATTCTAAATTCACTAAAACCTGAAACTCAAGCCTAGGAGTAAGTAGCTTTTTACTAGCGCTATGTCAATAATCATATATGTTTATTGCAAAGTTCAACACCTAGGACGGCAAAATACTGGTGAGATTAACCCTATCGGGTCAGAAGCAGAGGTCACCACAGTGCAGCGCCGCGGATCCATCTCCAGAACTATGTTGATGCTCGGCTTGATCAGGACGATTGTTTTAAACCCACAAGTGTCAAAGTCAAGGCCCGGGGGCCAGATCCGGCCCACGCGACCATTTCCAGAGGCCCTTGAGATGATTTTAAATGATTATATTAAATAGCAGCATAAATGGTAATAGGCGACAATGGCATGTTATCCATTACTAAGCAAACATCCATAAAATTTAATTCCATAAGAAATAAAGGATTTGCCAATTTTCTTAGGAAAGAACCACCCTCTCCACTTTTTGAACAAAACTGTCTGGTCTTGTTTGACGAGCACAAATCACTGGAATGATTGACAGGTGGGAGGACCAATCGTCTTGATGATACACCCGGAAGTAGAAAATCTTCCTATACGCCTTCATTATTTGGTCCAGTTTTGGTTCAGTCCACAGTAACTGAACTAGGTCGATCAGAAAAGAATATCCAATTTAACTAATATGAAACAAGTAATTTATTTAGATACCTTCATATTCCCAAAATATTGTATAAATGAAACCCACTTTTTTTTTCACCAGCCCTTTCTTTTTTTAATCGGCCCTCAACCAAAATAAGTTTGACACCCCTGTTTTAACCCATTATACATGTCATATGTGTTTGAACTGTCGGACTGTAGACAGAATGCCTTCTGGTTGCTATCCATGTTGCTAGGGGACTGTTTGGGTAGCTAAGGAAGTTTACTGAATTTTCCAAACTAGTCAAAAACTAACACAAATTGCAAGTTAAATCTTGAATACAATAATATCAACTACGTTTTGCTAAAATGCGTAGACGAATCTGTCATAATTATACACTTTACTCAAATTCTGCGCTCAGAACGTGGCTGCGAAACAAACCATGTGGGTTGTATTTACCTTGGCCTAGCTTATACAAAAGTAACAAAGAGCTACCTTATATGCACTGATGGTGAACCGTGTCCTCTGGCGGAGCCTCTCTCTGGGCACTAGAGCCGTGGGGTCGTGGTCCTTCAAGAGTACAAACTCCGAGCCACAGGGCGACAGCTGCAGCCGAGCCCCGTGCACACAGGTCACCTCCACCGACTGGTCTTCATACATGATCATCGAGGAAACGGGGCTAATCGTTTCCATTCCGGAGCGGTGTTAACAATCTACCATCGTTAACGGTAAAGTTGTCATAAAGCAGAAACAACAGTAAACGTCAGCGCGGAATTCGTAGTTGGCGCCTCTGTGTTGTTGTGAGAACAGACGACACATGATACGGAAGCGGAAGTTGACATACTAAATTACACTATAAATAAGACAACAGGTTTCTTAAAAATAAATTTGATCTTCATACAACATTATGAAAATGGCAGTCCAGCTACTAAAACTAATTTAAATTATACATCTGCGAAAAACACAAATTACCGTTTGGGAGCATTGATAAGTAATCTACATAATTTAGTATCCACGCAGATAGAAAATAAAACTACAACAACAATAATAATAATAATAATAATAACAACAATAATAATAACAATAATAATAATAACAACAATGATAAACAATAACAACAACAACAATAAATGTGAACATAGAAGCCCAAACAACATGATTCTAAAGGGGACCCACAGAGGGCAGCACACCACGCCCTGTAGTGCCCTGTCCCCACCAGCAGAAGAAGACTGAGAAGGATTTCATGTTTTCATGTCTGATTTTCGCATCGTTTCTCCTCAACGTTCGAGGTTTCGGTTGTTGACTTATTCCCGTTATCGGTTGGGCTGTAGATGGTGAAGGTTGCCATGCTTACATTGACACAGTGTGCTCACACGGAAGACTCTTCGGTGGTGCGATGAAGGTACTGGAGCTTTGCCATATTCTATACTCTACATATATGAGCTTAAGGGAAATGCTCATGACTTTCTATCTGTTTGTGACTGATAAAGCTGTGGTAATGGATCATGCCTGAAGTGCAGAAAGCCGCGCTGACACCTTTCATTAGGAGCAGCACTAATGTTTCCAGGCCTGAAGTCATCATACTCATGGTTTATTTATCATGATCTTTAGGCCTGTCATTATGTCATTATATTTAATGATGCACACATCTTTGGAATCTGTGCATAGTTTTTCCATGCAAATTGCGTTTATTTTAATGTCATGTTTTATTAATACGTTATGCATAAAATATGAAAGCCTTGCTATTAAAAACTGGTAGGAATGTATGTATTGACAATGAAGCAACACTACTGTTATCACGTCAAAACTCCTACCGACTTTGTGAGATAAACTGAATTTATCTGTTAATTGTAGGCAAATGCCTCCTCCGTGTGGGCTTCATGCTGTGGTTTGCTGAATGAAGTCATGGGAACAGGGGCCGTCCGGGGCCAACAGCCAGGCTTTGGGGCAGGTGCTGGACCTTTCCGATTTGCCCCCAGTGCAGGATACTCCACATACCCCCCTCCCAGCTCAGGGAGTCCCAACCTTTTGTGCAGGGCTTGTGGCCAAGGCTTTTCTGTCTTCAGGAGAAAGGTGTGTCTGTAATTGTTTTATTTGGATTTGTTTTTGTTTTTTTAGCTTAATATCAATATTATTTATGTGAATGATTTAGTTTTGTCAAAAGTATCGATCAACACTGGAATTGATTTGAAGCTGAATAAGAATGTACTGATACTTAAAAATCCCATTAACAGGACCTGAGATTCTGAATTTTATTTTGAATTATTTTTCATCTACCTGTATTTCAGAGCTATTAAAAAGCATTATGGAGCTATAAGTAAAAACCTATTTGTCATATCAGTTTGTTTCTTTGTATTGGTATAAGCATGATATTTGTAATATTAGTTTTTGACAAATTATTTCTTGTTGACCTCATGTTTGTCAAATGACATCTGTTTTATTACACATTATTTATTCTCATGTATGTCTTAAATTTCTCTGAATCTGCAGTATATTTGCTGTGACTGCAAGAAAAGCTTCTGCTCCATGTGCACGGTACTGCAGGAGAATCTGCGCATCTGTGCCACATGTCATCTTCTGAAAGCGACATGTTTCCAGCGGCCAAGACTCATGCGTCTGCGAGTCAAAGACCTGCGCCAGTACCTGCAGCTTCGTAACATCCCTACAGACACATGCAGGGAGAAAGAAGACCTGGTGGAGCTGGTGCTGTGTCACCAAGGCATCGGCGAGGTGGACTCCAATAGGCTTCAGTCACGCACTCTGTACTCCCCCACTCTCTCCCCCACACAGTCTGCCTCCGAACTGTCCACCTTCCCCGTCTCTCAGGAGGGGCCGCTCAGTCGAAGCGACAGCTCTGATACCACCCCAGTAAGCATTTTTTTCATTGTTATGACAGCTTAAGAAGTTTTTATATCCAATATTTTTTTTGACTTTGCTAAACAAATTAATTAGTAAAGTACACAAGAAGCACAGTTCAGTTCATTAAATATATATTATAAATGAATAATATTTATTTAACAGGCTGGAAACACTATGTGCAGTACAATTTACAAACTGTGTTGTGCAGGAAGCCGACGCTGCATCAACATCTCTTCTTCACATGGATCAGAGTGAACACACGCCTGAGGTGAGCTTTATGAATTTCTAGTCATTACTTTCTCCACATAGTCCTTATGAAAGGTATAAATATTGTCGGGAGGACGCATCTTTGATAACGTCTGTCTTTGGTGTTACAGCCGAGTCCTCAAACAAGGCGTCGAGCCCGTGCCTCTCTGTCAGACATATCCAGCCTGGGGGACATTGAAGACCTCTCTGTTCGGCAACTCAAAGAAATCTTGGCCAGGAACTTTGTAAACTATTCTGGGTGCTGTGAGAAGTGGGAGCTGGTGGAGCGTGTCAGGCGACTGTATCGTGAAACTGAGGAAAACCGGCAATCAAGTATGTTTTACTCAGCTGTTGCTCAGGGTAAACATAACATTTTTGGGATTTGCACGGAATAATTTCACAATATTTAAGTCTCTACATAATTGCCTTTCACCATAGCAAGCAACACATTTTCCTGTAAAAGTCATCACTGTATATGTCATGTAAAAGAACAGGGGAAAAAAATCCCCTTTTCATTCATTCATTCATTTTCTACCCGTTTATTAGTCCAATGCTCTACCAACTGAGCCACTGTCGCCCCTTAAAAAAGAAAACTGTCCCCTCATTTTTCAAATAATCTGAAAACACCAACAAGTTGTGTCTTGTCTTTTCAGTGGAAAACGTGAGCGGCACAATAACCACAGGTAACTGTTGCTTTTTAACTTTGGTGACTTGGTTTAAGACGTATCGTCCTCACATTTTCTCTGTATTTCTTGACTTTATTCTGAAGTAATGGCCTTACCCCCTTCTATCTGCAATGGTACTGATGGAGGTAAGGTTGTGACTAATGTGTCATTGAGGACTTTTCATTTTCCACTCTTCATTCGTTCATCTTAGAATTATTCTACACTCTCATCTGCAAGTACATGTCTGAAAAAATATGTTTTCTTATGCTAAGAATTCATGATTGACGTGAGGTTTTAAGAGCCACGCTTTGTTTTGCTCCGCCCTTCATCGCATGGGAGTTTGCCATTGGATTTGTGTTGGGTGCAATCATGTTCACTTTTGACTCTTGTCTTTCAGATGGTGAAAAGGTTCCGTTAACCATTTTTGACGATAACCTCTGCCGGATATGCATGGACGCTGTGATTGACTGTGTTCTGCTAGAGTGTGGTCACATGGTCACCTGCACAAAGTGTGGAAAAAGGATGAATGAGTGCCCCATCTGTCGGCAGTACGTCGTGAGGGCTGTACATGTTTTTAAATCTTAACCACTACTGTACAAACAAGAGCCCCAGTTGTGGAAAACGGCTGAATTGTTGGATTGCCCCCTTTTGAATTGCTCATAAATATGTTTGTTTGTTTTTATTCACAAATAATGTGAAGCCACTTATTTATTCATCAAACTTAATAAAAAATAGGCCTTTTCTCTGCACCTAGACAGTAGATCACGTGTTCAAGAGTTCAAGTGACATACAGTGGGGCAAAAAAGTATTTACTCAGCAACCGATTGTGGAAGTTCTCCCACTTAAAATAATGACAGAGGTTTGTAATTTTCATCATAGGTACACTTCAACTGTGAGAGATAGAATGTGAAAAAAAAAATCTAGGAATACACATTGTAGGATTTTTAAAGAATTTATTTGTAAATTATGGTGGAAAATAAGTATTTGGTCAATAACAAAAATTCAACTCAAGACTTGGTAAAATAACCTTTGTTGGTAACAACAGAGGTCAAACGATTACTATAGGTCTTTACCAGGTTTGCACACACAGTAGCTGGTATTTTGGCCCATTCCTCCATGCAGATCTTCTCGAGAGCAGTGAACACGGACTTTCAACTCCCTCCACAGATTTTCAATGGGCTTGAGGTCTGGTGACTGGCTAGGCCACTCCAGGACTTTCAAATGCTTCTTACGGAGCCACTCCTTTGTTGCCCGGGCGGTGTGTTTGGGATCATTTTCATGTTGGAAGACCCAGCCACGTTTCATCTTCAAAGCTCTCACCGATGGAAGGTTTTGGCTCAAAATCTCAAGATACATGGCCCCATTCATTCCTTCCTTAACACGGATCAGTCGTCATGTCCCCTTAGCAGAAAAACAGCCCCAAAGCATGACGTTTCCACCCCCATGCTTCACAGTAGGTATGGTGTTCTTGGGACGCAACTCAGTATCCAAACAAGACGAGTTGAGTTTATACCAAACAGTTCTACTTTGGTTTCATCTGACCACATGACATTCTCCCAATCCTCTGCTGTATCATCCATGTGCTCTCTTCAGACGGGCCTGGACATGCACTGGCTTCAGCAGGGGGACACGTCTGGCACTGCAGGATTTGATTCCCTGTCGTTGTAGTGTGTCACTGATGGTAACTTTTGTTACTTTGGTCCCAGCTCTCTGCAGGTCATTCACCAGGTCCCCCCGTGTGGTTCTGGGATTTTTGATCACCGTTCTCATGATCATTTTGACCCCACGGGATGAGATCTTGCGATCGAGGGAGATTATCAGTGGTCTTGTATGTCTTCCATTTTCTGATAATTGCTCAGTTGATTTGTTCACACCAAGCTTGCCTATTGTAGATTCACTCTTCCCAGTCTGGTGCAGGTCTACAATTCATTTCCTGGTGTCCTTCGACAGCTCTTTGGTCTTGGCCATAGTGGAGTTTGGAGTCTGACTGTTTGAGGCTATGGACAGGTGTCTTTTATACAGATAACCAGTTCAAACAGGTGCCATTAATACAGGTAACGAGTGGAGGACAGAAGAGCTTCTTAAGAAGTTACAGGTCTGTGAGAGCCAGAGATCTTCCTTGTTTGAAGTGACCAAATACTTATTTTCCACCATAATTTACAAAAAAATTCTTTAAAAATCCTACAATGTGAATTCCTGGATTTTTTTTTCACATTCTGTCTCACAGTTGAAGTGTACCTATGATGAAAATTACAGGCCTCTGTCATTGTTTTAAGTGGGAGAACTAGTACAATCGGTGGCTGACTAAATACTTTTTTGCCCCACTGTATTCACTTCACCTAGCCGGAAATCTGGACTGTTTCTCATTGTGAGAATCGACAGCAGCCTGTTAAAGGAAGGTTAATTCTCATGATAGATTTGAGGGACCAGTATGTTGCTTTTTGCCTTTATTGGTGTATAAGTTACTACAAATCTCAACCAGGGGTGTCAAAACTTATGCATTCAGGGGCTGAGTTTAGAAAAACGAGAGCTGGTCGGGCCTGAATGAAAAAAAAAAAAAACTTAAATTATACTAATACATTGTTTTCATAGTGCAACAAATAAAATGTCTAAAATATTTTATATATTTATTATATATTTTGACCAATGGATTACTTTTGCGTATCAAACAAAACCTGATGGTAATGAAGGATTGCTTATTCTAGACTAAAAGACCAAATATGTTGATGAGAAAAGGTGAGCTATGATTTGTTCATGTTGCCCTTGAGTCTGGGCAAATGAAAGATGGATATATAATTTTACATACTGTCCCTTTTAAACATTTTCAACAATTATTAGCTTTATGTGAGCTGTCATGGTTTTCTTGGTGATTGACTAATATAGGTATGATTATTTTGATGTTTCCATTATGAACACATTTTATGTTTTAAACCACTCATATGGTTTGTAATAGATCCATTATAGTGGATCATAGTACTCTCGTCACCTCTGAGCTTGGCCTGGTGGTGTTATTTGACATAATTTTTGACAATTTCCAAATGTAATTGTGGATGTGAAATTTTGAATTTTAATAATCGGAGTGGTTTCTGCAAGGTTCTTCAGTAATGGGAAGTGATATATTAAATAACTGACTTGTGTGGTATAGAACATTGTAGAAGATTTGAGTGCTAATGTAAATTTGCATATATTAACTATATATATTAATATATAACTATATTTTTCCATTTGATTTGAAGTGTAATTTCTTATAATTTAGGGATATTCTTTTACTGAATCCTTTGTATCTACTGTATGTCTACCCAATGCACAGCAGTAGCCTTAGGTTGACCACAGCATATTTATTTTGTTCAGTTTGAAATATTTAGCTCTGCTGCAAAATAAACTGAGCCAATGAGGCGCCTATCACAGATAACACAATATAAAACATGAATTGCACTTTTCAGTTTGAGGTTGAAAATTTGTGCTAGGTTTGTAATATGAAATGTTGAGCTTTTTATTTTGGAAATGAATTAAAATCTTTGGAGTTTGACTACCCCGATTTTGTTTTCAAAATGTTGCATGCAGATTCAAATGGAAAGGGACAATATGGCTAAAGGGTCAGACGTAAAAACCCCAGTTACCTAATGTAACTAAGGTTCTATGAATATGTTGCGAAGCCCTTTAGGCTTCGCTAATGCATATCTCTCGGAAGCATCGCTTCCCGCACTGAGAAGATCAAACAATCCACCCTCCAATCACCTTCACGTCCTGGCGTAGGCCAGTCCCCTATAAATAGGGCCATGCACCACAGCTCTTCTCCTTTCGAACTCAGCCGAATAAGAGAGGGCAGGCTTGCTGGGCTCGAAGCTAAAGGGCTTCGCAACATATTCATAGAACCTTAGTTATATTAGGTAACTCGGGTTTCTATTTCATATGTTGCTTCGCCCTTTAGGCTTCGCTAATGCATAACATAGCGAAGCCCAGACTGATGTACTCCCAGCAGGCATGAACTCCGGTGATTAGAGCAAACTCGTGACCCACGTGCTCATACCGCAACCAAGCGGTAGAGACGGAGGTCCTACGAGCCATAGAGAAAGGGATGGAGGGCCACCTCTCCCAAGAGTGCCCGCGCATTCCCCAACCTGCAAAGCAGGAAAGAATTCAGAACAAACCTGGGCAGGCAGCCTCTCCCAAGAGCACCTGATCCCCAGGAGTGTAAAGCAGACTGCAGAAGGGCCTAGGCCGCCTCTCCCAAGAGCGCCTATCCTTATTGCAGACGTGTCCAGGCCGCCTCTCCCAAGAGCGCCAACACCTCTCCACACAACCCCCCCTGCAGACGAGTTCTCATCGAGGTCTGTCGAAGGAGGAACTAGGGCCGCCCTGCACTCAAAACCGAATGAGCCACAGAGTCAGAGGCCACCTCCAGTAGGTAAAACTGCACAAAAGTCGAGGAGGAGGACCAAGACGCCGCTCTGCAGATCTCCTCCACCGAAGCGGCAACCCCGCGAGTGGAGTGAGCCCTCAACTGGGCTGGAGGCAGCAAGCCCTGAGCTTCATACGCCAAACGGATAGCAAGGCGAAGCCAGTGAGCCAAGCGCTGTGGCGACAAAGCAGCACCCTGACTCCTGGTGCCAAACCCAACACCAAACACCAGGTCCGGATAGCACCTGGCTCCCGGGCTGTCCGGCGCCACCACCAGGATGGAGACCCCCTCCGTCCTCACCCTGTAAAGCAGGGCTGCCAAGAGCCGGAGAGGCGGGAAGGTGTAGAGGAGACCGTTGGGCCACGACCGGTGCACCACAGTGGTGTTGTCCGTCCGAACAATCACCTGTTGGCCCTCCAGTCTGGTCATGAAATGGGCCAGCACCAACCGCATCGCCTCCAATTCCAGGAGGTTGATGTGCCCCAAGGGGGAAGACCAAACGCCTCCTGTCGAGTGGTGGCCGAGCACGCCTCCCCAACCACTCAGTGAGGCGTCCGTGAAGACCTCGATGTGGTGGTCCATAACACCCATTCGAACTCCCTCCTGGAGTCGACCTGGGGACAGCCAGAAGGCGACGTCGTTCTGAGCCCTCACCGACAGTCGCTCCCTCCGTGATAAGCCCCTGAGGTGTGAGAACCACCTCTGGAGATATCGCATGTGCAGCAAACCCAGTCTCACCACTGGATGGGCCGCTGCCATCATGCCCAAGAGTGACTGGATCTGCCGCGGTTGGACCCGAGGTTCACCCAGAACGATCCGGCCCAGGTTCTGAACCGCCGCTTCTTTCTCTGGCGAGAGTGAAGCCGCCATGCTCCTGGAATTCAAGCCCAGTCCCAGATACGAGATCTCCTGGGCCGGGCACAGGGAGCTTTTGTCCTTATTGATCACAAACCCTAGGTGAGCACGTGATTTAACACTCTGGACGTTTGATCCTGCGCATCCTCCCGGGAGGACAGGATCACCATTCGTTGATATACGTCAGTGTCCTAAGGCCCTGACGCCGAAGGGGTTCTAGCACCGCCTCCACACACTTGGAGAAGGTGCGGGGGGGCTAGGGAGTAGCCGAGTGGGGGACCGGAGGAACTTCTTGTGCCCCCGTGCAATGGGTTTGTGGAAATTCGCGTGCTTGAGGTCCACGGAGGACCTCCATTCCCCGGGCCTGACGCTCAGGAGTAGTTGTTTACTGTGAGCATGCGAAACAGTCGCTTGGCTATGCAGCCATTGAGGACGAGCAGGTCCAGCATGGCCCGCACCCCTCCGCACTTTTTTTAGGGACTATGAAGTATGGAGAGTAAAACCCTGTCCCTGCCCTGAGCGGGTCTACCACCACTACCGCCCGGCGCTGTCAAGTGTGTTGACCTCCCTGTGAAGCGCCACAGCGTTCTGGAGAATGCCGCAGAAAGGAGGGGGCCGCCAGGAGAATTGGAGAGCATAGGCCCGACTCAGCACTCTGTGTATCCACAGAGTTCCCCGGAGCCCCGACTGTTCCGATACGGTGACAACATGGGTCAAGGGAAGCACAGCGGGATGGGAGGAGGGAGAAAGGCCTGATCTGTCCACAGATGTCCCATCCTGGGGAGGCATCGGATAGTGGGGGGCCCGTGGGAAAAGGCCTGAGCCCTAGCAACGGCCCTGGGCCTTTCTCTGGGTGGCCGCGTGAGGGCAGGTGTGCTGCACTTACGTGGAGCCGAGCCCCTGCTCCCCAACACTGTGGACTGAGAGGGGACCGAGCAGTCCCGCATATTGCAGTGGGGGGCCCCTTGAAAGAGGGCTGGGCCCTAGCTACGGCCCTGGGTCTTTTCCCGGGTGGCCGCGTGACGGCGGGTGTTCTGCGCTTACGTGGAGCCGAGCCCCAGCTCGCCAACACTGTGGACTGAGAGGGCACCGAGAAGTCCCACTTATTGCAGTGGGAGGCCCCTGGGAAGAGGGCTGGGCCCTAGCTGCGGCCCTAGGCCTTTTTCCGAGTGGCTGCGTGAGGGCAGGTGTGCTGCGCTTACGTGGAGCCGGGCCCCCGCTCCCCATCACTGTGGACTGAGAGGGGGCTGAGCAGTCACACTGATTACAGTGGGGGGCCCCTGGGAAGAGGGCTTGACCCTAGCTGCGGCCCTGGGCCTTTTTCCAGGTGGCCGCGTGAGGGCAGGTGTGCTGTGCTTACGTGAAGCCGAGCCCCCGCTCCACAACACTGTGGACTGAGAGGGGGCCGAGCAGTCCCACTTTTTGCAGTGGGAGGGGGGCCCTGGGAAGAGGGCTGGGCCCTAGCTGTGGCCCAGGGCCTTTCTCCGGGTGGCCGCGTGGAGCCGAGCCCCCCCGCTCCCCAACACTGTGGACTGATAGGGGGCCGAGCAGTCCCACTTTTTGCAGTGGGGGGCCCCTGGGAAGAGAGCTGGGCCCTAGCTGCGGCCCTGGCTTTTACCGGGTGGAAGCGTGAGGGCAGGACAGCTGTGAGCTGGCGCTCGTGGCGCACAGAGAGCGTAGGAGGGTAGCGTGCAGCCGCGCACTCTCTGCCCAAGAGAGGCAGAGCCCAGACCCCGGAGGAAGCTGGTGTACAGGCGTACTCCATCCTCTATGAGAGGAAAACCTGACCGCCAAGGCCAGGCCTCATGGGCTGTCATGGGCCTATCCCCTCGCGGCTGATATAGTGAAGCAGACGCACACCCTGAGCGAGCCACCATGGGCACCGAGAGTGATGTTATTAAGCAACCATCTGTGGTGCAGTAGTATTACGCCTGTCCAGCGTGAGCAGAACGTAGCACACCTTGAGCGAGCCACCATGGGCACCACTCTATGAGGCATGAATAATCCACGGCGTCAATCGCGCTCCTCCCCAGGGGAGCGCGAGACAAGCCACACATCTGGGGCTTTCTCCCGCGGCACGACGCCAGCCCAGGCAGAAGACGCTGGACTCGTGGCGGTCAGTCTGGGAGAGTGCCGCTGGGCACAAGTCGCAGATCCGCAGCCTGACACCGGAGGGTGGCAAGTTCTCAGGCGCGGGGATCTTGCTTGAAGACATCCTCGTAAATGAATCGAAACTTCTGTTAGGCAAACTGAGAGAGAAAGGAGAAGAATTGTGGCGCATGGCCCTATTTATAGGGGACTGGCCTACGCCAGGACGTGAAGGTGATTGGAGGGTGGATCGTTTGATCTTCTCAGGGCGGGAAGCAATGCTTCCGAGAGATATGCATTAGCGAAGCCTAAAGGGCGAAGCAACATATGAAATAGAATCTACCCACTCTCTTCTCTCGTGTTTGTATGTTATCTTTTCACATTCATGATATGTGCACCATATACAACAGGGCAGAGTCAACTGCAAGGGAATTTATCAACAAACCTCCCATTCATTTTTCATTGAATTGTGTCCAATAAGGAAGCGGTGGGGCGGGTCTAACTGGTGCTTAACGCCTCGCCATCTTCACAATGAGAACTAACTGACCTTGACTTTAAACCCCACGATTGATATAAGGCAATATTAGTAGTACTTTGAACTACTCAGAAGACTTGGTAAGATTACCCTTGTATTTAAAAGACAATCGACAAATTATACAAATGAAAATCTTTTAATGCACTTTAGCATTTAGATACAATTATAAACATTACATAGACCTGAGGTGAATGAGGGGATACATTTCCTCAAACCTGACAAACTACTGGCTGTCCTTCGTTCCCTCTGAGAAACAAACGGTAATGCAAACCAACAGGACGTCATTGATACCGTCTTCAGCTCAAATGAACTGGATTAAACATTTAAACACATGACACCACTGTATTGAGTTACGGAATAAATATAAACTATTTTAAGTGGTATAAAACAATAAATTAATGTCCAATGGCGTTGGGTGTAACATGGAATATGAGGACCGACAAACATTCTTATTCATATACAATTTCATAATTTAGACACATCACTGTACATTTAATTCCAGTCACAGGAGTTCAAAACTAATGGCACACAGCTGACAGAATAGAGTTGCAACAAAAGGATATGCATGCATTATAAAAGTCTAAGTTAAATTCAGCTCCTGAGTGGATGCAGGACCACTGGAAACTCTTTAAGTGTGCCAGTAGAAAAATACTGTAAAAAACTGGGACAAGCATCTTTATAAAATGGTTTGAATTCAAAACATGCAAATTTATACAATCTATTTACAGAGTCATTGGTGAGATTAGATCACATCAAATATTCATCCTTAGGTGATGAATTTGTCAAAGTCTGTTAGGGAGAACAACTTTGTAAGTGCGTGGAAAGCAATTTTTGCCAAGGACTAGCTCGCCTTCTGAAGGAGTTTTTCCTCCATCAGTCTGAAGGGGACGCTCACGGACATCTCTGCTATAAACCGCTCACATGCCGTCTTTGAAACCTGCTTACAAAAGCGGAGGTCGATCTGACAGATGCTTCCACAACGCTTGAAGAAGGTTAAGGAATGGTCTGTGACTCGATTACATACTGAAAGAGAAAAAAAAAATATTATTGATATATATATATATATATCAATATCAAACAACATCCCATGATTTGAGAAATAATTACAGTGGGATAAAAGCATACGGGGGGTTTATGAAGTCCGACTCATTCATCAAATCACTTAAACTTGAACTCACCCGACAAGTTGATTTCAGTGAGGGAGTCCCGTGTGGTGGTCCCTGCCGCGGTCAGTAAGTTGACTGACTGGTCGTTGATGTGGTTGCAGTAACTGAGGTCAAGCCTGGACAAAAACGGCATTTGTCGACTGATGAGTCGCAGAGACGTGTCAGTGACGTCCAGTCCCGCCAACCGCAAGTCTTCTACGTTTCGAAGTTTGCAGCGGTTATCTAACTGACCTGGGGGCAATATGACCAATACATGAAACGGTGGAAAATATATATTTAATGATGGATCAATGTCAGTGGTTGAAGGATAAATACCAGGCCTGTTGTCCGTAGGGGGGGACAGCAGGTCCCTCATCTGTGCATCTTTAAGTCCTTCCACCCACTGGACATCCAAAGTGCTTAGGAGAGGACAAGTGGCAGAGCAGAGAGCAGACACAGCAGCCCAGGAACATCCAGACAACTTCAGCACTCGTAGGCCTGAGAAACATGTTCACGTTAAAACAATAACACATTGGACTACAAAACTACCTGGATGATTTTATTCCCTACCAGGTAACCTGTTGATCAACCAGCACAGCTGTTTCTTTGAAATATTGGTCCAACTCAGGTCCAAAGACTGTGGCTGTCGGCGGACAACACCACTCAACATGAGGGGAGAGATGGACGTGCAACGATTTAGATCAATCTTTTTCCAAAGATTTTTATCGCAGCACCTAGCCACAAAGAGGGTAAAAGATCAATCTGAGAACTATAAGTAACTGACTCCAGTCCATGCTGCAGTCTATCCTAAGAAACAAGGACTAAAACGGTTTTGTGTCTTAATTGTCATATCGGTTACTGTTTCTTTGCTGTATGACAGTGGAATTCCTAATAACAGTGTAATCCTTTTGCTACCCTTGGGTCATGATGACCCGCCACAGTGATTTAAAGTAGACCCTTCTGGACCCTAAATTAGGATCTAAAGTTAGGCGAAATCATCAAAATCCATTCATCACTTTTATTTAGGGTATTTTTAATCACTGTAGCGGGGCAATTCGACCAAGGATAGCACAAGGGTTCATAAATAAAACAAATATTTTATTGGAGATATACATACACGCGTGCGTGTGTGTGTGCGTGCGTGCGTGCGTGCGTGCGTGTGTGTCTTGGGGCGGGATTGTTTTTAACCAAACTGTAAAGCACTTTGTGTTGTATCTTTTGTATGAAAAGCGCTTTATAAATAAAATTTGATTTATTGATTGATTGATACATACACATATATATATTAATAACATCACAAGAGGATTATTGAGAGAGTTCTAATATTTAACATTGTCGCTAAGTTTGGCTTTGTTTTTGACTGTTTAGTGGCCATACAAGTGCATTGCCTCAGCCTAAAGATAACGGCCAAACACTGCACCCTCACTTTGAGCTCCTTCCACTGAGACACATATATAGACTTCCCTGTGCTAAGAAAAACTTGTGGAAGAACACTATTGTGCCATCAGGGAGCTGAATATATGATAGTTCCACCTAAAATTCCTCAATAACTTTATCAATTAACTAAAAATATAATAATTCCTAAACTAAAATTGCTTGAATGCCAATTAAAAGCAAATGTTAGAATTGTTTTTATCATAATCTGTGCTCCTTTTTAAATGTGTGTATAAGTGCAAGCCAAAAACCAAAGATCTTTTTGTTATCACAGCTCACAACAAGAGAATCCTTTTGTTCTATTCTGTAAAACTACACACATATTGCTCATTAGGCGCAGTATGAAATGTCCTTACCATCGATTCCAGGTCTTGCACACCCTCATGCATACGCAGAGCTCCTGATGGGACATGTAGCCGAAAATCTTCATCCAAATTTCCCTTTGTATTGAATGAGTCTTCCCATCTTTCAGGGGCAGTCTGTCAGGTGGGGGGCTTATAGGAGGGGGCCGAATTACGTGCCTCTCCATCTGCACACACTTGGGTGGGGACCTGGGAGGGACCGGCCTCGTGGTTGGTGTGCTCCTGTTGAAACCCAGTGGCGTGATCTGATTAGGGTAGAAATGGCGAAGCTCCCAGGCCGTCCCGTTCATCTCTTTGGCCTTTAGATGAGTCCTCTGTTCGCCCACGTCGCTGCCATTTCTGAATAACTTTTTAGGTTCTTCGTTCTCGCTTTCAGGCTCTGACTTAAGAGGCTGCCTGTTTTCATTTGCTAGGCAGTCCTCAGATTTTTGGATGTCATGGCTCAGAGCTTTACTCAGCTCTCTACTCAGTTCTCTGTTGGGCAACCGCCTCTTGCGTTTGGCTTTTGGGCGCGGGCCTCTTTCCTGAGTCTCGCTTCCCCCTTCACTGCTGGGACCGGCCTGAGGGGAGCTGCAGAGCGACTGATCACTGTCCACCACAGCAGTCTTTAAGAAGGGAAAGGAAAGTTCACTTCTCGAGTCTTTGTCATCCACTTCCTCTTCAGTTTCTCCTAAACGACTTCTTCTTTCATAACTGCGATAATGATGCTCCCTCCCATCACCATCTTCATCCTCCTCCTCCTCTGCTTTTATCTGAAAAAAAAAAAGCCACAGAACCATTTACCCCCATCATGCAGCTGAAGAGGACGGCATGTTGTTTTCTTCTAAATAGAAAATGTGTGTTTACCGGACTTCATTCACCTTTCACCATGTGTGGCCTAAATATGCACAATTTAATTGAATAAAATAAGAATTTTCCCCAGCTTGCTGTGCGCAAAATAGAATTTCAAAATGCAAAGTCACACAGAAAGTCTCTTTGCACTTGAGCTTCTTACTATGAAGCCCATCAGCCCACTGCACTGGTAGGGGTGTAACAAGTCACAATGAACATTTTATTTTCACAATTTAGTTTAATTTATGCTACAGTTACACAAATGTTCTTAAGATTATTTTTTTTCATAGAGGGTCTCATATCTTAAATGATGCCTCCGTCTCTTGCTTCACTCAATTATGCGAAGGGTGGAGAAAGATTTGAGCAAGAGTTCCAGCTGTATAGACACTTTTGTAGGCACTGTATATACAAGTCTATATGAAGACGTAACTCACCCGTTTCCTCACACCCATGTCGTCGTCCTCCTCAAACAGCTTCCGTTTCTTCCTCAGTTTGTCCTCAGGCCGGGGTCTGCTGAGGCCGCTGGTCGTCAGCATTGGGGGCAGTCTATGCAGTGGGTCGTACCTCGGAGTCTCGTCTCGCTCTGGCCTCCGTTTGCCAGACGAGCAGTCGGCTTCCTCCCTCCCGGGTCTCTGCTCCCGCAGTAAAGATCCGGGCAGGTTGGACGCATACTTGAACCCGGGTCCTCGCTTTTGCTTCAGTGCCAAAAGGGGAGAAAACAACAAAACAACTTTATACCTTATGTCTTATGGTTGTACATGCTGTGAATGATTCATATTAAAAAGAGGTGATATTAGTCAAGCCATATTACAATTACTACATGTAACCTTATTATGTGCAGAGGGTTAAAAAAAAAACATTTAAAAAAAGTGTTTTAATTTGAATGTTCCAACTATTTTGCCTTAGTTTGAATTACGTTATTTATCTGCACAATTGTATGGATTAAAATTATTATAATAAAGTTCAATGTAAGTATTATAAGTTTAAAGAGTTATAGGACTGAAGAGAATAGGACTGATTTAAAATGCATATATATAAAACTCAAAGCTAATAGCTAAAGTAAATATCTATCATGTAAATACTTACATGATAAGTATTTACATACATATTTAAAGTGAGAAAAAGGGTGATAAAATCATGATTTAAATAAAAAGTTTGTTATTAATATTAGTGAATATTTTAAAAAACAATTTAATCTTGAAATCTATTAAAAACCTTTACGCAAATAAAATTATGTTGAAACCTTGTTTCTAATGAGAATACTTTGTGTTTAAAATGTTTTCACCTGCTATCTGCCAAAATATTTCAATAAAGTAATTTCTTTGAGCTGTATGGTTTGAGGTGCACTTGACACATAATTGTACTCACTTTTCCGCTCTTCCCTGCATGGTTGCATTTTGGACACTCCCAGCAGTTTGGCAGTTCATCATTTACAACACCATTGGCATCACTAATCTGTCAACAGAAAGATGCAGGAATACAAAAATAAACATACATTTTACTTGCATTTGTTGCATGCAAAAGAATGTTTGACATTTCAGAAAAGTTAATGAACACTATGTGCCACTTGCATAGTCTACATTTTCTGAATAAATTAAGAATTTTCCCAGCCTCTAAGAACAGTCAACTGAAAATCCTTGCTGTAACATAATGGTTTGGCAGGAGTCAGAAGTGCTGCATGAGTCACAGAGAGTGATGCTACGATGAGTGTTCAGAGCAGTTACACAAACAAAGTTAACAGCATTCCCACAATCCTTTGCCTTCTCTATGTTTACTCATCTTTACAGACAATAAACTTGAGATTCCTGGAACATGTCCCAAACGAGCATGAGCAACGCGGTGGCTGACTTAATTCTGACTTGACGGCACTTTTACCTTGAGGCAGTTCGGATGGACGATCTCATTGCAGATAGAGCATTCCATGAGCATGAAGTTAAATTTCTCCTCCTCGTCCTCCACTGTATCCTCCTTGCCTGCCTCTTTACACACCACACAGACGGCAGTGTGCGGCAATACAGGCTACAAGACAGAAATGTGCCAAATATAACTCTGCAATGACTTTTACATATCCTCTTGCTAGACTTAGAACATATGCATTACACTAAATACTTCAGTCAAACCATCAACATTATATGAATTTGTAAAACATGGCGAGACTTACAGCGATGCACTGTCTCATGATGCAGGACTGCTTCATGCGTCCAGGACCTCCAAACTTCTTCATGTCTTTGCAGAAGTGGCACTCTCCACACTCTGTACGAAGGCAGGCTTCGCAGCGCCTGCAGCGCGTCCTCCGTCGACGTGCTCCAGAGGTGCTACGGCTTGAGGCCAGTTTAACCGCAGGTGCGGGTGCTGCCACTGCTGCCATCTTGGGCTTTGGACGATTAGCTGCCCTCTGCTGAAAGACACAAAAACAGCCTGGGTAAGTTTGCCCAGAACCATAAAAACCATAGCATCATCGCTAAAACCCCTTTGCAATTTGTCACAATATAATATAATATAGGCAAGGCAGGGCAAGTTTATTTATATAGCACAATTCATACACAAGGCAATTCAAAGTGCTGAAGTAGTTTCTAAGTACATTTAACGCATTTGAATATTCAAAGAGAGGCAAGCCATTCAAACAAATAATGTTTTGATGATCATAGTCACCGATCTTTTTGTAAATATTTGAGTGGTTAATTTTAGTTAAATTTATTTATATCAAATATATTAAAATGTCAATACCACTAATAAAAACAATGTAGGTAATGTATCATTTGAAGTCTATTTTAAGGAGTTGATGATGCAACAAACCTCAAAATCAGTGTAAGTGAGCTTTTTTTTTTCACACTTATTTTTAGCCCTCTCCTTGTTGCCATGGCGGCCTGTGAAATAAGCAGTATGAGAAACACAGAATTCATAAATAGACTGAGCGAGAACAGAGTGATTCTTGAGCGAAGCAGGTTACCTAAGCAACCAGCACATTTGCCTCTCTGGTGGCATCTGTGCGCACTCTGAAGAAAGACAAAATTACTCTTTGAACAACAGCTCTGCTTTATCTTGTGGTGTATACACTGAAATATCTTTATTCTAATTTCAGTTTTTTTCTTTGTATTAAAAGAGGCGCTGAACATATTCGTCTCAACGGCATATTTTTTTTCTCCCATTAGGCAGCTACTAGATAAACGATAAGCAGGTAAAACAAGATACACAGGTCACAATGGACAAACAAGTCTCAACGGTTCCCCTGAGAGTAGGAACTTTCTTCAGAATCTGTATGGAAATAACAGTCATATATTTTAACACTAAAATGGAATTAAACAACATTGCAGACAGATTTGATAATTTTTAAAGCATATTATAGTGGCTGGTATACTCTTTATCAATGCATGTTTTTATAGTATCCTTGAACTATTTTTCAGACAACCAAAACACTGCTGGATTAGAGTTTTGCAAAACATCAACAAATAAAAAAACGTTTATGACAAAAATGTGTGTTTAGCCCAATAAGAGAAACATTCAACAACATTGAATACTAATCAGCTTCAGGCAGTTATTCACATGACAAATCTGTATAATCCTCAACAATCACTCCGACTGAAAGGGAAAAGCATGAAAACTGAAGACAAAAATAGTACATTTAGTTTTGCAGCCATAGAACTCTGGTCAGCTGACCATCCTTACTGTAAGTGTTTAGTAATATGACAGGAATTTGGGATTGGTGCGCTGACTCCAGAACAAAAACATGGCCCATATTCTTTCGCTCTCCTTTTCTCGACCATTTGACTCAGTTTTATTGAACAGAAAGACACGGGACTAATTATCTGCTTTCACACACATTGCTAGTGGATTACTCACAAGAATAGGTGAATAAGCCACACCTGAATATCCTGCTAGGTTGAGAACATTATATGTTACAACATGAAATGACTCAGGCCAAGTGACTAAGCACAGTGAATGATGCACTATGAGGATGAGAAGTATTGCATTTTTATAGTGCTGTCAAATCAAGGTTGGGCCAGTATGTTAGTCTCAATGATAATAACATTTTTAGCACAATTTAACTTCATTTTATTCATACGTTAACGTTAGAATGATTTTTTTGTTTATGATGATCACTTGTTTTAGCTTACATCTTCAACTACTTCCCGTGGCATTAATATTAAGGCTTTCCAATACAACAATTTACATTTTAACGAGAAACTGAAAGTAATTCAAAATAATATTTGCACATTTAAGAAAAACGTAACGTTTGGGAGTCTCTGGTCACTCCAAGAAAGAAGTAAAGCTACTATTGTTTGTGTCCCCCCATCCCCCTCCTCTGTCCCAGGCTGGACAGCATTTTGCCCCAAAGCTTTTAAAGACACAGGGGAGTGGGCAGCGTTAGGAAGTGCAGAAAAAAATATATCAGTGTTTTAAGAGGAAGTAGAAAGATTGAATGTTCATTTCAGAACATTGTGTGACCCATACCCCTGATGTAATATGAGAATAGTACGAGTCCATTACAAAACAAAGAAAGAATATAATCTGTTCAAATCGGGTCAGTTGTGGCTAAAATGAAATAGCCTACTTCATGGTAGGGCATTGTTTACAGGTCAATGGGCAGTCATGATAAATAAATGGCTAATAAGGAACAATAACAAAATCACTACATACCTGTAAAGTAAACACTAAACACATTTTTGTTAGTTTGGCCTCATAGTAAACTAAAGGCAGACGAGAGAGCGTGTAGTCGAGAGCAGCAGTAAGCTCAGACTCGTACCTATATTCCCGGTATAGAACATTACCTCCACATAAACAAACAGCCCCAAAGCATGTGCCGACAGACCAGACAGGGAAAGGACACATGGCTAGACTGACCTGCTCAGACTCTGAATCATATTCCTCTTCGTCTCCGCTCATTGACAAGGCCATAGCTCCGCGCTCTCATGCTCTCATATCTGTCTGAGAGAAACTAACATGGCTGAACAAACCAGGGGTAAATGTGGGACATGCGCAGTGCGGCTCGGCTCCGCTCAGCGAAGGTCAGCGCCTCTGCTGGCTCTATCTTTATTTTCTATTTTCTTATAATAATAACATTCACAAACGAAAAAAAAACACACAAAACTATTTAATGGCATATAGGAGGATTTTCTTCTTCCTCCTGTCAATAAGTGATACGTTTGAGGTGTTCCACCTGGAGAGGGCGGTTCTTTCCTAGAATTCAGGAACATTCTTTAATGGAATCCACCTGACTACTTCCTAGCTCAGTTTGGTTATAGCTTTCACATGCACGTATTTTTGCTTTTGGCCTTTGTCACTTCTTATCAGCGTGTTCAGTAGATATGTACAGGATTCATGGTACAGGCATAACAAAACAGAAACTTCCCAAAACACTGCGGTAAAGTTAGTTTTATATTGGATATTCGACGCATTCAACACATTCAAATAATCTATTTAGCCCTTTCACCTTTTGATCTTTTGATTTCAAAACACGTTGGGTTTATGCCTACTGGTCCCCCACACATGAAACAAAGCTCCTTCCCTTTTGTTGATTTTTTTATGATTTTTTGATGATTTTTTTGCTATAAAAAATTCCCTTAAATATATTTAGCCCTTTGCCCTTTACCTTTTGATTTCAAAACACGTTGGGTTTATGCCTACTGGTCCCCCACACATGAAACAAAACATATTTTTTCAATATTCCTTTTTGTTGATTTTTTATGATTTATTGCTATTAAATTTAAAAAACTCTATTTAACCATTTCACCTTTTGACCTTTTGATTTCAAAACACGTTGGGTTTATGCCTACTGGTCCCCCACACATGAAACAAAGCTTCTTCCCTTTTGTTGATTTTTTTTATGATTTATTCATGATTTTTTTAGCCCTTTGCCCTTTACCTTTTGATTTCAAAACACGTTGGGTTTATGTCTAGTGGTCCCGCACAGATGAAACAAAGCTTATTTGTTTGAATATACCCTTTTGTTGATTTTTTATGATTTATCAATGATTTATTATCAATCAATCAATCAACTTTATTTGTATGGCGCCTTTCCAACACCAGGCCACTCAAAGCGCCTCACAACCCACATAATATCACACAAATCAGAGACATCAATAAATACATTAAAAACAGAATAAAATCACAAGTAATGAAAAAAAAAAAAAAAAAAAAAAACTTAAAATATTAAAAGCACACACGGGATTAAAATAATAAATAACCACAATGCATTAAAAAAAAAAAGAGTATGTATCAATAAAATCCTTCAGCCGTATGCACAGCTAAAAAGAACAGTTTTTAGCCCTGATTTAAAAATTGCCAGAGTAGATGCTAGCCTCACATCTTCAGGAAGATTGTTCCAGATTTTAGCTCCATAAATCTCAAACGCTGCCTCCCCATGTTTAGTTCTGACTCTTGGAACCAGTAAGAGGCTACCTCCTGTGCTCCTCAGAGTCCGGGCCGGTTCATATGGGACTAACAAGTCGCTTAAGTACCATGGTGCGAGGCCATGGAGAGACTTGTACACAAGCAGTGCTGCTTTGAAGTCTATTCTCTGAGCCACAGGAAGCCAGTGCAGAGACCTGAGAACTGGACTAATGTGGTCATATTTCCTGGTCCTGGTCAGGACTCGAGCTGCAGCATTTTGGACATACTGCAGTTGTTTTACAGCCTGTTTGGAGAGACCTGTGAGCAGGCCATTGCAGTAGTCTAACCTACTGGAGACAAATGCATGGATGAGAATCTCCAGATCTGATTTAGACACTATGTTTCTAATTTTGGCAATGTTTTTCAGATGGTAAAATGCTGCTGATGTTACTGATTTGATATGACTGTTAAAATTTAAGTCTGAGTCCATTATAACTCCCAGGTTTCTGACCTTGCCTACAGGTTCCAGGGAGAGAGACTGGAGGTGACGAATAACGCTCTCTCTTTGTTTCTGAGGACCAAAGACAATCAATTCTGTTTTGTCTGCGTTTAGCTGAAGGAAGTTATTTTGAATCCAATCACTAATCTGTTGAGTACAGTGAAGGAGTGATTCCACTGGTCCATGTTCTCCTGCAGTAAGTGAGACATAAATTTGAGTGTCATCAGCGTAATTGTGGTAGGATACATTGTTGGAGCGTATTAACTGACCTAACGGCAGCATGTAAATATTGAACAGAAGAGGCCCCAGAATTGATCCCTGTGGCACTCCGCAGGTCAGAGCCATATGATCTGAGACACAGTTTCCTATCTGAACCAAGTATTTCCTGTCTTCTAGGTAAGACCTAAACCAACTTAGGGCACTCCCAGTGACACCCACCCAGTGCTCTAGTCTCTGCATGAGGATCTCGTGGTCGACTGTGTCGAACGCAGCACTCAGATCCAACATTACTAAAACTGTGACTTTTCCTGTGTCGGTGTTAAGTCGGATGTCATTTGTAACCTTCACTAGTGCAGTCTCAGTGCTGTGATTGGCTCTAAAGCCGGACTGGAGCGCATCAAACGAACTATTAGTTACTAAGAATTCTGTAAGTTGTTGGTAAGCAACTTTTTCCAGAATTTTTCCCATAAACGGCAGATTTGAAATGGGGCGATAATTCTTAAGAACTGTGGCATCTAGACTCCTCTTTTTTAGGAGGGGTCTGATGACTGCCGTTTTCAGGGCCATTGGAAATGTTCCAGATGAGAGAGACATGTTCACTATTTGTGTGAGCAAAGGTAAAAGACTGCTCAAAACAGACTTAAAAAATTTAGTGGGTAGTACATCCAGGCTACATGTGGAGGAACTAAGGCTAGAGACAACATCTTGGACAGTTTCATTATCTGTTGGTGCAAAGTGCGATAGCTCAAACAGCCTCACCGGCTGTTGTAATGTTATTTCTGCCTTGGAGGTGATGGCGTTTTTGATGCTCTGAACCTTGTCATTGAAAAATTGTGCAAACTCATTACATTTAGATTCTGAAGCAAATTCGAATGGCAGCTGAACAGGGGGGTTTGTTAATCCGTTAACTGTTGAAAACATAAGTCGTAGATTATTATTGCAGCCATCAATGGTTTTAGAAAAATAAATTTCTCTTGTTCTACGTAGCACCCTGTTAAACTTGCACAACTCATTTTTGAAGATATCATGATCAACCTGGAGATTGGATTTTCGCCACTTCCGCTCGGCCCTACGGCACTCTCTCTTCTGTACCATGATATATTACTAGTAAATTCAATAACATCTATTTAGCCCTTTGACCTTTAGACCTTTTGATTTCAAAACACGTTATGTTTATGCCTACTGGTCCCTTACACATGAAACAAAGCTTCTTTTTTCAATATACCATTTTTTTCAATATTTTGTTGATTTCTTAAAAAAAATTGTTTTCATATATAAACAAATTTACACAAACATTGAACATTTAGCTATATTGAAAAAAGAATCTTTGTTTCATGTTTGAGGGACCAGTAGGCATAAACCCAAGGTGTTTTGAAATCAAAAGGTCCAAGGGGTTTTTTATTTACTGGAGAGGAGACTAAGACCGATGGTCGAATCTCAGATTCAGGAGGAGCACTGTGGTTTTCGTCCCGGCCGCGGAACAGTTCTATACTCTCCATTGGACATTCGAGGGTTCATGGGAGTTCGCCAAACCTGTCCACATGTGCTTTGTGGATTTGGAGAAGGCGTTCGACCGTGTTCCCCGGGATGTCCTTTGGGGGGTTCTCCGGGAGTAGTCCCTGTATGACCGAAGCCAGAACTGCGTGCGGCGTTTGCATTGCCGGTCAGACCTGTTCCCGATGCATGTTGGCCACCGCAAGGCTCCCCTTTGTCACCGGTTCTGTTCACTGTGTTTATGGACAGAATTTCTAGGCGCAGCCAAGGGTCGGAGGGGGTCCGGTTTGGAGACCACAGGATTTCATCTCTGCTGTTTGCAGACAATGTTGTCCTGTTGGCTCCAACAAACCAGGACCTACACCATGCACTGGGGCGGTTTGCAGCCGAGTGTGAAGCAGCTGGGATTAGAATCAGCACCTCCAAATCCGAGGCCATGGTACTCGACCGGAAAAAGGTGCCTTGCACTCTCCAGGTGGGTGGAGAGGTCCTTCCTCAAGTGGAGGAGTTCAAGTATCTCGGGGTCTTGTTCACGAGTGAGGGAAGGATGGAGCGTTAGATTGACAGGCGGATCGGTGCCTATCGGACCGCCGTGGTGAAAAGGGAGCTGAGCCGAAAGCTCTCGATTTACCGGTCAATCTTCGTTCCCTCCCTCACCTATGGTCATGAGCTTTGGGTAATGACCGAAAGAACAAGATCGCAGATACATCCATCCATCCATCCATTTTCTACCCTTTAATCCATTTCTGGGTCAGGGGGTGGCAGTCAGAGATGCCACCCAAGTCTCATAGCACCAGCCCCTCACTGACCCTCTGCAGGTGGTGAGTCCACAGGAGGACGGCTGCTCTCTGAGTGTGAGCATAGCCTTGAACTTTCAGTGGGGGCTTTGGGCAAAGTGGGGTTAAGTGTCTTGCCCAAGGACACAACGACAGTAGTCATCAGTGGGAGTCGGTGGAGAAGGTGTAGAGGTGGGAATTGAACCCACAACCTTCTGGCCTGAAGGCCAATGCTCTACCAACTGAGCTACTGTCGCCCTGTTGTATCTTGTATCGCAGATACAATCGGTCAAAATAAGCTTCCTCTGCAGAGTGGCTGTGCGCTCCCTTGAAAGTAGGGTGAGGAGCTCAGTCACACGGGAGGAGCTCGGAGTAGAGCCGCTGCTTCTCCACGTTGAGAGGAACCAGTTGAGGTGGCTCGGGCATCTGTTCCGGATGCCTCCTGGACCCAGGACATGCTGGAGGGACTATGTCTCTCAGCTGGCCTGGGAACGCCTTGCGGTCCCCCCAGGCGAGCTGGAGGAAGTGAGTGGATAGGGAAGTCCGGGGGTCTCTGCTAAGGCTGCTGCCCCCGCGAC